GCTAATTGTGGGGTTATTTGGGTGTCTGCCTGATGGGGTACTTGCTTGCTTGTTGGTTTTTTGTTTGTCTTTTATTGGGGTATTGTTTGTTTGCTCATTTCCTGTTTATTTGTTGGGCAGTTTGTATAGTAGTCTTTGTTAGGTTTTGTTTCTTTATTGACATGCTCAGTTACTCGTGCGGTGTCTCTCTTTCAGTGGGTTTTTGTATTTCGATTTCGTAGCACCTTGATATTTTGGTCCGTGTTGTTGATAGGATTCCTTTTATATATTACATTTGCTTGCCATTTTGTTCTAACTAAATTTCTGTTTTGTTTTTATTTTTGTTGTTTAGTTTTCATTCATATATTTTTATTTATATTGTATACATTTTGTTAAATATCTTTTCAATTTTTGTGTAGACATTTCTAGCATGGGTAGGCAGGCCTTGGGGCTACAGTGTTTAAGTACACTTTTGCTTACCCTGGCCGGTTTGGAATGTTTATTGTCCTTGTTTGCTGTCCCTCTATCTCCTCTTTCCTGTCAAACTGTCCACTCTCCCTTCCCCGACCCCCCCCCCCCCCCGACACCCCGCCCCCATTCCTTCTCGCATCATTCAGTCCCATCAGTCTTGTCTGGTCATACTTTTTTAATTTCCAGTTTTTGTTTATTTTATGATATATATATATATTTGCTTTGTCATTGTACTTTTGTTCATTTGTTGGCCGAAAAAATAATAATAATAAAAATAATAATTGTATGACAGTAGATAATGGCAGACAACTTCATATTTGGAGCGAGGTTCCTTTGTATATTCTTTGGATTCAGTAGCTTTAAACAATACCATGTACCTTTTAAAAAGTGAGAAATAAAACCACGCAGATTTCAACGATACTGCACTGTACGTTCTATACAATTATAATTCATGGGCCATTCCGTAGCTTTTGAGAACATTAATATTAATATTGCTCATGTTGCCTGTATGATTATTGATGTTATAAATGTATGTTTATTACATATAGCAGCTGGTAAAAGAAAACTTCAGCTTTTAGAAAGAGGTTAAGTAGATTTATTAATGGACCTACATGTATTTAGAACTGTTTATACCTTGCTTTAAAAATGAAACAAACGTTTCCACCTATTCTGCTTGCAATACTGACAACCTGTCAGTTGTGTATGGATGATGCAAGACAATCTCAGCTTTATGTCACCAAGTTTGTATAACATGGAAATATTTGTGATTCGTGAACTGTTTAACGATGATCATATTTGTCGGAGTTTAATGTATTTAACCATTTTATTATTATGAAATGTAGGTTTCCAAACTTTCAACTATTCTTTCAGGCCTGAATCCGGCAGGTGAAATGATAAAAGGGTGTGATAATATTTTCCAGTAACTTTTATCTTAGTGACAGTGGGGAAAAGTTCAGCTTCCAAAAAACTTCAGCTTGTAAAAAGTGTGCGTAGTTTATAGGATTTGTTTGTGCACATCGTACAATAAAAACACAAAGCTATACTTTGTATTTGTTTTATTGACAGATCAATTTCGTAGAATTGCATCATGATTTGGGTATTTTAGTGTGTGCAAATACCATTTTATTATTTTCTTGAAATTGTTCTTAATGACAACAGCCGACTGTGTGAGAGAACTTAATTGATACATTAATGTGATTACTGTGATGAATTTCATTATAATTGGATGGTTTACGGTATATTATGATGCATCTTATTTCTCAATTTGTGAAGTTCCGACTGTTGTTGACAAGATCGGTTCATGCCAGAATAAAACTCAGTTTTGAAAAGTGAATAAACAAAGTAAGAAGTGAACAAGTCGAACAACGAAATCTGAAGAAAAAATATTGTACAAAATCCAGCGTAATAAGGGAAGGTTAAACAAAGTTTGCTGTTTCCTCTTGTAACGTAAGATGTTTAGTAAGAATTACAGTTGTTTATAATAAAAAAAAGCTAATCGAACTGTACCAAAAAATAAACAACTTTAACAACTGAATGGAATTGTATAAGGGCCTATTATTCCAAACATTGAGAGATGAGCAATCAGATTATTGATGTTATATTTCGGTGCACATTATTGGTTAGCTATAGCTTCATTTCGAGGATTTTTTGTTTATGTTGTATATACTATGCATATAGGATCGTAAATTTTACTTTTGTAGCTTTTCATGCATTTTGTTTCGTTTTCAATAATAAAACCACTCAAAGTCCAAAGAACAAAGTTCAAAAACTAACTTCTTGCAGTTTCAGCTCAGTGGATATTATGCACTAAAAACAGTGAAAAGAACATGCGCAATTAACCTTCTGGTCGCGAAACACGTTTTCGTCGTTGAGTAGCCCTTTTTATAAAAAAAAACCCAATATCAATCAAAAACAGGGGCGTAAATCCGAGGGAGGGGGGGGGGGAGTACAAGCCCCCACATACTTTTTAACCAGAGGGAAGCCGGGCTATGATCTCCCCCCCCCCCCCCCCACCGTCACTTTTTCGGTATTTTTCGAACAACCAAAATGTATTTAATAGCACTGGAAAACGGATTTTGCTAAGGCGAGTAAGCGCGCAAGTGTTCATAAGCTGTTCATCTATTCACAAATAGCGCCCCCTCGTGTGATGTGGTGACTCACTCGCCCACTGACTCACTGCCCCACTGACTCATGACTCCCTCTCCCACTGACTCACTACCCCACTGACTCATGACTCACTCCCCCACTGACTCACTGAAACACTGACACACTGACTCACTGACTCAATGTCTCACTTGTGAGACGTGCAGTGCTTTCGCCGATAGGATTACCCCGTTCTATAAACTCATGTGATTGTGTACACAGATGCATGAAAAGGCCGTCCCATAAAGGCCTCTCGTGAAAAAGGACTAGCGAATTCCCAGTGGGGGGGGGGGCCTGCCTACTGGGGGGGGGGGGGGGGGGACTCATTGGTACGCCGCTGTTGCCGTGACGTTCGTGGTTGCGTTCGTTTTCGCGCTGAGTGCACGGGGCGAGTGGCTCTCGCACGACTACGAAGAGCGCCACCAAATTATTTTCTAATAGTGTCCGCTCCGCAATAGAACCTGAACGTTCACCCGATCCGAGTGGCGCGCTTCCGGAACAAATTGACTGAAACGGAACGTGCAAAAATTTAAAAAAAGAAAGATTGTTTTTGGTAAATTGATTTCTTAAGAAGAATCACCCTCGAAAAAGGCTTCGTCAATTTAAATAAAGGGCTCTTTTTTTGGGGGGGGGGGCGGGGTCATGACCCCCATTGCCCCCCCCCCCCGGATCCGCCGTTGGATACAGCCACCGATGTGTACTATCAAACTATAAAGATGAATTTAAGGTTTGTGGAACGGTTAGTTATCGGACGAAACAGACAGGAAAAACGTCAACAAACCAACAAAACATTTGAACTACATGTATCAAAACATGCGCGTTTACAGAGAGTTTCAATCTATTGCGAAACTAGCTACAAGTGAAACAACATTATTATGCGGGGCTAGTGGAAATTCCCGACTTTACACGGTACACTACGTAATGCCAAACAGAGTGGTTAAAAAAAGTAAGTTTTTCAATGCCAATTATTGTTTAGTCTATAAGCAGTACACGCAATAATCCTTACATTTTTCTAAAGTATCTACAACTTTTTTGTATTGCAGGCCTACATTCCACAAAATGTGGAGAGGCGTGCCTATATTGATTAGTTACTTGTAGTTCAAAATACAACAACGAGTTTGTCTTGTGTATATACTTGCGGTCTAAACAGTCATAAACAATGTATTCTTGATCATTTATCTTGATCACACAATCACACACGTTTTATGGTGTAAATCGAAGAATTTCAACTGTTCCTCATCATCGATCTTTTGTTGATATACTCTTTTTTTTGCAACAGCTCCCATTGATTTTGTACATGCTTTCTAATCGAGGAGTCCTCGGTTTGACTCCTGTCCTCAATTGCTCGATGATGTTTCACATGGGTGTCCTCGATTTACACCATAAACAAACTCACACAATAATTCCAATCATTTTTAAGAACAAAAGTGTACACACCATTTTCCTTATATTAAAACACGATTCTTTGCAGACGTGTGTACATATGTCCAAAAAATACTTTAAAAAGCTACTAATTTCCTTAGTACCGTTTATACGGTATTATAATACCGTATTAACGGTAAAAGAAGAAAAGTATACCCCAAAGCAAATTGTTTTTTAAGAAACAGAAAAGTGCATTCTAAACAAATTATGAAGAGTTATGTGTTATACAGGTACATTTCATGTTGTACACTTGGTTGCAGGGGCGGCGGAACACTTTTCAAAATGGGGGGGGGGGGGCAACACCAAAAAGTGGCACTTGCTCAGTAAAAAGGCGCACCTTCCATCGGTGTGAAAGTGGAGGAAAAGATGCGGTCCCGTTGATTTCGCTCTAAACCTATATGACGAGGAACAAATTTTGAAAACGTTGTCCATCTTGCTCTTTGTGTGTCTTTTACCTAGTTGTGTAGAGAAACCATTTATTTTTATCGCGAGAGAGACACTGTTTCTTTTGATGGCCAGTTCAGTGACCATTTTATTCGCGTGAAGAGCACTATTATTTCGTAGGGGCCAGTTGTCCATCTTGAAGGGGGGAGCACAATTGTAATGTTGCGATCGGCCGGAGCACTTTATGTTCTTTCGAGGGGCAGTTTTCCATCTCGAGACGTTATCGCGAGAGGAGCACTAAAACAAACTGTTTTTGATGGCCAATTTTCTAACTCGACAGGGGCACAATTTTATTATTGCGAGAGGTTTCTTTTGTGCTTTCGAGGGGTAGTTTTACATCTCGAGAAGGTGCACAATCTTGTTGAGGGGTACTTTTGACTTGTGTTTTAGGGGCTTGTTTGCATTACAAGTGAGAAGACAATTTTATTTGTAGCGCTTTCATAATGTGTGTTCATCTCGAGGGGACACATTTATAACTGCGAGAGAGACACTTTTGTTGGCCTGTGGAAATTGGGGGGGGGGGGGGGTTGGTTGGTTGGTTGGTTGGTTGGTTGGTTGGTGTGCGGTTCGATTCCACTACACATGAATGCTGTTAGGCTATACAGTTTGTGTATATGTTTTCCCGACTCGGTTTTGATGTGCTGTCTAGTCTTCAATGTCCATTTGCTGAGGTTGCTTGGGTCTTGTAGCCTGAATGGAGGCTACGAGTTGACGCCAGCATCTTTCCTCATCCTCTTGCCTCCATTCCAGACACGTAATCTTGTCTCGAAGTACCGTCAAGGTGGCTGGCAAGGCATCAACTGGAAGAGCGTCTTGCAACACGAGAAGGAGACCAGCAGCACCGTCCATGATAGCAGCGTTGCCAGCGGCCGCTGGGGCGACTGGAGCGGCGCCTACCGTTGCATCTAACATCCGGGTACTGGCCATGTCCAACTCGAGCATGCACTGGCCGTTTGCAATGAAGTTGGCGTCAAGGAGAACGATTATCAGCCGACTAGACGTCATCGCAGTCGCCACATTGTCCAACTTGTTAGCGCCGACGAGGAAGTCCCGAAAGGACAAACACAGGCGGAAGTTGTTAGGCTCCCCTTCCAGGCGTTGCATCATCTTTTCGGAGACGAAAACTTCATTTTCGCTGTGATGACAGATGTAAGCGTCGTATGCATACCCCTCCTCATCACCTTCATGGACATTGTTATTCAGACGATCGAATCTTCTGAATAACCCAACCCATCTCAGCCTCATCTTCCTGTGCACAATCACAACCACCACCACTACTGCAATTCCTAACACCACGACGGCCGAGATGATGGAGATAGACAGACGAGTGACTGTGCTTTCTGCAGTACAGTTAGGTTCCAAAAAATTGACAAGACTCAAGTCGTAAAGTGATTTATCTCGAAGCAGTTGAGGACTCGCACATCCACATTCGCCAGACCATTGTCTACACACTATGTCAAAGGGTGATTCACCTTGCAGCAAGTAAATAAACGGCAGCAGGTCACACGTACAGCTGAAAGGATTACCGAGCAAATAAATCCTAGTTAGAGAAAGCAACCGAGTCAATGCCTCAATATCGGCGGCAGATACAATTTTGATGTCATTCAAGGAGAGGTCTAAGAAAGTCAATTTGGTGAGGGAGGAGAGTACATTGATTGGCACCTGCTGCAACTTGTTATCTGCGATCGTCAGCGATTTCAGAGCTGGAAGATCCTCGAATGCACGGGGTGATACGCCTGGAGTCGTCTGCGTACGGATGAGGATAACCTGTTCCAGGGAGGGTAAGTTATACAAAAACTGGTCAGGTAGATACTCAATTGATGTGTCTTTGATCTCAAGTGTTCTCAGAGCTTGAAACGAGTGAAAGCTCGGAGGTTCGATCGGTTTGCCGTTTGTCTGACTCACTCCGTTGACCTCGACATATTTCAGATTGGCACTCTGGTCGCGGAAGCCATCTAAGGGTAGACTGGTCATTTGGGTCCCGCGGAAGTGGAGATCTGTAAGAGTCCGACCGGCGAACGCGCCTCTCTCCACCGAGACGAGCTCAACATTGTAGACGAATAACTGGAACGGCGTCACGCTGGCTGAGGCTGGTATGGCGTTTCTCGGGATCACCAGGGGAGGCAAAGCAGTCCGATTGGGATCAAAGTACTTAGTGCTGAATTCAAGAGACCACCACGGATTCATTGTAAGGTTCAGGCCGTGAAACTGCGAGAAGTTAAATCCATTTTGGCCAACCGTACAACTGAGTAAAAGGCCGTCCTTGAAAAAAATGGTAGCTTCCTCATAGATTGATCTGAAGGAACAGGAACAATCTTTGGGAGGGTTCAGACAGTCGGGCTGGTCTAAGACGTCTTCATACGGAAATGTCGACGGTAGAAAAAACAGCAGAAGAAGCATGTTAACAGATGCGCCCTCCATTGACTCTGTGGATAAATTCACAAGACAATATGCATTAGACTAAAAATGTCTTTTGAGATACACATTTTATTTTTAAATAAGCTTGAAAGACTAATTCTCATTGACAAACACATCTAAAATGACCAGTTGATAAGAACATGTATTCAAGCATGATTAAAGCAAGCCAGGGCTAACTAGAATCCATCGGATGTAGGTTAGGTAAATCTTCGTGTCGTTATCATTTTCGTTCCCACGCAAGTACGCGACGTAAAAACAAACGTGATCGAACAAGGAGACTAGGTACGATTGTTTTTCTTGTGAAATGCCAAGATAAAATTCCAACATGATTGTTTCTTGGGGTGATTACGGTTGGAAATCATTTTGTCAAAAAATATAGCAACAGAAAGGGCAACCCCATGTAAAATGCCCATAGAAGGGTTACTGTCACGGTTTTGGAAGCTCAGAGACAACGTGGCGTTCTTGCAGACTCAGTTACAGACAATGAACATTCTGCTTCACTTGTGCTTCTCAGGCTAGATACTCCTGACCTTGTATTGTTGACAAGGATAACGTTATTACGGATTATTAATTCGTTATTACGGATTATTTAATTCGTTATAACGGATTATTTAATTCGTTATTACGGATTATTAATTCGTTATTACGGATTATTTAATTCGTTAATACGGATTTTTGATTCGTTTTTACGGATTATTTAATTCGTTTCTACGGATTATTAATTGTTATTACGAATTAAGTCTGATGTTCTCACACGTGGAGAGCACGTGACCAGGGGCCTATGTATATAACGCCGCTAGGCGGCGCTATCTTTGCATACAACGTTTGCACTCCTGTGCCATACTTGCCGAGTAATGACTCGGAACGTATGAGTAATTCGTAATTACGAATTAATAATCCGTAATAACGAATTAAATAATCTGTAATAACGAATTAAATAATCCGTTATAACGAATTAATAATCCGTAATAACGAATTAACAATCCGTAATAACGAATTAAATAATCCGTAATAACGAATTAATAATCCGTTATAACAAATTAGTAATCCGTAATAACGAATTAATAATCCGTAATAACGAATTAAATAATCCGCAACATATATACTTGCAGTGGCGCTAATGGGATTTCGTGGAATGTGTATCCTTGTGGAGTCATTTCTTTGTTCTCGTGTACTAAAACAACTGAGTTTAAAAATCTGGTTTAAATTTTCATATTTTAACCAGAATTATTTTCCTGGGCTGAAATTCGGACTTTATATCCCGTACATAAAATACTTCAATTTGCGACGTATCAACACACCTTGGAAATTCCTAGTTTTTAGTAAAATCCATCTATTTCGTGATAACCTCGTGGAGACGTATTCTCCTATAGAAATTGTCCTGTGGAGACGTATACAATATTTTGTTCCCTATTATACCCGTGTTTCCACAGGGTACCGTGTACCAGATCATGTTGACTTTACATACCTAGTGTGGACATTCCTTTGTTCTCGTGTAGTTAAGAAAAACCTCTGGAAGAAACTAATTTTACTCACACTGTGAAAACTCTTTCAACCCATTTTTTTCTTTGATTCCCTTTGATTCCCTAAACCTAACCCCAAAATGCCTCTAAACCTGTTTTCCAGAGAGGGGGAAACACTGCGTGGACGTATAGGCAAGTCCACATTAAAGTACACAACGTCACTGCTACCTGGTTTATGTGGATATCTTTTGTCCGGAAGCATTATATTCACACAGTGAATATAATGCACATTCGCACTCAGAATGAGCCGGCCTTAACAATCGAGTTTTGCAGTTGGTAAAAATAAATACCTAAAGAAACCAATACCAGAAAAAAAGGTCTTACCAGCCGTAAACGGAAAAGAGGACACAAATAAAACCGACCGTCATGCACCAAATTAGCCTCAGAACACTAGTTATCCACAGAGCACTCGTGACTCTATAAGGCTTTGTTCAACGCCAGCGGAACAAACTCCGAGAACCAACTTTCCGGCATTAAGAGCGCCAAGGATATGAATTCGAAACTGTGAAATACGTCCTTGACGATATATCTTTACTTTCACTTTCCTAAGTTTACATTTTACATTGCGAAATCAAAACTAACTGTATTTTGAAAGCACTTCCGTGAACAACTCAATCACGTGACCACTGCTCCCAAGGGGGGGGGGGGGGGGGGAGACATATAGTGTAAGTACCTTTAAGCTTTTACTCTTATCAAAGGTGGTGAAACGAAGTCAGGAAATGACAGGTAAAATATATAATAAAAGGAAATTCAATCATGGGTATTCATTGTAACTGACAAGACGAATAAGTCATTTCGTTGATGTATCATCAGGGAGGATCTATAGCTTTCAAGCAACAGGCTGCAGGGGGGGGGGGGGACGAAGGGGGTGAGTGCTAGGTGGGTCCGGGGCATGCCCTCTGAAAAAAACTGCAATATTTGATGCTTGTTCATGCATTTTCAGGCAATTTAACAATACATTTAGGAGGTGCAGTATCATGTGTGTATGGGGGCATGTATCACACATGATGGGAAATGGTACACGTTTTCGGGGTAAAAGTTGAGTCATTAAAAAAAAGGAAAAACATTAACATAGTCGGGGGAGTTTACTTCAAAAGACCAAGAATTCGTTGATGACGTTTCGAGTTGATGACGTTTCTACTAATAAACTGTCATCTCCGCTGTGCCGTTTAATCGTAAAGTCTGTCCTGAGACAATGTTTATATTGTTTCCTTGGCACGAAATGATGAGAATATTCCTCGCCCTGATGGGATGCCAGCCCATCAATTTCACTCACCGGAGTGCCGATACCAATTTTGTTGAGTCCCGAGTGAAGAGGGGACTCTCTTGAGCCCCACCCCAGAAGTGTAATCAAACGTGTATGGTAAGCTTGTAACTCGACCGTAAACGCATACAGAATACACATGTAGATGCCGAGATTTTTTTGATTGCAAACATAAAGTGAAAGGTAATTATCTCCTACTTTATTGTGCATCTACTGTGCTCTCCGAACGGATGCATCTGAAATAACAGGTGCACATGGTTCTGTTTCCCTTTTATTCAGGCATGCCCCTGAAAAAAAGAAATATTCGATGCTTGCTCCTGCATTCTATGGCAGTTTGACAATAAATTCAGGAACTCGGGCCTCATTTGACTATTAAAACCTCAAAACAACTCTCTTGAACCTCATCCACATGTGTATAACCCAACGTGAATTGTAATCTAACGCTAGTAACCCCACCGTGAACACAGAATTGCTGCCGAGATTTCTCTGTTTGCAAACATAAAGTGAAAGCTAATTATCTTCCACTTTAACGTGCATCCACTGTGCTCTCCAAACGGATGCAGGCTTTACTGAAATAACAGGTGCACATTGTTTCTGTTTCCTTTGTATTAAAGCTAAACTAGATCTGATTGGAAGGTTTCGTAACCGAAACTACATATACCTTGCTATTTTGTGAGAATTTAAGCAGGAAATAAAGTTTACAGTAAGCAGTAAGTCAATGTTCACACGAAAAGTAATGAATATTATTATAAAACGCGAGTTATTCCATTTGCGATCTTCCAAAAATAAAGGCATGGAAAAGACAATTTGTTTCTGAACTTTAAACTGTCCACTACTTGAAGACTGTCTGTTAAATACTCCAATTGTGTTGGCCATTACAAGTTTCCTCGAATAATAATTATGAGTAATATGCTTTTTTATTTTTATACATGAAAGACCCGATGTTATTTTGATTTATTAAGTGGACACGTGCCACTTATTTACGCAGGCTTTTCAAAGAACGCTAAATGTATTTCTTGTTTTCTGAATAAAAATAAAATTCGCAGAAATTAGAAGTAATTTTTGATGATTTTCTAGCTCAAAAAAGTCTGATATTCAATTTTAAACAAGCATGTTACTCTGTGATATAGGCCATCGATGTGTATTTTTCAAACTATAAAGATAAATTCAACGTTTGTGGAACGGTTGGTCAGACGAAATAGACAGGAAAAAAATTGAACAAACAAAACATGTGAACTATTGGGTCGTATGTACTAAAACTAGCATTTGCTTTTACTACCTATTTTTAAGCATTTACTTGCATTTGTATGAATAAAAATGAAGCAAATGCTTTTACTGGAAAGCATTTGCTGAAAGCTAAGAGTATTTACTTTTTAAGTGTTTACTTAATTTCGTGTGTATAAAAAGGAGTAAATGCCTCAGATTTCAAGTATTTACTAGTCATTTCTCAAGGCTGGGTTAATATAAATCACGCCAAAATTAATACAAAACGTTAATAAACTATACATAAAATATCATACACTGTACATGTGTATTTTGAATAACATTTATGCGAAATTTGAATATGTTATACTTCTTAGAATTTGCTAGTTTTTATACATACGACCCATTAAAACATGCACGTTTACAGGGAGTTCCCATCTATTGCGAAACTAGCTACAAGTGAAACTAGAGCTATGCCTGTTCGATGAATAGAACATAGGCTTTTCCGCATTTTGTTTATACAAATAAAACGTGTAAAAAATAATTTAACAAAAAATACTACGTCAAGTGTTTGTATTTGAAAATTTAAAAAGGTTGATAAATTGATTTAAAAAAAAGGTGATGCCGTCATCACGATGTCACTTCACACTTTACACACTATTAACAGTATTACCTACCCACCAATTTTTAAGACACTCGGACTTACCCTTATAAGTGTTTTTTAAAATCGCATTTTCGATGACAGATACCTATTTCATAACAAACCTAATACAAAAATAACTTTGAATTTAGCATGTTGGGTTAGCCAGATGTGGTGATAATCTTCAAAACTTCAAAATTCGATATAAAATCGCACGATGACGTCATGATGACGTCACCTCAAGTTTTACCTATAACACATCCCGGTTCACCTACAATCGGAATTACAGTTTTCTCAATAAAACTCTTAGAAAAATATACATTCATGATGCCGTCACATGCCCCGTGATGACGTCATAGTAACAATACTTGACGGTGTTCATTATTTTATTGAGGTTATAGTCAGTACCAAGTTTGAAGCCAATCAGATAAATAAAAGTCTTAAATTGTGTGAGCAGAATAAAATTGTTAATATTTAAACAATCTTAAAAAATATACCGATGAAGTCTTCGTGCCGTCATTTCAGATTTTGAGTACTAGTACTATTGTCTTCATACCCACCAAGTTTCATGACAATCGACCATTCCCTTATATGTTAAAAAAAAACCAGTATGGCCTAATGGAAATTCACGACTTCAAATTGGTACATTGCTGAATGTCAAAAGGTGTGGGGAGAACAACTTAATTTTTGTACTGCAAAGATATATTCTTTTTAAGGCTACACAGTATATCACGCACGAATCCTTAATCACTTTCTACGATTTACAAATACATATTGTATATTCCATAAATGTGGAGATATAGATGTTTGACTATTTCTAATTACTGCTCCAAATACATGCTTGTCTCGTTTATTCTTGCGAAGTTGCGATCTAAAAATGGCCTTAAATAACATTTAAACGCGTCAGACAACCAAATATTCTCCCATTTTGTCAAGCTTCATTTTCCTGATATCGAGATGACGACTTGTGAAGACAAGTCAAGTCACCAAGTCGACTTAGGCTCCGGATATCGAGATGTCCACTTGTCGAGATCATTTATCTTGCCAAATCGTCATCTCGCCTTCGGAAAGTCGACTTTTGTTGCAAATTACTTCCCGAAAAAGCTTTTAATTTCCACGTAACTGCACTGAGAAGAAACTGCGACGATCGATCACCGACGGTGAATTTACGTCGGTTCGTGTTTAATTGCGAGCAAGAAGACACGTGCAGTGAAAATTGGTTGCGCGAATATTAGGCAGCGCGAATTCGGGGCACTCATCGACAATATCTTTGTTATTATTCTGTTCACACTGTTGTAATTGCTTCTTGATGGGCTCTAAATCAGGTCTAAAGCAGCACATTTTGGAGAGACCTTTGACCAGCTCCCTCAAAGTTGTTTCTTTTCCCTTCTTTCTTGAAGCTGTGACAAACGCGTTCAGAACGTATTTTGTCGGACTGCATTTTTGAAGATAGGCCCTCTTTTCTACTCCCTCTACCCAGCTGTGGCCGTGTTCTCTGTCCACGAACAGAAGTTCAGGGAGATGGCGCCAGTCCTTTCCCAAGGGATTGGGCTTGTCTAGCATGTTGCAAATGCTCTCGCAGATATCTTGATCCAACCATGGCCCGGTGTCGCAAGTGCTTGGGCTTTCCATCTGCCTCCACATCAAGTCGTCCAATGCCTCACATGGTTTCTAAATGAGGACATAGAGGAAAAAATAATCATCATGAGTACGTTTGCACAACTTTGGACGTTAGCAGTCTTATGCCAAATAGATTATCAATGTGTAACCAATGTCTTCTGGAGATCACATAGAAACTAGTTTGGCTTTTTGACAAGTAATCTCGAAAGAGTCGAAACTGATTTTGTGAAAACGATAACAGGTTTAATACAGCCCCTTTAGATAAGACAGTGTCGGTATAAATCCTCTGATTGAATTCGGAATTTGTACCGTTGCCCAGATAACTAAAAGAAAAATGCAGCACATAACAAAGTCTCACCTGTTTGAACCCGCCGTTCGTGGGAACCCGCAAGATAAATTCCACTTGGTGTTCTTTTCGTTCGGCTGGGAAGACTTCCAGAACAGCTCTGAAAGGGTTAAGGACTGAGGACGAGCTGTTTCTTGCACAAAACGGCTTGCATGGGAAGGCGCGGACGTTCTCTTGACTGTACACCCTCCACAGGTACTGGGATTGAATGGTCTATAAGGGACCAAGAATAAGGACAGTTGCAATCAAGTCATCTTGTGTCATTCAGATATCGTTCGGTCTCTTGTCAAATCACAAGCTGTGAACTGTGGGCATTCGGCATCTATTACTTGTGACCTGATTAATTAATTAGACGAAATCGGAGAATTAGAAGGGAAAATAGCATCCGATCTTTTCAGTGATACAAATCCATATATTTTTCTGGCCGGCAAATGATCTTTGATAATTAGACGGATAATTGAAACATTGATTTTCAACTAGTAATTAGAGGGGATGCATTTATCAATCGTGACTCATGCATATCGGCTTCAGCGCAGTGCTGTAGTTTCATAGACATACCTGTTCGCAACATGAGGACTCCGGATGAGAGATCATTTTCCAGGGTTCCACGATTGAGCTGATTTTTGCAACAACTGCCGGGTCCGTCTTTTGCACCACCAATTCTTGTGGGGGGCCTGCTAAAACGAAACCTATGGCGTTTTCTTCACTCTCCACTTCCTATGTAGGAAAGAACCGCTCTCATAGTTACTCAGAAAAAACAACATCCAGCATGCATGTTAAGGTAAAGTCTCAAATTTGCGTTCCGTCATGTTCAGACGCCAGCATAAATGGACCTTTTTTGGTCGTTAAGATATCCCCCAAAACGGAGAAAAGATCCAGCCTCATCCAGGACGGACACAAAAGTTTACAGTCTCTCAACCATGTCAATAATTTCCACAGCAATGTTCGTCAACTAAATTAGCAAACACTTTTTGTGCAAATCCAGTCATCGCTCGAATCTACCCAGTATCAAAATCATGTGGACATAATCAGGATGGCAAACAACAGAAAGGAACGACTGCAATATTCAAGTGGATCATTCGTTTTACTGGACTAACCTGCAAATTGATTTTCATGTTGTCGAAGACCCGAACATGGATGTCCACCTCTTCCGCATCACTGCTTTGCCTAATAAACGGACAGACCAGCATGGATTTCGCATTAATTTCTCCAAATGCTCCAATTCCGCAGAAATGATCCATCGACAAAGTCAGAGAGTCGCTGTCAACAAGGACAATCCCATCCGCGGGATCCTGAATGCTTTCAGTTCCCTCTGATGTAGACTTCTCGAAAGTGAACTGTTTGTCGAGTACATCCTTGGCGCAGTGCGGAAGGGTCAAGAAGACATCTTTGCGGAAGTGGAACCCCGAGGGTCCACAGTAGACATACGGGGTGAGGTGGCTGCGGCCACTAGTCAAGCTGCCTTGGACATAAATGTAGACCCTCTTGGGAGATTCATCAGCAGGTATGGCCCCAGGTGGAATGAACAGATGGACATCCAAGGTTTCAATGGACAGACAGCCTCCATGACTATCCAGCATTGCAGCAGCGAAGTTGTCCACCTGAATTACGCGCCCAACCACATACAGGCCTGCAGCTTTCGCTTTGGAACATATTCGATCAAACGACGAGAGGAACTCGTCTTTCCTGGATAAGGCACAGCTGAATTGTGCTGGAGAGCCAAATGGCGTTGATGGTGAAGATGGCGGTGATGGTGATGGTTGGAGAGATGGCGTTGATGGTAAAGGCGGTGCCGCTTCCAAAGGAAGCACGACGGACTGTGACAGGGGTGAAGATTTCTCCGGGTTAGCTGACCTGCAGTCCACGACTTCTGCAACCTCCAAGTGTGCTTGATTGTTGCATGACGCCCCGATGGACCTTGCCCGTGAGCATGTAATGCAGACGGTCAGTAAACGCAGAATGCCTCGGATAAACCGCAGTGCTGGGTGAAGTCGACTCGAGTCGACAGTGTTTTCTATCTGGTCTATGTACGTCGTCTCAGGGGCGGGTTGCTGCGGCTGATCTGGACAGTCTAATTGCACCTGCAGTTCTTGGACTCCCTCGGCACTGGTGCTGGGTTCCGCTCCTCTGTCCTCCATAACGACAGACACAATAGGCTCGTAATTCGGGCATCTTTGCGCACTCCGGGCTCTAGCTCTGGCCCTCAAATGAGTAGTCACGTTGGCGCTATCTACACTGTCACACCGGGGTGACTCGTGATTGGGGCGTCTTGGCATACTCTGGGCTCTAGCTCTGGACCTCAAATGAGTAGTCACGTCGGCGCTATCTACACTGTCATACCGGGGTGACTCGTGATTAGGGCGTCTTGGCATACTCTTGGCTCTAGCTCTGGCCCTCAAATGAGTAGTCACATCGATGGCGCTATCTATACTGTCACACCGGGGTGACTCGTGATTAGGGCGTCTTGGCATACTCTGGGCTCTAGCTCTGGCCCTCAAATGAGTAGTCACATCGATGGCGCTATCTATACTGTCACACCGGGGTGACTCGACGTCAAGGAAATTGGAAGAACTGCCCTCGCTTTCTTGCCGCGATACACTCGGTGAGGGAGTGGGCGGAAGTCCGCTGTCATTCCCCAAAGAGATTACTGACGTAGTACGAGGCATACTGACATTGTTGTCTAGCCCAGGCCCTCCCTCAAAGCTCAAACCGCCGTAATGCGCCGACACTGACCCGCCTTGATCATCAAAGTACATGTACATCCGGGATCCTTCCCTCGAACTTGTTTCGTCTCCTGTCATCCCCAGGTTGTCTATGACGGATGCATGCCTTTGAGTAGACATGGCTATGGAGTGGTAATCTGTGGTAATAAAGAATAACAACAATCATGGCCTCCATTCGTCCCCCACTGGAAATTTGTTAGTATGAATTTTAAACATTGACATCATTCTGGCCTTTTTGTCTGTTGCATCTAGCCCATATAAAGCTGGTATGTCATTCCTGAGTCCAAGTGGCGGCCATTTAAAAAAAAAAAGAGCTGGCGGCCATCTTGAAAAATAGCCCGGTCGGGCGGCCATTTTGGAAGGGGGAAAAAGGGCCGCCTCCTTCCTTTTTTTCAAAAAGCAGGACGCTAAGCATGTTTTTTTTACTTGGCCTTATAAGTGGTTATCGGGTTTAAGAGAAATTGGGCGGCCCCCACTGTAACATCCGCCCTCCCCCACCTCCCCTCATGTGTGGTGTCACTGTGAACCCTGGCTATGCCGCTGAGCATTCACACAGTGTTATGCTTGATGATCTCGATGGCTTCTCTGATGCGTCAGGGGTACCAGCGGTCGATGCTAGTGAGTAGTTCTGCTTGGCTCCATTTGATCTGGTTGTCCTCGGTGTGGGAGTGTTTGACGAAGGAAGATTTGTTCATTGAGTCTGGTGGGGAGGTCCCTGCCAGTCTCGCCGATATACACTTTGCTACAATGACATGGAATCTTTCATCCAAGACCTCAGCCTCCAGCCGGACGACATCGTGTCACTGTGAACCCTGGCTATGCCGCTGAGCATTCACACAGTGTTATGCTTGATGATCTCGATGGCTTCTCTGATGCGTCGGGGGTACCAGCGGTCGATGCTAGTGAGTAGTTCTGCTTGGCTCAAGTTGATCTGGTGGTCCTCGGTGTGGGAGTGTTTGACGATGAAAGATTTCTCGAAGTCTTCCTTCCTGCCATGGCTTTGTGTTCATTGAGTCTGGTGGGGAGGTCCCTGCCAGTCTCGCCGGTATACACTTTGCCACATTGACTTGGAATCTTGTACACCCCTGTCTGCATTCTGGATCACACCGATCTTTGTGTGAAGTCAGCAGGTCCTGCATCTTCAGAGGGGCTGTGTGGAAGACTCCAATGCCATGCTTTTTGAGGATCAGATGCGTTGGATGTGATGAGAAGTGGTGCCTAAGTAGTGCAGGGTGATGGAACTATATAGGGGCCGTAAATAGTTGGCTTTGGGTATAGGAGACCCTATGGCCGGAAATGGTTCTTGGGTCTTGTGTCTTGACTTGGCTGGGCTGGTATCCGTTGCACTGCAGTGCTGTGGTGATGTGATGGAGTTCTTGAGGTAGGTGTTTATCGTCGCAGATGTTGTACGCTCTGCGGACGAGGGCTCGGTTAACGGAGGACTTGAAGGGTGGTGGAAAGAGTTGCTGAGCAGGTAACTGTCCGTGTGGGTGGGCTTGCAGTAGACACTGCGAGCAAGACTTCCATCTGGCTTTCTGGACACCTCAACGTCAAGAAATGAGATGTTGCCATCTCTTTCTTGTTCCATGTTGAACTGGATGCTGCCGTGAAACTTGTTGAGGTGTTCCAAGAAGAGCTGGAGGTTGTCTTGCCCGTGTTGCCAGACGACAAAGGTGTCATCCACGTACCGGAGCCAAACCTTGCGTTGGTCTGTTCAAATTCTTCCATGAACAAGTCCGCCGGAACCGGGGATATAGGAGATCCCATGGAGGTTCCAGCCAACTGTTCGAAGAATTTGTCCCGCCATCTGAAGCTGGATGAGTTGGCACATGTGAGGAGCAGTTCTCGAAGCTGGTCAGGGTGAGGTCGGTGCGGTCTTGGAGAGTAGTGTCAGCTTGAAGTCTGTCCTTGGCGATGGTGCAGGCGTCTGAGGTGGGAATGCTGGTGAAGAGGGAGACGACATCAAAGCTGACCATGACGTCGTCCGGCTGGAGGTTGAGGTCTTGGATGAAAGATTCCATGTCAATGTGGCAAAGTGTAGGGGTCTATATCGGCGAGACTGGCAGGGACCTCCCCACCAGACTCATGAACAAAAAGCCCATGGCAGGAAGGGAGACATCGAGAAATCTTCCATCGTCAAACACTCCCACACCGAGGACCACCAGATCAACTTGAGCCAAGCAGAACTACTCACTAGCATCGACTACTGGTACCCCCGGCGCATCAGAGAAGCCATCGAGATCATCAAGCATAAAACTGTTCCCCAAGACATCGGTTTCTACATCAGCATGAGCGACATCTGGCACCCCATCCTCAGGTCCAAGTCCGATGGGTCTCCTACACCCTAGGACAACTTAGGTTCAGTTCTCGCCTATGGTCACCTATACCCTTAGCCCCTTCCCCTTTGCCACCTTACTGTGGACTGACACGCTCCAGTGATCATCCAGCATCCCTCAGTCAACTTTCATCCTTCTCAGCTTCACCGTTTTCGAGCTTCACCATTTTGCATCCTTCTCACGCCTCACCGCACCCATCCTTATTACATCGCATCATCGTTAGAATCCCTCATTCTCCTGACAACGCGACGGGCAGAGCATACTGTTCAAAACATTGAGTCCCTCCGGTTCATTTCAGAACCACACACACTCATAAAAGAGATTTATTCACATGGTGCTACCGCAAACTAGTGTCTTAACATCAAAAAAAGGAAATGATCTAATTATCACGAAATACCTTACTGGATTGTTTGGGAATAGCAATCTCAAGCATCCTGTAAAATCATGGGCCCTGGTGTGCTGACATTCATTTTCAAGTGAAATTGTATTTTTTCTAACGCTGGTCGGCCGACCAGCGTTGGAGAAATCTGGCATTTTCAAATCCTGCTTGTATTTTTTCATATTTAGTTATTCCGCACTTTCTTTGCAATTGATTACACACCTGTGTAGGGGTACAAGCCTGCTAGACTGATTCTCTGACCTTACAATCCTCAAAGTCTTTAAATTGCTCCGTTTCATTTTACGTGGGGTCAGGGAACCGGACTATACAAGAACACGATTGGTTTTGTTGGTTTCTCCAGCATCTACAAACCCAAAACAAGTCAGTATAACAATATTTTCTACAACATACTCATCCTCCAAATCCATTTAATTCTGAAAATTGAAGCAACAGCAAATGTTGTTCATTCCCTTTTAACGTGAATATCGTGTACCGTGAAATCGGAGTGCTGCCCCGATATTTTGTATTACACAACTATCTGGGGTACCTGTGCGCTTTCCTATGGGGCATTTTGTTGATTTTTGTAGATTGTATACGCCGCTCTACAATCCTATTACCTTGATTCAAGTCGCCTGAAAAATGGGTACCCTGTACTATTGTGTAAATAAAATATTCCCAGGCGCCCACTGCCGTAAAAATACAAAAATACGCTTATACGGCTTTTGCCGTTGGGGACCAATTGCTCGCCAAGGGCCCCCTCCCCCCTTGACGACGGGAAATCCCCCCCCCCCACACACACACACACCCACACACACTTGCGCACCCAATATGAGTCGGTTACAATCGAGTGTTTATAGTTGGTAAAACTAACTGCCTACAAGAAACCAATACCCGAAAACAAAGAACACTTACCAGCCATAAACAGAAAAGACGACACAAATAAAACCAACCGCCAGGCACCAATTTAGCCACGGAACACTAGTGACTTTGTAACGCTTTGTTCAACGCGAGAACGAAATCTGTGAACCAACTTTACGTCCTTGGCGATACATCCTTGTTGCACTTTCACTTGCATCGTTCAACATTGTGAAATTAAAACTCGCTTTTTATATTATTTCGAAAGCGTGAACAACTCAATCACGCGACCACTACTCCCATATACAAGGATACACTTGTTGTACGAAACATCATTGTGAAGGACTCTGCTTGTATTGTTATCGTTCAGATGAACGAAACCAGGAAATGATTGGTACAATAATGAAGAACACAGATTTATGGTGGCTTTAAAGGGACATCGCACATATATATTGACGCCAATATTGACGCCAATATTCACGACATGGTCTCCATGTCGCAAATATTGACGCCAATATTGACGCCAATATTCACGACATGGAGCCAAGTCGCAAATATTGACGCCAATATTGACGCCAATATTCACGACATGGACCCAAGTCGCAAATATTGACGCCAATATTGACGCCAATATTCACGACATGGACCCAAGTCGCAAATTTTGACGCCAATATTGACGCCAATATTCACGACATGAACCAAAGTCGCAAATATTGACGCCAATATTGACGCCAATATTCACGACATGGTCTCCGAGGCGCAAATATTGACGCCAATATTGACGCCAATATTCACGACATGGTCTCCGAGGCGCAAATATTGACGCCAATATTGACGCCAATATTCACGACATGAACCAAAGTCGCAAATATTGACGCCAATATTGACGCCAATATTCACGACATGGTCTCCAAGTCGCAAATATTGACGCCAATATTGGCGTCAATATATATGTGCGATTTCCCTTTAAAGCCACCATACTGATTCTATCATGGGCATTCATAGGTAGCAGACCAGTAAATAAACTTCCATAGACCCCAATGGTAAATGCTCCCACTTCAAAAATTCGGGAAAAATACTCACAACTCTCCAAGGTGTTCGAGACACACACCAAATCAAAGCTTATTTCATCATCTTTCATTTTCTTTTCATTTTCGGGGGTCAACTGATGACTTTTAGGAGAAATTTCCATCTGAAGATGATCACCCCTGAAAATGGTCCTGAAGCCCATCGCCATTTTGAAAAACGATGCCTACACTCCATTGCAAAATAGAGCGCATTTAGGGTCCAAATTACATCGAAATTACACAGAACTGCAAGCTCCCAGTCCTGTGTACGGCTTCCACCCATAGTTTCTACAAACCCTCAAGTTCATGGCCCACAGCATGCTCAAATACCGAAGATTTTGAGGGCATGCAAATCGTGATTTGGCCGGCGCAGGCAATTTCGGACCGATTTACTGGTCTGCACCCTTTAATGCAACAATGCAAAAAAAGTAGTTGCGTTGACGTATCACAGGGGCGGATCTATAGCTTTCGGGAAACGATATGAGGTGGTGAGTGCTAGGTGGTCCGGGGCACCCCCGCCCCCGAAAAAAATGAAATATTCGATTCTTGCTCCTGCACTCTAAGGCAATTTGACATTCCCCCCCCCTCCCCCGTTCAGCCGTGAATTTATATCACACATGATGCGACACGAGGTATACATGTCCTTTTTGGGGAGTGGGGGTGATGTTTCCCTCTAAATGAAAAACAACATAGTCGGGGAGTTTACTTCAAAAGACCAAGAATTCGTTGATGACGTGTCGAGTTTAAATATTGTTCACAGAAGTGCAATCAATCGTGTATAAGCTGACGATAGTACTAGCAAAGTAATGAATATTAGTATAAAACGCAAGCTATCCCGCTTGCGTTCTTCCAGGGAAAAAAGCATGGAAAAGACCATTCGGTTTTGAACCTTACAACTTTTCACCACCCTCAAGACTGTCTTTTTATTCTCCGATTGTGTTGGCCATTATAAGGACATGTAAGGTAATTATTTTAATGCAGTCTAGATAATGCACCTTTGTGTCCCATCTAACCTTATGTGTGCCCTTTTGTTTATGTTCATGAGAATTTTCACATTCATGAGAATAACTGTGATGTCATTCTGGGCAGAAACCTCAATGTTACAGCTATTTTGTCTTTTCTTTGACGATTCGTCGTTGTGTAAGTACATGGCAGGAAGCTAATGAGCAAACCTTTCTCACAAAAGCTTTCAATGAGCAAATTTGGGTTCCCAATTTGAACAGAAAACCCTTGAACTGAACAGTGTCTGCACTTGAAATGACATAACGGCAACAACGCCCTCAGTGTTGTCCGGAAAACTATGGAAGATTTTAAATGTTCAAAATGCTCAATGTTTTTAAATTTGGATTTTTTCCCAAATTGTTTTTTACTCAACCACCCACCCCTATTTTCGATTTTTAAAAATGATTTGTCATTAAAGATTAAATACACATGCACATGAAGGCCTAGCATTGCAGGTAAATAAAGCCTATTTATACTCGGAAATACCCGGTCGCTATCCAAGATTGTCGACGAAATGAATTCGGCAAACTTCGGAAATTTTCGGAAAAAGGAGGCATTCCTCCCATTTTAGTTAGGTGACTTTTGTGTTCCTGTGGATGTTATGATGTTGGCTTATTTTTACTTCCTCCCTCCGGATCGCTTCAAATCCGCATTACCTCGGAAACATAGTTTTGCACTACATTCCCTCAAATCATGTTATATTTGCATACTTAAATTGCTTCTAGGAAAGTCTATACTAGTTAGTGGCTGTGTTATGTCAAAATTATGTTCTTGTTGCAGGTTTGGGTTAACTGCGGTATCCTGAAGGGCTGATTTAAGTTGTTGCCAGCATCTTGCTGCATCCTCCGTGTTCCACTCCAAGCATGTGATCTTGTCTAGGAGGACCCTCAGTGTGGTCGGCAAGGCGTCCACAGGTAGAGCGTCGAGCAGCACGAGTAGAAGACCAGTCGTGCCTCCAGGAAGGAGGTGGTGGGACTCGGCACTAGCGACTGGAACTCCGCCTAATGAGCCTTCCTCTAGCGTCCGTGTACACGTCATGTTTAACTCCAACATGCAGTGGCCACAGGTGATAAAGTCAGCGTCAAGGAGCACGATGACGACCCGGCTCGCATCAATGGCGGTAGCCACGTTGTCGAGCTGGTCCGCTCCGACCAGGAAATCTCTGAAGGACAGACACAGGCGGAAACCATCTTGCTCCCCTTCCATCTCCGGTATCATCTCATTGACGACAAACTCAGTCGCACTTTCGTGGTGGCAGACGTACGCGTCGTATCTGTATTCGGTCTCTTGGTGAGTGGCATGACGGGAAAGATTTCTGGAATCAAAACGTCTAAACAAACCCACCCATCTCCTCTTTAGTTTCTTATACATTATCCAGGTGCTTATCACACCAACTATGCTCAACACGACCGACACGGTGACAACGGGTACGACGATACGATATGGCGAAAAGGCATCCACGATATCGCCTCCCCCGTTTTTCTTGGTTGTATTGACGAGCGGCAATTCAGTAGGGATAGTTGTCGTATCTCCACTACAGTTTGACTCCAGGTAGGAGACAAGATCTGGTGACAACAGTTCAGCTCCTAAGAGATGTGGTGGGTTTTTACACGAATAGGTAGCGAAGTTGCTCCTGCTGCCGATGACTATCGACGATTGGTGCAGCCAGCGAACGAAGGGTAGCAGCTGGCACGTGCATAAGAAGGGGCTATCACTTCCAAGACTAAACACCTCAAGGGATGGCATGTTTCTCAGGGCCTCCACCCCCGCTGAATCAACCATCTCGATTCGATTACCTTGCAGATTCAGCTCAGTTAACCCTTGAAGGTCTCTCAGAACCCTGGCATCCAAAGTCTTAATTTCGTTGTGAGAGAGGTCCAAGTGTTTCAGACTCGGAAGATCAGTCAGTGCGGCGGGTATCTCTGTGAAACCGTTGTGGCTGAGTTGTAAATTTTCCAGGCGGGGAACGTCGTGGAGGACCAATCGAGGGAAGTCTTCGTCTTCCAGAAGCGCATGGGAGATTTGTAAGTGAACAAGAGCAGTCAAGTGGGAGAAGGAACAGTTCGGGAGGTGCTTAAGTGGTGTGTTGGTGATAGTGATTGTCTGGAGTGCCTCAAAAGAGTGAAAACGAGGAGGCAAAATAGCACCCCCCTTATTAGTCAATACATCAAAGATGTCTATTTTGATCAGTGACGTGCTTTGCTCACGTATCGCCTCAACGGGAAAACTTTCCAGACCCAATCCAGCAAAGTTTACACGCTGTAGTCGAAGTCCTCGAAATACGTCATTTGAAATCGGTGCCAGATTGTAAAATCTGTACAGTCCAAGGCAGCAGGGGGTCGAATTTGAGAAAGACGCGAATGTGCCTTCTGGTATGGAGACCAGCTGGTTGACAGGCACGTTGCTCCCTAGTTCCAGCTCGTAGTCCTCGGAAGGAAATTCTGTCACATTGGGGAAGTACGAGAAGAAGACGGGGCTGCTTATCTCGCAAGACGCAGAGAGGTAAGGTGGACCTAAGAAGTTGTGCACACATTTACAAACATGACACAGGTGAGTGGTTTGAGTACTCTGGATCACAAGACACTAGGTGGCGATTATAACCAAAGCTCGCAGAGGGAGAACACGGGTAAGGAGGAAGCATGCCATCTTTACGACTGAAACTTCTTGGAGTCTATCCTGTCTCAGGCTCTTGGCAAAGCGGTGGCATTTACGACGGAGTCAGCACTGAATTAAAGGTGCAATATACTCCACAGGTATGCAGACGATGAATGCCAGCGTTGAAAGCTTACTATCAATGGAATCCGTTTTCTCCTTGAAATCCAAGTGAAGTCACCAGATGAAATGTCTACAAATTGCTTACTATACTAATGAAGCCATGGCGAAACTTGCCGCGGATAAAATATGTCCAGTCACTTGTTTATCTCATGCAGCAACCTACCCACACAATCATGTGCTCATCACCTCAAAAATCTATATCGTTTAAGAACAGGCAAAATCAAAGCACACGATAAAGTGATGTTCATAATGAATCCTACACTGTTTTGTTTTGTTTTCTGTTGTAAAATGACGGTTACTAGCTGTGCACTTGCATATGGTAATACATATGTACTTTCATTTTGTATTTAGTTGTTAACTAACCGGAAGTGTGGTTGGTTATAGTGACTTGTGTTAACCATCCCGGTTATATAAATACATTACACCGGATTTTCCGGTTGGCTAGTCATTCTGACAATGTTATGCCAGTATACCACGCAGGAAATTGAAAGTTAGGTAAAAGTCCATTCAGACAGGTGCGGAAAAACATTTAAGTCATCATCATTTTGCAACTAGGTTTTCCCAACCACATTTTTAAAAAACCAAGGATTTGTTCTAAGCTCATAAATTTGCTGTAATTGTATTTATGTTTTGAGATAAATATCGTGGCATATCTTATCAGACACAATTATCACACACCTCACATGTTCTGTGTGCATTTAGAGTTCAATAATTCGCTTTTAAACAGTGGCGCCCCCAGGATTATTTTTAAGAAGTTTGAATTTTTTCACCAAAAATATTACCTCAAATTGTTCGCAGCAGATTTTTTTTTTTTTTGAGGGGGGGATGGGAGGGGAGACGGACTATTTTGGTGGCGCCTCGACTCGAAATTAGGCCACATATCACCACAGTCAAATCGCCAGGACTGAAAAATTGCCCCCCCAAAAAAAAAGCCCCCCGGGCGCCCCCCCCCCCCCGCCCACCCTAGGTGCGCCGCTGCTTTTTTTTTCTAAGAGGCGGAATAAGTGGAGTTGAAATTAAACACCTTTTCGCGGAATGTCCGTCTCATGAGCCAATGAATTAAAAAAGGAACCATGACAGCAGCGCGTGGCGGCGAAATGGTTTTCAAACTGGGGGGAGGGGAGGGGGCATCACCAAAAATGAGACACTTGTTTAGTAAAAGGCATCTTCCGTCGGTGCATAGGGGTATATTCAGCATTTTTTTGGGGGGGGGGGGGGGAGGGAGGGTGCACATCCGCGCTGAACTGTCGACGCGTTTTTTGTTTCTTTCACCGGACACTTTGCCGCAGTAAAATGAAAAAGGGGAGGGGGTTGGGGTGGCTGCGGGCTGGTACCATATTCCAAAATAGGGGGCGCTCTTCAAACCGGTCATTATGCAAACTACGCATTATGTGCCCATCATTAGGCGAATTGAACTGTAAGCGTTGGTTTTCACTTCCTCGTTCATATCAGACCTTGAGTTACTGAAAACAAATTATCCGAAATTTTGGGGCCAGTTTTGTTTTCTTCGCAAGGGGCCACATAATGCTTGAGGTGCTCCGCAAGGGGAGCACTTGGGTTAATGGGAGGGCCGAGGCAATGCCTCCCTGCCCCCCCCCCCCCCCGCCCACTCACCCCCCCCCCCCCCCCGGTTCTGCCCCTGCATGACAGTTCACCGTCCATAATAGTCCCCCACGCCCCCCCCCCCCCCCACGTTCTTCCCGGCGGGGAATTATGAGATATTTGATGAAATCCCGTCCTTCCCGATTGATAATAGTTTCTGCGACAATTTGAGCAAGTTTTGAGGGAGCACTAACGAAGTTTTATAATTAATAGAAAAGGCACTTTTGACCCTCCGTAGATTAAGCGACCCATCCCTTGTCTGGCATCCTGTGCCCCATTTGACGATACTGCTATTCACTTTATAAAAACATAAAACATATTGTAGAGGGGCCAGTCTAATTTTCACCGCGTCAAAAAGGCACTGGGCAGTCCGTGCAGACGACATTTGAAGGTAAAAGATATCCTTGCTTGATTGCCATGGATCCCGTTCAGCCTAACCCCGACCCCACAGGCCAAAGTCAGGTAAGGTAATACGTGTAGCCGTCTGCAAGCTGGGTGACAAGCCCTATAATTTAAACACTTTTGATAATGCATGTTGCTGTTGGTCTACGGTCGAGTTCTTCTTGGCAACTGATTTTATTTGAAGTGGCTATTGTTACGGCCCCTGCTTTCAATCTCAAAACCGAAACCGAATCGATCCGTATGGAAGTGTAGATAGGACATGGTTAAAATAAAACTAATTCGTACGTACGAATTACTAACCGTACGTACGAAATACTAATTCGTACGTACGAATTACTAAATCGTACGTACGAATTACTAAAACCGTACGTACGATCGCACGTACGAATTACTCAGTAGCATAGCCACGGGAGGGGGGCATGGGGGCAGTGGCGTAGCCAGGAATTTTTCAGTGGGGGGGGGGGGGGGGGGGGGGCGCTAGGGCGCTGGAACATTAATGGGGGTGTCATGTAGATCAATGATATTTTTTTTTAGAAACTCAAAATCTCAGTGGGGGGCGACTGGGGGGCGACAAGGTTTCATGGCCCCCCCCCCCCCCCCGGCTACGCCACTGCGACAGGTCCCCCATGAAACCTTGTCGCCCCCCCCAAGTCGCCCCCCCCCCCCTGAGATTTTGAGTTTCTAAAAAAATTATTGATTTACATGACGCCCCGACCCACCTGAAATGTTCCACCCCCCCCCCCCCACCCCCCCCCCCCCCCCCCCCCCCCCCCCCCCCCCACCCCCCCCCCCCCGGCAGCCCCCCCCCCCCCCCCCCCCCCCCCCCCCCCCCCTCCCCCCCCCCCCCCCCCCCCCCCCCCCCCCCCCCCCCCCCCCCCCCCCCCCCCCAACTGAAAAACTCCTGGCTACGCCACTGGAATTATTAAACCGTACGTACGAATTACTAAATCGTATGTACGAATTACTAAACCGTACGTACGAATTACTAAATCGTACGTACGAATTACTAAATCGTACGTACGAAGTACTAAATCGTACGTACGAATTAATAAATCGTACGTACGAATTACTAATTATTTCGTACGTACAGTTTTTAATTCGTGCGTACGGTTTATTAATTCGTACATACGGTTTAGTAGTTCGTACGTACGGCTTAGTAATTCGTACGTACGGTTTAGTAATTCGTACGCATGAATTAGTCATTTGTACGTACGGTTTGGTAATTCGTACGTACGAATTAGATTTATTTTTACCATGTCCTATCTACACTTCCATAGATCCGACTGAAGTGATAGAAAACTGACTGACCCGTAGTCGGTTTCAGGTCGGGTTGATTTCGGTTTTGGGTCGGTTTGCAAAGCATTAGTGGGGTTGCTAATCACTGGTCTGCAAGCTCTTCGGACTGCCAAGTAAAACCATACGCATGCGAAATGCAACGGCAGCAGAATATTCATAAAAAGGCATGTATCACTTCAAGTACAAGCGGTAAGACCTTCAAATAAATACATGAAAACGGAAAATACATTCACAGAAAAGACAGATCAAGATTTGTCAGGGCAAAAAAATACTAAATCTCAAAAAATGTCCACTGCGCATGTTCAGAGCAGTGCTGCTAATTCCAACAAGAGTGAAAACAATCGGGAGGGAACCGGTGCACAGTCAAATATACACTGCCTATCCAACATGTTGCTTCATGCTTTGTCACAGGAAATTATAGATCACAGAAATCTGGAACATATTACAAAAATGTAGCAAACCTAAACTCATGTCATACAGTTTTGTGTATTCTCGCACGATCACTGCATTAATTATGTTTTGTTTTCAAAACAATCGTGTTTGTAATTCCAACTTGTTGGCCTACTCTCTTTCAGAACAAGACGGAGGATCCATTCCGGTTTAGAGTGCTGTTGGAACCCAAAGGATTCCTCAGGATTATTGAATTTGTGAGTGGATGACAAACCCCTTCAGTGATTTACCAAGAACCTTCCTCACTCTTGCAAAATCCAACACCATATGGATAACTCAATGCCCATACTGTTGGACTCTGATTCCAGTGGTACGCCTGACCCCATGTGAAGTATAATCAGTTTACTAGTGCAGTACTCACTCCAACAGATTCCAACGAAACGGGCAAATGGATTTTGTATGGTTGGGGTGTGGTTAAGCTTATATTTAGACTGTAGTCAGTTATGCCAAACCGAATTGTTCCTAAGATTTTGAATTAAGTTTGACGGTTAAAACAGAATCACCTCCTAATGCAAAAGTTGTCAAAAGTTCCACAAATACAGTTTTTTGGAACACAGGCAAGTTATTAAACCAATTGTTGCCTGTTGTGATGGGTCCGTGGTGTTTAGTACACCCGAGGGGGAAAATGTTCGCCTCAGGTGCCATTTATTTGCCTTTGAGGGCGTACAAAACCCATGGATCCCAATCATAGCAGGCAACAATTGTTTTGTTACACCACGGTAATAGATTCCAAGCGTCTGAAATTGTGGGTTTCCTCCAGTTGCTGCGCAGTAATCATGGAAGTATCCGAATATTCACACATAATGTTTTTTCAATGCACGGGAACATAAGTCACTTTACCTCGTCCCAGAATAGACCAATCTATTAATCCTTGCTTGCAAACTGACAACATTTTTTTTTCTTTGTTTGTTTACAGGTGTTAGCTGTGCTTACATTTGCTACCACAGCAGGTTACCAGAGCAGCGTTATATACAAAATCACCTGCTCGGGCAATTACGTCTTTGATTTGAAATACAACTTTAGTTACCCATTCAAGTAAGTTGTCCAATAGGACTGAAGATTATTCTAGAAGACAAAAAGGCTATTTTTTGTAAAAAAAAAATATTGTTGCTAAAAAACAATTAGAAAATCATCAGAAACATTTGTCAATATATATTTTGTCTTACCTTATGGTGACATCAGTCAGACATATTTTGTTCCTCTCATGAAGGGCAACGGTACAAGGTGAGGATCAATGTCAGCATCGACGACCCGGAGCTGGTTTAGGCATACTTGTTTAAAACCAGCCAAGCTAATATTATTTCCTTTTTAAAAACATACATATATTCTTCAGTTATATGTATATCCGTCCCACTGGGATATAATTCAACAGAAAAGTTGTGAGCAAGGGCGTTAGGAGGGGGGGGGGGGGAGAGGAGTAAAGGGGTGCTTCCCCTCCCCCCCCCCCCCCCCCCCCCCCCCCCCCCGAAAACAAAGCAAAACAAACAAAGAGTTTCGGCAATTGCCAAAACAGCCATAAAAACAAGCGCACAGTGTTTATTTCAGGGTTGGGGGTGGGCAAATGTCCCTACCCATCCTCGAAAAAATTGTAAATCAAGAAAATGCCGGAAAAGTACAGGGATATTTGGGGAAAATGTGCTTTGCCCCCCTCTAGAAAAAAATCCTGGCAACGCCCATGGTTGTAAGTCTTACTAAGCCATCCAGTTTGCGTCGATGAATGTATACACACAAAGGTTTTGCAGTATTCAGAAAGAATGACGGATAAACAAGCAATGAGCCAGGCCGAAAAAAACAAATCAGTCTGCGACCCGCTCGCAGGGAGCAAGGCCGGAAATATCAGGGTGTGCTCTCCACAGATGACGGCCTGAACCCGTCTGGCGTTGAGGTGCATGAAAAACAATCCTGTGCCTTTGTCTGATCAATGTCACAATAATCCCGGCGGGAACTGGTTGAAGAGAAGGAACAAATGTGTAAACATATTTGAGAATTGAAAGAAATTCTGTATTAAAACAATTAAGGTTGTTTCCAATGACGAGAGAATACACGACTTGAAATGCAGTTTCCTTTACCATTTTGTTCCACTTGTTTGTTGACAGTTTGCTCAAGTTTGGAGACGCGTGCGCGCCGGTCAATTCAACGGTCGATGCCTACCCGGGTGGGAAAGCATCGTTCTTCGTAGCCATTGGTGTCCTGGCCATGCTGTACTGCATCGTGACCCTGATCTGGTACGTCTTCTTGGAGGTTAAGTTCATCAAGTTGGACCTCGTCCCCGCCGCGGTAAGTATAAGTTTGACTTCTTGCCAATCTGGTCCCAATGTCATGTTGCTGGTAAACAGACAATATGGCTTAACAAGTTTACGCGCTAAGCATGATTCAGGTGGGGGCCAGTCACAAGGGAAATGCATTTCATGAATGTTTGGCTGGTGACCTTTTTTTTTGCTAAGCCAGTATGCCAGTTTTCTGGCCATTGCCGGAATCCGGACTTTTCATGTTTTGGGAAAGAAAATTCTGGCATTCAATCCCTTCGCAGGCCATAAAATAAATGTTTGTGTTGTGTGCACGGAGGGGAAAAAAAATGTCGTCATCTAGCCAATAGAAAAACTTGTTTTGCGTTGTTTGATAGTTGTCATGAGCCAATTAGAAAATTGGTTACACGCTACGTGTTGTCAATGTGCTGGACTTGAACCAGGTACGAGTGCGCTCGATCAAGCATAAGTTTTCAGCATAGACTCAATGCACTCACATTGTGTGGTGAACGACAGTTTAAAAGCCAAGTGTACTCACTTGCGAATCTTGGATCAATGCGCCTGCGTGCACTGCTTCACAATTGTCGCCATGTACACTACTAGAGTAACGCACGAATATGTATTGTAGGTCCATTGTCGACATTCATAACATGTGTGTGGTACTGGTATTGCGGAGATTGTGTTGTTACAGGCCCTGTTTCTCTAAGAGAACAAAAATCCATTTGTAGGTTATTGGACTTAATCCAAAAGGGATGCCGTAGATAGAGGACAGGGCTTTGAATTTCTGAGGGAAAGTTTGCGGTTAAATGATGAGGAAGATGACAAAACGCAACACGAAAATAAAGATGGAGAGCACCGCGATGCACCCTGAATGCAATCGATTCGTATGGCACCAGCCGTTAACCACGTTAGAAAATTGCTGTTCAAAAGTACAAGAAACTATGTCATTAAAATTAAGAGAAGTCTGAGGTTGGTTGAAGAGGAGGTTGAAAAAGAAGGTTGAAAAAATTTACTCTTATTTGAGCAGAACTAAAGAGAGGACGTTACTACACAATCGAGTATTGCGACGTATGAATGGTGGATTGCGATCGTGGCAAGTTTTTCCGGCCTTGGAGCAAAAACCCACTGGCATCCCTGTGCTAAGCAAACATTGTCTGTGCTAAGCACAGTTGTGTGCCAAACAGCTCCATGTCTTTGGTCCTATGGCATTCCAGCAATGCACTGTCACTGGCTACCCTCTTGCTTTGGTATTGGATGATCTGCAAATATACAGGGTGGCCCTAAAAAAAAACAGACCGGGGGGTACTTCCACTACCCTGAGGCTCACAATTGTTTTTTCAAATGATTTCAGAAGTTCGAATGTTTTTACAAAATGTTGCCAACATTTTTGGCTGCGGAATTATTTTTTTTTGGGGGGGGGGACTATTTTGACATTGGTTGCACCATTTACATCCCTATTATACTACTCGAAAATAGGCCACATACAAATTATCATGGTCAAATCATGGGACTAAAAAAAATTTGAGCCCCCCCCCCAAAAAAAAAATTGACAACCTCTTCGGGGCCCTCCGAGCCCAGCCCCCCCCCCCCCCTCCCCTTGGGTACGTCACTGCCCTGAGACTCAAACAAACTATACCATTGGGGAATTCTGTTAAAAGGAAAGTGATTCAAAGATCGCACGATTCGGTCCAGTAGTTTTTGTTCTAGAGCCTATTTTGTGAAACAAAGTCAGGAGTCACTTTGTCCCGATGAATTACTAAACTGCGCCCACGAATTTGACTTAATTGGGTAGAGGGGTTAACTGTTATGTATTAATACCCACATAAAGGATCTGTGCTTCACAAAATAGGCTCTGCAGCAGAAACTACTGAACAAAATCGGGAGATCTTGGTGTCATATTCTTCTAAAAGATTCTCTATCCGTTGGTACAGGTGGTTTGAGTCTAAAGGTAGTGGAAGTATGCTGTTCCGTTTTTATTTGGCCACCCTGTATACATGTACCTAACTCTGATATTCTACCTAGGGAACAACAGAAGTTCACAAAGGCATGTTTTTGCAAAGTAAAGATTTGGGAAAGGCACAAGTGAACTTGGTTTCCTTTCTCAGTGGAAGCACCTTGTGTTTCATTTTTTTAATTTTAACACAGTTTGATTATGTTGGGTGTTTTTTTCTTCTACCAACGTAGGACTTGGTCCTGACTGCAGCCTTTGCGTTGTTTTTCTTCCTGGCATCTTGTGCCTGGGCCTCTGGCGTCGATACCGTCAAGTACTGGACGACCTACGAGAACTTCATTGAAAAGTTCTACAAAAGTATCTGCAACAATCCTATGAACAAATGCGTTGGAGTGACTCCCGCCAACTATGCTTCCTTAAACGCCTCCATTGTAAGTAACCAACATGTGTTATTTCCTCTGTGGTTCTCTGTTCGACTTCTAACATCTTCAAATAAACCACACTAGCATGGTTCACATTTAATCAGTTTTAGCATGAATAATGAAAAACCTGATCAAAGCAAGATTGATAACCTGTTAAACCTGTTTTGTTCCTGCATCATCATCAAAAAGCAGCTAATGTGATAGCTGCATTGCAAGAGCCTGAAATTTGACACAAAAATTCCTTGGATAAAATTGAGCCATCACATAAAAGAGTGACAAGTTCTTCTACCTAAATTGAATGCACTTATAGTACAAATTTTAACTGAACACATCTGATAGCTGGTTATTTTGGACAGTTATCGTGAATAATTTGGGCTGAATTTTATAGTTCTGCTATTCTGTGCTTTCGGCTCTACACAGATATTCTTTTAACTCTGTAAGCACAGAATTTTTTTGTAAGAGGATGTACACGTTTATAACATAGAATTTGCGTTGGGGTGACAAAAAATCAATGTTGGGTTTTGCCCTTCACTAACATAGTTTATTAACACTGTTTACTCATTGTTGTCTTGAGTGATTGTGAGAAAAAAATTACCTGGATGGGACTCGAACCCACAACCTCCTGCTAAATAGTGCATATGTCTTACCACATGTTCACAAGTGGACAAGCCAAATTCCTTACTAAATTGTGAAATATACAAACTATTCATGTAACATTTTCTGTGGTCAGGTGGTAGCAGGTTTTTTTTGCTAGCCTTTCGCCAAGGCCATCGTGGCTTAGAGCGGCGGAGCTACGAAGACCCGAAGCGACTGGAGCAAAGATTAAATCAGCACGCACGAGTGGCAAAGCCACGAGGCCTTTTCCAACTTGATTTTGTTGAATTATTCGTAGTTTTTATGCAAATAAGAAGAGTGCTGAAGGTTAACCAATCATAACACGGGTTGTGCCTAGTCGCTTCCATTTTTAAAAGAAGGGTGAGTAAGGAAAACATAAGAGCAAATAGCTGTAAGTTCAGATAAAAAATAGTTAATACACTCGCATAATTTCTTGAAATACTTTTATAAGTACAATTAAGATAAGTTAATATAAGAACAATTACGCGGTCACAGTCTCGTGGAAAAGTAGACTTGCATTTTTTGTTTTTAAATTTTGTGCAAGCATCTGGGCGCGTTGACGCGTCTGGGTAGTAGCCACGTGCGCACTTAAAGGCTGATGATTGGCTGGAATTTGCTACCCTATTGGGGTAGCGAAAATCAAGATTATAAAAAAAACATAAGAATTTCTTGACAAGTTGGAAAAGGCCCTCGTGGCTTCGCTTGTGTGGTCTCCCGCTCCAGTCACTTTGCGCCTTTGCCGCTTTGTATAATGCGGGCAAGTTAAGCCACAATGGCCTTGGTGAAAGGCTAGTTTTTTGCTTACTGCAGAGCTATGTAAATCGGCCGGTAAAACAGTATGTCTGACCATAATTACACCCTGTGTGTTTATCATAGGCAATATCTTATTTTGAAAACTGTATTTATGTTGATTTACACGTTGAACTTTTGACAAATGCAATTCAAGAAGGCGTTAAATCCTTATTTATTGAGGGATGGTTCCTCCAAATGTTTATCCCCTGACAGATCTTTGGCTTCTTGAACTTCTTGGTCTGGTTGGGCAACTGCTGGTTTGTCTTAAAGGAGACGGTCTGGTTCAAGAACAGGCAGGAGCAACAACAGCAGGAAAGTCCCGAGAAGGTTCCTGCCAACGATGTCTAGATCTCTGAGGACTGCCCCCTTGCAGTTGCAGTTTTGTAGTCAAGTCCATCACGTGTCCATCACAAGTCCATCAAAACTCCATTACAAGTCCTTCACAAATCTTCACAGGTCCATCACAAGTCCATCACAAGTCCATCACAAGTCCATCACAAGTCCTCACAAGTCCTCACAAGTCCTCACAAGTCCTCACAAGTCCTCACAAGTCCTCACAAGTCCATCACAAGTCCATCACAAGTCCGGCACAATTCCTCACAAGTCCACACAAGTCCAACAAAACGCTGTTGTTGTTTTTTTTAGTCAAGTCCATCACAAATCAAGTCATTTCACAAGTAAATAAGTCAAGTCACAAGTCTGGTCAAAATTAACAATAAGTGAACATCAACAAAGGAATGCCCTTGTCACAGTTCATGTGACTTGAAACTTGACTTGAGACTGGATGACTGGTGATGGGTTTGTGATGAGGACTTGAGGTGGACTGAATTACACAACATGGCCTCCCGCTTCCTTTGCATACCTGATGTGTACAATATTTTGCAAAGAGGGTGTACATTAAAGCTGTGTTTCTCGTGTCCAACAAAGTATATTGTTTTATCTTAATAAATTTTCAACTTGTATTATTCCAACCCTAAAACTTCTCCCCCCCCCCCCCTTCCCGTTTTGGACGTCTGCAATCCTCTGAATGAAAGGTTTTGTTTTGGACACAAACAGATCTGCTTTGCGGATAGACTGGCTCCCAGACCATACATTATCAATACTGAATGTGAGGCAGGAACCAGTCTACCCCGCAAGGGCAGAACTATTGTCTGGCACCAATTATTCAAAGTTCGATTCCATTTGTGAAGTAACAATTCAATAACTAAACATGGGCCAAATTTTTCAGTCCATGTCTCATTCAGAAGTGAATAACTTTTGTATTGCTAGAAAAATGGCAATTCAGAAAAGGAATCCATTTCTCGGGACGACACTCAGAAAATAGCATGGAGAATGCAACTTTGAAACTTAATTGCTTGCAAGTATGCAAAGCATGTAAACATGTTGGTAGCAATCGCAATGCTCCTTGTGATTATATCAGTTGTGTGGAACATAAAATTCCTGGTTGTGTTGAGCTTGAGCGTTGTAATTTTACAAGGCAATGGGTTGGGGAGGTCTTCCCTGCCTAGATGTTGCGTATCAAATTCAATGCTAAAAGCTTGTAGTTGAAGTCATGCTAGATTCCGCAGTAATATTTCTTCTGGTATTTTGGTATATATTATGATATATTACGATGTATTGATATACATGTTTGTGTATTATTATATATTGAACATTTTGCTGTATGTTATGATTTGGTATATACGTATATTGAATATTAAAGCTTTCTAATACTCGAGTACTGAGCAATATGAAACAAACAAGGTTTTGTATTTTTGTTGTATTTTAGATACCTAATATGACATTAATTTTACATTATTTTGTAAGATGCTTCATAGATAGGAGGTGAATTCAAGGAAAATATGCATGTTTTTCCCAAAGAAATCATATTTGTTTTGGTTAGATTTTTATTAAAGATAAGTGTAGCCAGATTTAAGATTCTATATTACTGACCAAAGCTGACATATTACGCGTTTGTGTGTAGTGTTAACAAGTTGGTATGTTTGTATTTTGTGGGTGCTCCACCCTGAAAAACTCTCAAATCAATACTGTAAACTGTTGAATGGGGTGGTGCCAGACTATTTATGCGTTCCAAGCCTCACTTTAATTTTTTTCCCCCCAAATTGGCTTAAAACATTAGGGTATGTTTACTCACAATTTATAAATTATTCATCAGAGCAGACTTGTATCAATTTATCATTAACTTTATTTCATGGCTTGCATTTTTATTCAAAAATGAACAGTTTACCTCGCTTTCAATTTAATATGGCCGACTCATGAATAAAGCCTACTGCCGTATATACGATGTCCAAAAAGATTATTACCTTGGCCAACATTTGTAATACTTGTCTGGAAAGGTGTTAAGTATCTTGTAGATTCAGATGTGTTTTTAAACATTGCATTTGTGTCAATTTGGTAGATGTACACTTATGATAATGGAAATGTAGACAGTGTGTTTATGGTTTTGCAGTGTGCTTCTTTTTGGTGAGCGCCACTTCAATGTATATTTCATTGCTTTCTTATATATGCTTTGCAGGTCTAGTTTTACATTGAATTTGACTGAAAACATGTGCATGTGTAGAGTTTAGGTTTCACTGTTGGTGTTACCATTTTTGATACGGCGATTCTTGATTTGAACTCCTTTTTGTTTGTGCTGGTCCCAGAGAGCGGAAAGAATTCCATACTGGGCCACCACTCAGACCTCCTGCACTAAGTCTATGAGCTATGACAGAAAAATTAAAGTATTTTAAGAATTTGTGCACTCCTTAAATAAATTTCTTCATCAGATTTACAACTTTTGGTACTTTTCAGGTCATATTATGGAATATGAGTGGCGGCCCAGTATGGAACTCTTTCCCAGAGGGCCAGTGTGGCCTTTGTCTGGCTGACAGGCTATCACCTGTGAGTCTGGCAGTGCTGTTGTATAGGATTACCCAATAATGCCCATGAATGGGCTAAATCCGGCCCATTGTATATACAGCTGCATGAAAAGACTTCCAGGGGATAGCCATTCTAAACCAGTAAGCCATTTACAAATAACCCTTTGCGAGTTAAATTTGAATAACATCTGGTACACAGACTTGCTCATAATGCTTGGCACGTTTTAACTTTCAATTCTCCAGACCAAAGACACTGTTGCTAATCACATGATTCGGGCAAGCTCTTGCATAGTTATGTAACAGACGCTAGCATCAAAACATCGCTCACAATGGATGAAAATCGCACAAAGACACCAGACCATGCCAGAGCTGGGGGTTGCTAGCCGCGGTTTGCCCCGAATCATGTGATATAGCAACAGTCTCTTTGGTCTGGAGAATTCAAAGTTAAAATAAGCCAAGCATGCGATGAAGTCAGGGTACCAGATGATGTTACTTCGCAAATGGCTTATTGAATTTTGTGCACTCTGGGACCAAATTCACTAGGCTTGCCTTTGTTTTTTAATTATTTTTAATTTCAGCTTAATAGGAAAACATTGTACTTCCATGACTATGATTTAAAGAATTCTTTTGTGGATTTTGTAAAATACTTGTGTGAGTGTGTTAGCTTCAATGTGCGTGCTGTAAAACTTGTGACTTTATGGCCCTTTTTCATGAGGGATACTGTGCCAAAAAAAGAATTGTCAAAAGAACAGCAAATTAAAAGCTTAATTAACATGAAGATGTGAAACTTTGCATGGTGGTAGTGTAGGCTAGTGAGGGTTTGCAGTTACACCATGTGGAAGGATCTCTTTTGAGAAGATGTGTGTTTCTGAAAAGAACCGGTCGGTTGAGGAACTTGACGATCTGATCAATATGCTCTGATCGTTGTAATTAACATGTGTCAGTGTTGCCAGTCAAATGTGCACATTGTATTCAATTTCTACTTCCAACCAAGGTACAGAAAATGTTGTACATATACACATCAGCTCCATTGTATGTGCCATTGTATATGGTACTCATTTATGAAATACGCAAAACTATAAATGAAAACAATAATCTCTCTATATGTTATGCTTGCCACACTGATAATTCGGAGAATTCTCTCAAAAACATGTGATATTGTAAAATGCTTTGCATTCTTCATTAATAATTATAACCTTTTTTTATATATTCAATGTCATGTAGCGTCTAATGTGTTTTAAGGTACAGTTTTTATTTGACAGTTGTCGACACTAAAGATTTTGCAATAACCTTGTGAAAGAAGACCTGTGAAATAAGACCTGTGAAAGAAAGTAATGGTACATCCAAGTACACTTATTATTCACTTGAACAAAAAACAACTTTGATCATCTTGCTAGACTCAGTAGTTGTTTTGATTTGAGGTCATGAAGCCACCTTTTGACCATTATTCTTCCTCAGTACGCATTAACAGTATGCCTATATCCTGACTTTGTTGCTGTACATTTTTGTGCGTGGTTGTTCAAATTTGCTGAGTTTAGGAACATGGAGTTCAGGAGAAAAATTTCGAGAAATTGGACACTGCAATGCGGGTCTAATTATATTTATCATAAGAATAAATAATCAGAAGAAGAAGAATTGGCAAATAAGCAAGTATTGAAAATGCTACTGCGTTGTGCTTCTGAACATTAAGATGTGACTCATTAGAAATTATATTGAAGTGACTGATGGTTTACAGAAATAAAAGGCTTAGCATTCATTGTTGCAAAAGAGGATTGCAGAGTCATAAGTTTTCATTCTTTATAGAGTCCGAGTAAATTTGTTGTTTATTGATGATGTACATAACCAATTAAAGAAGTTAAAGATGCAATGATATACAGGAGAGTTTGGTATCCTTTTGATATTAAAGGGGATGAATTTGTTTTCATAATATCTGTGTCATGAGATGGGATGAGTATCAATGATCTTTTAGAAACGTTACAACAAGGTCCACTGTAGGCCATCGTACATTTCCCAAACACTAGTGGTCTTGCACCCTTTTCGAGGTGTGCATTTTATGAGCCACAAAATGACAGGGCAACTGACTAGTTGCCAACATCCCAACATGGCCGCCTCCATTTCGCGAGTTTTACAAAGAATTTCGCCGGGATTTGTGACCCTGCCACTCCTCCAGAAACAGGTAGTTCTTGAATATGCTTAACCATTTGATTACTAATTTTCCCTTTTAGGAGTTTGTGTGCTTTCAAAATGCTAGGGGTATTTTCATGCCAATACTTACTCAATTTTGTTTAGGGCCTATGTGATTAAAACTGGTGGTAAAAAAAAAAAAGGCATTGGATATTTTGCCGGAGACGGCAAACCTTTAGTAAACGTTAGCTTGCCGGATATGCACTGAACATGTGCAGTTACTATTTTTTTGTATTTTAGTCTGGCTCCATGCTAGACCCGTGAACGTGGCTATAGTCATAGCCACGCTTCAATCTATAGTAAAAACACTCTATTGTGATCCACGGTCACTGTGATCGAGTGACCGTTCTAGCCTACATTTGACAGAATATTTGCATACAAAAATGAGTTGTACAGAAAATCAAGCAGAATATTTTTTTTGGCAGAATTATGTAGATGAAGGACAATGAAAAAGATCAGAGAAATATGGGCACATTTGGTTTGAAAAGCCTTCGTTTTTTTAAAGATCCCTGAAACAAACCCTACACAATGGAACAGCAATATTTAACTTCAAAGAAATAGACTAACATCTTGAAAGTCTCCCCCCACAAAAAAATTGACCCCGCCCCATCCCCCTACCCCATCCCCCACCCCATCCCCCCACCCCATCCCACCCCATTCACCCATCCCAAATGTTAAATGTTAATTATTAATTACTACCCCCCCCCCCACCCCCACCCCAAGATCAGTGTTTATGTCTGTAATTTCAATTTGACTGTGTAATATGTAATACATGTATATGCATTATGGACTGTACATTTATCCCAGTGCTTGTATTGTCAAACCTTTTTACAGTCAGCAGCTGCCTCTGTAGTGCCGGCAAGATGGCTAAATCTTCAGGAGTATCAGAGCAAGAAATTGATGTTGGATTATGACGTCACTGTCCAGAGGTTTCAGATGGCTGACAATCCTCCGGATGCCGTCAAAGCGGCCAAAGCTCTCAGTAAGTCATAATGATTGCAAATGTTAAACAAAAAGGGTTGGGGAAATTACTGCTACAGCCACATATCTTGAAGTTTTTGATGGATTTTACAAATGTGCACAAGCTACCGTAATTTTCGGAATATAAGCCGCGGCTTATACGTTGAATTTGCCCATGAAAATGTTTACTGCGGCTTATACACAGGGCGGCTTATACGCCGAGACTTGAAGAATAAAAATGACATTTACATGTGTATTTAATGTACTGGTACAAGAAGAGATGTGTTGCTGAAATAATTATCAATTAAGAAAGTCATTAACAAACCGAAAGCACGTCCCACAAAAAAATACCGAGCGGTAAAAAGTACGGCTAGTGAAAGCCGTCCCTTTGGACATCGACAACCGGCCGTACGTGATGCTGCCCATGCTGCATGCATGCTGCAGGGATTCCCCATGGACCACACCATTTGTGGTAATAAAGGGGTGCACTTTCTTGGGAACAATAATTACCAATATTTCCCCAGTTTAAAAAAAGGAAAAAGACAACTAATACTTTTTATGGAGTTTGAAACATATCTTTATTTGATAATCAGTTGTTCAACGTCACAATATAATTTTTTTTCTGGAAATGTATTCAAGAAACGATGTAAAACTCAAAACAGGGGTGAAACCACCCCTACGAAATTAATGGATTCGTCCATAAAAATCTCGGCATCATGTTGACTGTTTTCGAAGAAAGTTACGATCCAAACTTGAAGTTTTGACGTTACTACTCGTTAGTAATCACAACAATTTGATAAGTTTTGCTGTAAAAACGGACTTGTTTATCCTTTAGGACAAAACAACTCAGCGTCTGTTGCCACAAAGCAGGATTTGTAGCGCTCCAGTCAGACAACACATGGTGGGTTGCATACTCTCTCAAGTGCTGGGGGAAAATAATGTCATTCGCCGGCACAGGCTCACTGACGAGCCAGCCGGCAGCAATTCCCGTTTTTTATTTCTCATCATCAATTTCCATATTTGTTTGTAAGAGTAATCGACTGCAAATGATTTGACATAACATTTGTTGCCCTTTTATAGCTTTCGTAGTGCAAATGGAACTGGTTCAGAGCATTTTGACTAGAATTTAGAGGCGTTACAAAATTGAACCGCTGCGGTTGGTGCGGCTTATACGCCGATGCGGCTTATACGCCGACTTCAAATCTTAATTTGCAGATTTTTGCGTGCTGCGGCTTATACGCCGCGCGGCTTATATTCCGAAAATTACGGTAATAGCATCTTCACATATGGTGCCATTAACCCTTACTCTCTGAGGGTAGTTTACTGCATGTCAGTTGGTTATGCCAATGCCCTCCAGCTGCAGTTTATTGGAGGATACTTTGATGTAGCAGTGAAGGCTCCAATTGGCAGGAGTTGGAGGCCCTGGAGGGTGCCTGATACTGACCAGCTGGGGGCACTCACTTTGTTATCAGAGGACTCTCATTGTTCTCTGTGGCATGTATTGGAGTGCCTGTCCAGTTACCCTTGAAATGACATGGCAGATATTGGAGGGCCATGCAAAAAACATAGGAGATTTTCTTGAGGCACAATTGGCATGCGTTGGAGGGTCAAGTAGGGTAAGGGTTAATAGGGGTGAGATGGCCTAGCGGTTAAGAACACGGGACTCATGCTCTTGTGTTTCAGAGGCAACAGTGGCGTGGGTTCAAGCCCAGGCCCAGACACTTGTGCCCTTGAGCAAGGTACTTGACCATTATTGCTTTGTCCTTCGGTGTGTTGTATAAATGCACGTAAAAGAACCCAGCAAACACTTATCGCTAAGAGAAGGGGTTCGCCCTGGTGTTTCTGGCAGTTAACCTCATGCACACACCATGAGGCTGTACGCGATAGCCACACCAGGCGTTTGTACAGAAGCTAAGGCCAAACAAAAAATACACGGTCTCTGGTCAGCACGCGCGTCGATTTTAATCAATTTTTTCAAATTAACACTTAAGCTACAACAGCGCCCTCTATTGCCGCGCCTCCTCAAATTTTTGTACCAAGGAGCACCAAGGAATGGGGAAATTGCACCAAGGCATATCATAAAGGGCACCAAGGCAAATTATGGAGGACACCAATGTATATGAGGACACAAAAAAGCAAAATAGTACCCACCTTGTCTGTACAATACAAGCTTGAAAAAAAAAAGCCACCAAAAAAAAAAAAAAAACACACGTGCCGCATCAATTCCGAAACTTCGGTCTGACCAGAGACCAACTTATTTTTTTTTTTTTGGCCTAACAGATACAGATATCCACCAGTGGTGGTGTATATGTATGACTTAACGATAGAGAACAGACACACAAAGGGAGAACATTCAGAACAAAAGATCTTTTCAGTCCTCGAGCGTTGGGTCTTTTGTTGAAAACGGTCCTCGATCAAACGGTTACGTGCTTAGTCTATGGGAGAGTGTTATATTACAGGGATAAAGGGAAACACAAAGCATTGTCCTTTGGCGTACAGAAATTCAGGACTGTATGTTCAGGTATAAATGTCATATCTCTCTTTGTCAACAAAGCCCATTGGCTGATAATGTCTGAGCTACCATCCGTCCTTAATGACAAGAATCACCGGCAGTTAACAATTTCTCCATTTTCTCCTCTCTTTGAATATTTGATGCAGATGCTAAGGAGATTGTTTTAAAAGCTCAGATCCTAGCAGGAGGGCGGGGCAAAGGTGTATTCTCCAGCGGCTTAAAGGGAGGAGTTCATTTGACCAAAAAGTAAGGTGTACAAAGAAAAGAAAGTACTCAAACTTTGGTCCCTAAATCTTGATACTGAACCCCAGTTGGAAATCCTACCAAGAAGGCTTGTAATACTCAACCCTCATGATTGAAATCATATGGAAGTGGCACTTTTAGATCATTCAAAGATGACATGACTATCTTTATTACTTTTTAACACAAAGGGAAGCTGAAACCAACTGAAAGTCTGAAACTTACTCACAAATTTAATCTATTCACTAACCCTTACTCCCAAGGCATTTTTGCTAGGATGCAACCTCAATCCTGCAAACTCCAACTGCCTCCATGTAAAAATAGCATACAGCTTCAATCCTCCAAAATCCTCTGATATTTCTTGAATGTGGTCCTTGGAGGGGTGACCACTGCCTCAATTTTGCAAAATCTTCCGGCAACCACTGTCAATATCTTGAGTAAGAGCCAGTGACGTCCTGGAGCAGTGTGGAGGATTTCAAGGTTAATCTAGGCCCAAATTGATGGACGGCTGAGCAAGCAACACAAAGTCTGCCCTAAGACATTGACACAGAGCATCCTCCAAAATCAGCCACACACTTTTGCTATATAGCTTCATTTCTGCGAAATCCTCCATTTTGCAAAGATGCTTTGGGAGGATTTGGGAATGTAGGGGCTAATGGAGATTTACATCTTCAAGCCTTTGTTATTCTGTGCCCTAAATTTTCTAATTGAAGTCTTAATCACTGAAGTCATTATCATTTAAGTCTTTATAATTAAAGTCTTGATCATATTTCAGCCCTGATGATCTTTTACCCCTGGTAGCTCAGATGATTGGCTACAATCTTGTCACCAAACAGACGACCAAAGATGGAGTCAAGGTCAAAAAGGTATGCTCCAAGCCAGTAGACTCTTAGCACAGAGCGCCCTCATTGGGTCTTTGTGTCCCTGTGATGTGAATGAGTTAACACTCTCATTGTCATTTAATTGGAGTGATAAAACCTGTCCTAAAAGGGGGCATTTTGTACAAGGCGTCTAATTGTTTATATTTATATTTGTCAAGATATTGCCTCTTATATCAGAGATTTTGACATGAAATCAGTACTTTTTTAACCCTAAATGCATTTTTGCTAGGATGCACCTTCAATCCTCCGAAATCCTCATTGTCACTTAATTTAAATAATAATACCTGTCCTAAAAGAGGGTGCTTTGTACGAGGAGTCTGACATATTGATATCAGTTATGATATTGTCTCTGATATCAGAGATGCTGACAATGAAATCAGTATTCTTTTAATATGTCATCATCATTGACCCTACCTGTGTAACTTTCATAGTGGTGTAAGTTTTAACATATGAATTGAAATTGGACAACTTTATTTTAATACTAATCATGATTGTCATAAAGTCCATTATTGCCCAAATTGCACTCAGCTCTGTTTCTATGGGTAACGAAATTGTGTTTAAAATCCTGTCTGAAGTTACATACCATTTTGTGAAATGAGTCACAGAGGATTCAGAACACAGGTTGAGCCCCTTTGGTTAAAGCTATAGTCCATTATTTGTAATTAGTGCATTTTGTTCGTTTGAAGCAACAAAAGTGTTCAAAATCTAATGAAGGATACTGAACAACTTACTTGATGAAGTTTCAGCTCAGCTTCAGCTTTATATTCCGTTAAAAACAGCATTCTAGGATCTCAATTTAAAATCAAAAGTTGCTAAATCATGTTTCGAATTGTTTTGAATTGCAGCTTTACGTGATGTCACGCACTGATCCGACGAATTATAGCACCCGCACGCGCCTGTGCGTCGTTCCAATGCTTGTGCGCGCCGCGCCGAACAACAAAACGAACAACTAATTTAAATTTTCCTACGATGCTTCTTAAGAAGCACCGTTGGAAATGCCTTCTTTCGTTGATTTCTTCAAAATGAGAGCTTGCCAGAAAGGATAATTTCACAGGGAGTTTAGTCCCCTTACTATCTTTCAACCAGTATGTTTTTCAACAATAATTACGCCAGTTACTTTTTGGATAGCTGCAAATGATGGACTCGGGCTTTAACAGAATTTTGGACATCTGTCTTAGTATGGTTTCTTCTTTGTAGGTCATGGTGGCTGAAGCATTGGACATTGCCCGTGAGACCTACGTGGCTATCTTGATGGATCGTGACATGAACGGACCGGTCATGGTGGGCAGTCCGGAAGGAGGGATGGACATTGAGGAGGTGGCGGAGAAATCACCTGAGCTTATCTTCAAGGTGTGTACCTACTACATCTCATGTCTAGAAAATGGCCGAAAAAATCTTGATTGAAGAAAAATTACAATCATTTGAGGTAAACTAACAAGATCAGGCTTGCCTGGTCGACCTGGATCTGAAGGGACATTATTTATACTTAGTGACTCAGTCAGTGACTCAGTCAGTTTGTCAGATAACAGACCATTATCATGTTGCGGCCATCTTGATTTTTGTCCCATTCAAATCAACGTAACCAAAGCGAGGCTGGAAGGAAAAATAGTCTGGTTCCTTTTTGCACAAAAACATTATCATTCAGTACTTTCTTTGGATACAGGGAACATGACCGAAATGGTGGCAGCATGATAATTGGTTTTTAGTCAGTGACTCAAATCAGTCAGTGAGATAGTCAGTGACTCTGTCCTTCAGAGGGCAATAGGCTCACCTTCCTAGTCCAGCAAAATCAAGATGCTTTAGTGGACTTCTTTCTTTGTGTAACCTGCATTTGTATTTTATATTTTCTTTTATGCCAGGAACCGATTGATATTTTCACCGGGTTTACGGACGAGCAAGCCATGAGGATGGCAGGCAATCTCAACTTCAAAGGGGACCTTCAGAAACAGGCCGCTGAGCAGCTGAAGAACCTTTACAAACTCTTCCTAGGCGTGGATGCCACGCAGGTTGAGATCAACCCATTTGGTGAGACACCAGATGGCCAAGGTGAGCAAATGAAGAAACAAACAAACATGTAAACAAACAAACTAAGATGAAAAGTCTTGGATATAACCATCCACAATGTCACAAAATAAGAATAGGTACCAACTATAAACTAGTTGTATTGGAACTCTTTTACATTGCTGATACATTTTCAAGCGTATTGGGGTAAACTCTCTTGCTCAGGGACAGTCCCAATCCACTCCCAAGTAACAAGTTATTCAAATGAAAATTAACAAAGGAATGTCTTTGTCATTTTCTGTTTCTTGTGATAAAATTACTTGTGATTTCACTTTCAATTGACTGGTTATTTGACTTGTGATTGACTTGTGTTCATCTTGTGATCGGCTTGTGATCAGCTTGTGATTGACTTGTGATTGACTTGTGATTGACTTATAACAACTCTGCGTGTTCTTTATTTAAAAATACTCTCAGCATCCTGTGATGTCCCAAATCCTACACTCCAGCGCATTTCTGACCAATGCCTTTCATGTTTCTCGTTTTTCATAGTGGTATGCTTCGATGCCAAGGTCAACTTTGACGACAATGCGGAGTATCGGCAAAAGGAAATCTTCGCCATGGATGACAAATCGGAGGGCGATCCGCGGGAGGTTGAAGCATCCAAACACAACCTGAACTACATCGGCATGGATGGAAACATTGGCTGCTTAGGTACGGAGTGAGGAATTGCTCTAAGAATTTTTAATAAATCCAAGTCCTTCAAAAGTCAAATCAGTGCAGCTTTGACTATTTTCAAAAGTAACAGGGTCTGAACAGTGACAAAAGAATGCTTTTTGCAAAGTTTGTTTGGAAAGCTTATAATGTTGGACTGGATAACTTGTGATTGACCTGTGAGGTCTTGTGGGGACTTGACTAACACACTATTTGTTGCTTGTTAAGAAAGCAGTTTGAAGATTTAAACATTTTTTACATGCTTCAAAACATTTGTTTCGTTTGGATAACTGTTTGAATTTTTCCATTCAAACCAACTGATACTGATAAGGTTTTTATTTAGAAAGGGGAATCTTGCAATAGTGTATTCCTTCTGTGTGTCCGTGTCTATGTGTGGGTAGGCCTACACTGTGTTATGGGGAAATTCTTTAGCTAAATAAGGACCGAGGTTATGGGGACTTTGTGCTGTCCCCACAGCTTTTTCGGTCCCTACAAATACCGGTACCTCGGACAGACGAGTGTATGTCCCCACCACTATGGAACAAGCACGTGTGTATGTGTGTTCGTGTATTCCATTTTGGTTAGGTTAACTGTTTTGTGCTGTCATATGAAAAGTAAGACCTCAATCTCAACCAAACTTGGTGACAATATCTTTAGGCAGGGGGACTTAAGATGATTTGAGACATTTTAGGGCAAAGGTCATCTAGGGGTCAAACGAGGTCATTGTTGATTTTGGTTAGGTACACTGAAAAGTGTGCTTACTAACTTACTGTATAAATACTACCAGCATGCCAGGGGGATCGCGCAAGTTTGACTTGCAGTATTTTTGATTGGATGTGGTGTTGCTGTATAAATTGTGTGTTTTACCCATTTACCATGTTGTAATAGTTTTGTATGTGTACTGCTGCAAGCAAGGACATGGCTTTGTGGGAAACACCAATGAGATTCTAATTTATGCCATGTGATCTTTTGCTCTCTTTGTCTCAGTTAATGGCGCAGGTCTCGCCATGGCAACCATGGACATCATCAAGTTCCACGGTGGGGAACCGGCCAACTTTCTGGATCTCGGCGGAGGGGTCCAAGAAAAACAAGTCTTTGAGGCATTCAAGCTCTTGAATTCTGAAGAAAAAGTAAGCAACAAGTGAAAGAAACCGTTGTCATAGGAATGATAGTGTTGTGATCCAATCTTGTAACTGACCGAACCAAGGTCCATTTTCTGGAGGGTGCACTAAATGCGTTTATAACACTCAAGAGCTCATTTTGCTGATTTCTTTTTACTTCCAGGTCAAAGCCATCTTAGTCAACATTTTTGGAGGCATCGTAGACTGTTCCATTATAGCAAAGGGGATCACCTCGGCATGTAAAGGAATGGACCTCAGAATTCCCGTAGTTGTACGCTTAGCTGGTGAGAATAAGTTTTCAAAAATTATATTAAAATCGGCATTAATTCTCAAGATTCTATCAAATAATTAATTAGGATAAAATGGAAAATTTAGTAGAAACATGCCAACTGACCCTTCCTGTTTCCACAGCTGATTAGATCAACCCAATTTCTGGTTTGAAGAATGCCAGGGCTGAGTCGTGCAAGGGCGCCCTCTATTGAGAGTATGAGCCAATGACGCAATTCATGAACAAAAATAGGAGCCATTTTTTAGGTGGCACCACGTTCGCACACATGCCGCACGCATTGTTAAAAGACGAGGCATGCGCGCATTTTGGTAAACCTATTGGTCAAAGGACCCCAGAGTGCGTGCATACTACCTGAGCGCGACTGTGCAAACCTGATGCCACCTCAGCAAAATGGGCGAAGTTGGGGCAAGGACCATTAGTCGACCAGTGGTTGATTTGTGACGTACCTTACGCCTGCGCACTGGTAGCAACGTGCGAATGTCTCTAGTCAAACGCTGGTCAAAATGTCGTCGCAAAACTTCTGGATCCTGGCTCTCTGCTTGCGTTATGAATGCGCGCGGCTATTGGTTACCAGCGAAGCAACCAACCCCAGTAGGCTGGTTCCAAATAGTCGACTAGCGTAGTCAACCACCGTCGACTAGACAGAGTTCGGGCAAACGTTAGTTAACCATTGGTCAACTGTAGTCCTTGCGCGAACTTGGCCATGGTTGTCGCTGAATTAGTCAAGTTGCAGAAGTACCCCCTCAACGGTTACAAAGAGAGAGTTTGGGGAGACTATTGGGAGGGTCTGTTGAACACATTGCCGCCGTATGCGTGACACGCATGTAATGGGAACCAGTGCACAAAGTACCATCTACTATTCTGCAGAGGATATTGGTTTGACATTATTAGACATTGATTAAATTCCATCTAGATTAAAACAATTGATTCTGTTTTTGAAAGGTTAATGTGTTCAATTTCTTATTGGTCAGGTTACAACGTGGTACAAGCTTTGAAGATCATCTCAGACAGCGGTCTGCCCATCCAGACGGCCACGGACTTTGAAGACGCTGCCGTCAAAGTCGTTGGTAGTCTACAGTCATAACTCTAGCGACAGTCTTGCCACTCGTTATGCAAGCGAACACCCATCAAACAGATCAGTGTATTCTTGGTTGTAGCGGCAAAAAGTGGCCAGAACTGGATACTCATTGGCCACATTTTAACCCTTTGTTCTCAGCAACGGATGAAAATTGAAAACTGTGATCATACAGATCACAAGTTAATTCACAGGTAATAGGAATATGAATGATAGCAAAAAAAAACAAGAAATAAGGCCTTTTGGCTTGATGTGAGATTGGAGACTTTAAAGGACTTTACTCAACTCTGGCTAATATTAAATTATGGAGTCAAATCTATTTTTACTACATATATTACCAGTCAGATAAACCCATTTCCAGTTTTAAGGGAAGAGTAGATCATTTGCAGCTATCCAAAAAGTAACCGACCAAATTATTGTGATAAAAGCTTACATGGTTTAAAGATGCATGTAGTAATGACACTAAACTCCCTGTGAAATTATTCCTTCTGGCATGCTATCGTTTTGAAGAAAACAAAGAAGGTAATTTCCAAAGATGAGTCAAGCGACGTAGTTTTTTTCCGTTAGTAGTTGGTTTGTAATTGGGCGGTTGCTATTGTTCGTCAGCTCAGTACGTGAGATCGCGTAGCTGCAATCAGCTGAATGAGAGAGTGATCCGGATGCTGATTTAGGGCGCAATTCAAAACATGACCCAGCAACTTTTGAATTGAAATCGAGAGATCCTAGAACATTGTTTTCTCGGAATATACAGCATTCACAGGGCTAATTAAAACTTCAAGTTAGTTGTTCAGCACCCGTCTTTTGAGCATTTTTGTTGCTTCAAACGAAACAAATGGACAAATGACAAATGATCTACTCTACTTTTAAGGGTGTAATGTGATGTATTTTTGTGTTAATATTAGCTGTTGGGAAAGTTTACTTTGAAGAGTGAAAAATCTCTCTTGGAAGTATTTTGAAATTTTCAATTATGTGGTGTATGTGTGATTACGTTTTACCCTGGTTTAGTTTGGTTGTCATTATTTTTTTCCTTTTAGAAAATGTATTTTGATAGTTGCGTGATTATTAATTCCTGTTGACAAGATTTGAAATTGTTAATATAATAGATAAGGCAAAATATTACAACTGATAAATAAAATGAATTGATCAATATTTTAAAATGATTTCTTTTCTTATTTAGTTTTTGTCCATATTGCGTAACTTTACTGTACTTGCCCTTGACAAGCAGTGAAAATCGATATTAATATTGGTAAAATATACCCAAAAAATAAGCTTTTGCATCCATAAATTTAGAGTTAACATTTGCTGCTCCTTTTTACTGGCCGATTTGTAGACCACATGAAGATTACATGTATTGGGATATTTTCGCTATTATTAAAACTTCTCTCTGTGGCAAGTAGTCATTTCCCGGCACATTTTGTAACAATCTCCCCCCCCCCCCCCTTCAATTAATGTTAGATAAACTTTCTTATAGACTTGTTTTCATCGCAGGAAAGCCCTTTCACCATTGCTACCGAAGTCAAAATGTATTTTACTTCCTAGACTCCATATTTTGTTGTTCAAATTGTTAATTAATCACAATTAATCCCAAACACCTGTGATTCTCACAATGATTGTCTTAGTTCTTTTTGTCGCCCGAAAAGAGACTAATCTTTATTAAGAGCTAGCTGTGGCTGCATCCGAATCAGCTGTCTAGAGCTAGGTCTAGGTCTGCGCCCATTGAAAATACGCGGGGACGCGCTGACAATAGACGTAGCCGTAGCTCTGGAAGCCCGTTTCGGACACGGCCTGTCACTGTCTTGCCAATAGAGGGCGCCCGCGGCCCGGCAAAAATCGAGTAGACCATCCAACCAAGCAAGCGAGGTCGGCAAACAACAACAATGGCGAAAAGTGGGAAGTTAAGTCCTCAAAACGTGCCTTACTCAGATTTAGAGCATTTTGTGAATGCAGATGGGCAGTGCATTTACTGTAAATACTGGGAACCACCCGCTGGCACCCCAGTCAGGTTAGTATAACCCTCCTAATTCAGTAATCGCAAACATGTTTCTGTGCAAAGTTGTCCTTTCACTTTTCTTTCCAGTCAAAATCAGTCAAGTGACTGTTGTTAACGGTTGAGTGCTCCCCGCTTACATAAAGCAGGATTGACTGGCTGTGACTGTTTATGTAACTTGACACAGCTATGCTTTGACTGTAGGCATGGTAGGTGTTTGATAAGGATAGTGGATATATTGCCGGCAGTAATCCCGGCAAGCTAACGTTTAGTAAAGGTTTGCCGGCGGAAAAATCAAACACTTTCGATCTCAGGCTGTGCTCCGTGGTCATATATGGGTCGATGTGGCCGGCAGCCGTAGGCGCCTTTACGTGCCAGCGGCCCGACCACGTTGTAGCCGCGTCCTTCGCAATTCAGCATCCCAGCTGCGAGTAAGGATGATTAGCCTCCCAAATTATTATTATTATTATTATCATCCCTATCAACAGAGGGCGCTGTACTCTCTAAGATAGGGCTGAATTATAAAATATATTAAATTACCACCAACGGTTGTGTAGCACCTGTGGCAATGAGCGGGAAGACCCGGGTTTGATCCCTGCTGGTGACATTTCTGAGGGTTTTCCCCCGGCCCCCATCCCCCCAAAATAAGAATGTTCTTTTATTATTTTAACATGTCTTTTATTGCAGAGTATTACATTTTCTTTTTCAGATTTGTGGCTCTGGAGGATTTTTTTTAAAGGGAAATAAAGTCCGAAGTTGTAAAATGGTCTGATTCCCATCTTGTGAATACGAAGTTATAACGATAATGCTGGCATGGAGCCAGACTAAAATTTGTCACCGGAAAATGTCTAAGTACAAAAAAACAGTAACTGTGCATGTTGAGTGCATATCCGGCAAGCTAACGTTTACTAAAGGTTTGCCGTCTCTGGCTAAATATCCACTGCCTTTGATAAGCCATCAGCTATGCCTACCACTTGTATGATGTCTGTGCTACCTATACCAGTATAGGTAGCACAGATTTCACCGATTTGCAACCCAAAAAATAAGCGTGAGTATCATTGAAGCCCCATTACGACTTGTCTTTGACATGTGGAGAAACCAGTAGGTGCTTTCAAAGGGATTTTTGTCGAGTATTTTGCGTGATTTTTGGCAACTTTTGTGGTGAACACTGAAAATTCTAAAATTGAGATTGCATTCGTCGTGGGGTGATAGTACGACAGACCAAATCTCAAATGTCAGAAAAGGAGTTCTAGCGCCCCAGTTAGTGGGTCTAGCATAGCCCTATAAATGTGGCCAATTTACTGGACTACCTCCGTAAATAAAGGCCACACTTGGAGTTGTAACATGCACCCAAAAATGTAGAACTGTCAAATTTAGATTTTCAGATTTGGACTATATTTGTAGTTTATTTATGCTTTAGAAGCATACTCGCCCTCTGTATAGAGATTAAAAAAAAAGGAGTCCTGCATTTTTTTTCAGACGTAGTATTTTTCGTGTTGGAATTTAGACCCGCAAATGTGTGCCAACGAAACCTGGATATTACATGAAAATAGACGTCCAAAAAATGCAGGACTACTTTTCTATCGCTATAAAGAGGGTGAGTGTAGCTTCTAAAGTGTAAATAAACTACAAATATGGTCCAAATGTGAAAATCAAAATTTGACACATTCAAAAGTTCCACATTTTCAAGTACATGTCCCAAGTGTGGCCATTATTTACGGAGGTAGTCCAGTAAATTGGCCACATTTAGGGGGCTAACAGTCACAGTGCTAGACCCAGGGCATGCAGGGGGCGATATAGCTTGAGAAAGAAGAAATGTTGCAACCTGACGCCACATTTTCTTCATATTACATGTATCTCAATGAAGGTCAGTCATCACAAAAATGATGATAAAGACATGAATCTGGGACTGAGAAACATTTCCAATTTTGTTAGGAAATACTTAGAAAATTGTCTTGACTCTCCATAGACTTTGTACACAACCGCTGAAGTGGCGTCAGGTTGCAACAATTTTTCCCTTGAGAAATCCAGCTCCAGTGATCGTTTAAGCAAAAGATCAACTTAAAACAGAACAAAAGTGGGAAAGATTCCCATATCTGGCCATCGCTAATTTTTCCCTTCAGTGACCTATGAGCCATCAGAAAGTGATAATATGTCCTAAACAGTCAAATTTAGCTGGGAAAATATGGAAGTACATGCATTTACTGAGAAAAGACTTAGACATTTTCAGACCAGTCTCATAGGGTTTGTGCACAGGGTGACAAGTGATGGCCAGATATGGGAATCTTTCCGAAAACGGAATAAAATATGAAAAAAAATGAAGATTTTGGTGGCTGTGTCGAAGTCAAATTTCATGGCCTCTGCCATTTTTAGACCGCTGGCTACAAAGTAGATTGACCTCCAGCTCTACATGTCAAACTCCTTTTTTTCTTATTTTTACTTTGGTCGGTTGTGCTAGTACCCAGTTGCTAGGTCTATCACAGTGCTTGTTGAATATGATCTTGAAATGAGTCATGTGCCATTTTCCTGGTGATGTTACATTTGTTGGAGTGAAAAGGGCTGTGTTTTTTGGCGAGTGGGAGCACAGGGATTTTTTTATTCTGTCTTGACTTTGTACTTTGAGTCACGATAAATTGATGTGATTAGAGCTAGCCTGGCTGTGACCAGCCATGGCAGTGCTATAAAATAAAAATACAAGTCATGACAAGTGTTTTTCGTTGATTTGCTTTTCAATCTACAGGGCATTGCTTCATGTTATCCATGGTATGGGTGAACATTGTGAACGCTACAACAAAATAGCTGAGCATTATAACAAACATGGCATCCTGGTATTTGCACATGATCACAGTAAGTTCCTGTATAATGTTCTTTATGATAATGTAAGGTTTAAAAAAAATGCAATGTTAAATGACAAGATTGTTGCCAATAGGAAGCCTCCTTTATTGATGTAAACATTGCAAACTGCATTATTCTTCCCTGAAAAGATGTTTTAGAGAACGCCATGGCTATCGTTACAGCAGTCGACCGTCTGGTTTCCTGACAATATTCGTCATCACGATCTTTTGGTCTCAGAACCAGACTAAAACTTGAATGGTTGCAATGCCATAACGATAGCTGTTGAAAATTGGGTAACAGTTACCATAATAATAGCCACTACGTTTGAGAAATATCAAGACATTTCTGACAGTGTTCATATGAAAGGTATTATCTGAGAAACAAGGTAAGATGACATTTTATATTTGTAAAGTGGTGACCCAGGGCCCCAGGGAGAACACTTCTTTGATAACTGATGAGGCTAACTGGGCAAAATCAGTCCTGGTAAAATCAACCTTGGGAAAATCAACCCTGGTAAGATCAACCCCGGTAAATTCCACTGCAGTAAAATCAACCCTGGTAAAATCAACCCTGGTAAAATCAACACTGGTAAAATCAACCCTGGTAAAATCAACACTGGTAAAATCAACCCTGGTAAAATCAACACTGGTAAAATCAACCCTGGTAAAATCAAACATTAAATAAAAATAAACATACTTAATTCTTTCCTAGTATTTAATTGGAATTCTTTGAAGTCAGTTCCAGTAAAACAATCTTGAGATACGACTGTCTTGTTGATTTGTCAGTTGGTCACGGCAAGAGTGAAGGGCCAAGGGCGGACGTCAAACATTTCCAGTTCTTCGTCCGTGACTGCCACCAGCACATTGGCTTGATGAGATCCAAATATAAGGACTTACCCATTTTCCTGTTTGGGCATTCTATGGTAAGTTAGAGCAACCCACAAAGCTGTACAAAAGTTCCAGTATAATGCCCAAAAAAAAAAATACTCGGTCTCTGGTCAGCACGCGTGTCGATTTTAACCATGCACGTCAATCTTTCTTTCTTTTTTTCAAATTTTCCGTGGTGGCTACAACAGCGATCTCTATAGGTGCACCACCTCAAATTTTTGTACCAAGGAGCACCAAGAAATGGGGAAATTGCACAAAGGCAAATGATGGAGGGCACCAAGGCAAATGATGGAGGACACCAATGTATACGAGGACACAAAAAAGCAAAATAGTACCCACCTTGTCTGTACAATCCAAGCTTGAAAAAAAACAAAAGCAACAAAAAAAACAACAACATCAATTCTGGAACTTTAGTCTGACCAGAGACTGACTATTTTGTTTTGGCCTAAAGCTGCATTTTCAGTCCTTTTATTATGCCTCGCCGGCGAAGCCGAAGGGGCATACTGTTTCTGCATTGTCCCTCCGTGTGCGTGTGTGATCTGATACACCGTGCCCTCTGGAGACGTGCACACAATAGGGAACAAAAGATTGTATACGTCTCCACAGGACAATTTCTATAGATGAATACGTCTCCACAAGATTTTCACGAAATAGATATATGGATTTTACTCAAAAACTAGGAATTTCCAAGGTGGGTTGATCTGTCGCAAATGAAAGAGTTTTAGAAAAGGGATATTAAATCCAAATTTTAGCCAAGGAAATTAATTCTGGTTAAAATAAGAGCATTTTGAAACTTCACTTTCAAACTCGAAAACTTTACTACACGAGAACAAAGAAATGTCTCCACAAGAATACAAATTTCAGTATGCGTGTGTGTGTGAAAACAATAACGATGTCAATGAACGTTCCGTGTGACCCAGGTGAGTTGATATTAATAGAGTAGTGTTATGTGATGGAAATAGGCATGGTTGCGGGGCATTTGTGTTTTTTAACACTGCTTTTCTTGTTTACATATGTATTTGTTCATTGCATTTTGGTTCATTATTTACTCAAACACACATTACGCACCCCAAACATTTGATACATTGTCTTAGAAGTGGTTGTTTGTTTTTATTGTATAGGGAGGAACTATCGCAGTACTTGTGGGGTATGAAAGGCCGTCACTGTTCGCCAACTCAGGAGTCATACTGTGTGCTCCTGCCATCAAAGCAAATCCTGACATCGTGACTCCGTTTAAGGTAGGTCAAGTTAAACTTTCGAAAGTTTGCTTAAGTTTCTTGGCATACATCTATAGTGTTTTTAAAACTAAAAACAGACTTTGAGTTGTCTACTTACGGTAGTTGAAAAAATCCTAAAAATACCACTTTGTATGCCCTTATCCTCAATCATATTTTGGTTAATATTGAGATGTTTGATTTTGTATCTTTTTAACCAAATTATGAAATTGTAGGTTCTAATCCTGGGTTCTAATGAGTAAGCACACTGACAATTGACCGGCTATCGCGTTAGAATCGCGTCAACGCAGCTTGTGAAATATTATCCAATTACATGATGTACAACTGGACGAGGAACGCGCAAAATCTGAGACAAACAAAACTTAGTGTACAAAAATTCCACAGGGTTGTCTAAGGGGTGTGGCTAACTCGCAAACGGCGATAGGTCAATTATTGACGATGTCTATAATGGGGTCTTGAAATTGGAAGCTTTGCTACCTTTTTTCCAATCCACGTTTCATATTCCACTGGCCATGTTGCATGTTTGTGTGCAATAACACAATTTAGTGCCGACTGATTACATACATGTACGATAACGATTTGTGAAAAAAAGGGAAAATAAACATAAATATACTGTGAACAACATTGCTTTGCTTTAGAAAATAATAACTGATATTAATTTTCCTTTTGGGGGGCTTATGTTTCTTGTATATTTCAGCTGTTTCTTGGTAGGATGCTTGCCAACGTTCTTCCCCACACTCCGATGGGCAAGCTGGAACCTTCAGATATGAGTAGGGACCCCGAGGTGGTAGGTGCTACCAAGTCAGAAATCAAATCAACAAAAAATAAATTAATAAAATTGTCACAGAATGTGATGTTCTTAAACTGTTACTACTTGTACTGTCCCAAACTGCCCAGCACTGTATGGTTTTATGGATTCGTCAGGGAATAATTACAATGTAGTACAATGTAGTACAATGTAGTACAATGTAATACAATGTATACAGGGGCTAATGATTTAAGGTCTATACTCTAATGACTAGTCATTAACCCTAACTCCCTAGCATGATTTACTAGGACCCATACCCATCCTGGCAAATTCCTACACCAAATGGGAAACTGCACACACACACATATTTCTGACTTTGATTCTGGAGTTGTGCCAACCCAATGTAAAAGACTGTCAGTTTAGGGGTACTGTACCCATCCTGACGGATTCCAACAAAACATGCCGTTGGGGTTTGATGGGTTGAGTTCTGTTAGGGTTGAGTACCGGTATGTTGATGCACCCCATCCCCTGGTCACAAGTCAGTTACAAGTAAATTCATTAAATTCATGAGTAACAGCGGATGAACAAAAACAAGGAAATACCTTTGTCACCGTTCATTTGAATAGCTTGTGACTTGACTAAGGACCTTGGAACTGGAGGACTTGTGATGGACTTGTGAGGACTTGTGATGGACTTGTGAGGACTTGTGATGGACTTCTGATGGACTTGTGATGGACTTGTGAGAACTTGTGATGGACTTGTGATGGACTTGTGATGGACTTGTGAGGACTTGTGATTTACTTGTGAGGACTTGTGATGGACTTGTGATGGACTTGTGATGGACTTGTGAGGACTTGTGATGGACTTGTGATGGACTTGTGAGGACTTGTGAGGACTTGTGATGGATTTGTGATGGACTTGTGAGGACTTGTGATGGACTTGTGAGGACTTGTGAGGACTTGTGATGACTTGTAATGGACTTGTGATGACTTGTGATGACTTGTAATGGACTTGTGGTGACTTGTGATGGACTTGTGATGACTTGTGATGGACTTGTGAGGACTTGTGAGGACTTGTAATGGACTTGTGATGACTTGAAATGGACTTGTGATGACTTGTAATGGACTTGTGATTGACTTGTGATGGACTTGTGAAGGTCTTGTGATGACTTGTGAAGGTCTTATGAAGACTTGTGATCCATCACACAGATTGTATTTGAGTCAGTCACCAGTCTTCACAAGTCCTCATGAGTCATCAAGTCTCAACTCCATTCATAAGCTATTCAAATTACTTAACAGGCCTTCCTTTGTAATTGTTCATCCCCTCTTACTTGTAATCTGATTTGCTATCGACTTGTGAATAAGTTGTGACTGGCTCAATTAAAACTCTGCCATCACTAGTACTTCGACAATGCTGGTCTGATTATTGTAATTGTGTTTTGACAGGTCAAAGATTACGAGAACGACCCTTTAGTCTACCACGGTAAAGTCATGGCGCGTTTAGCGATCCAGACCCTTCAAGCAATGGATAGGATTGAGGTTGGTCTGCCTGACGTACGGTGGCCGTTCCTTCTCCAGCACGGAGACCAGGACAAGCTAGCTGAGATCTCAGGCTCCAGACTTATGTATGAGAAGGCGCCTAGTGAGGACAAGACATTCACTGTGAGTATGGAACAGGGTCGGGGTGGGGGTGGAACTGGGGGGGGGACCAAGCTGTGTGGGGCCGTGGTTCTTACTGTGAGTGATTGCAAATTTAATATTAAATTCTTGACAAATGATGAATGATTATCATTTGTAGTACCCATCCATTTCTATTCTTTACATGTACAATATATGCTTATGGTGCAGTCCAAAAAAAAAAGGTCAAAAACTTCTCACAAATAAGTGCTCTGAATTCCAACCGGTTTACTGCTCACTGATTTAAATTTGATGCATTAGTAAAATATTGTCGTGGATATCTGAAAGCTAGAACACTGCTGGACTCTCAGATCACGCAGTGTACTGTTTTAATTGTGAGCGCATAATTATTGCTGACTGTGGAAAGAGGATATTTCTGTTTCTAAGCGTGCTGAAGTTAATATTTAATTCAGTTATAATACTGATATCTGTGTGACTAATAGAGACACATCAATTTTGATATCTGTGTGAATAATAGAGACACATCAATTTACCCATGGGAAGACACATGTGTCTTGATTAAAGAGATCCTTACTAATTGAAATTGATATATTTTTATTTGTAACATAGGCGAATTTCTCCCCTTAATACGAACAATAGGAAAAGATATCATTATTTCCAATTGATAGGTAATTTTAAACCCTTGTTAGAGATAGATTTCCGGGTCTAGTGTTGAATTTGAATGCTGTAGTTCATAAAACTGCAAAATGCTAATGTTCATGAAATTGAAGTTAAACAAAATTCATAGAGTTGTATTCACAGAAATGTTTCTGATTATTTTCCTCGTTAAAACAATAGCCTGGCTCATATTCATAAAACATGGTCATCATCACCTACAGCACACCCCTTACACCCATTGTAGACTTACATTTCAGAGGCAAACTGAACAGGATTATTCCGAAGATTATAATTAAGTTTAACGTTTGAAACAGTTAGGACTTACTAAATGTGCAAGATCGACTGTAACAGTCTTTTAAAATGACTTCAGAGTCCAGTAAATAGAAAATTAGTGCTCAACGTTTTTGCCTGTCTGAAACCAGTCTATTTGGATCGACTTGAGTTGTGTTGGTTCGGTGCGACTCTAGCATGCCGGTCTGAAATGGTCATAAGTTCTTATCTGTGATTGTTTCTTGATGGAATTGTAGGTGTACGAGGGCTGCTTTCATGAACTGGATAAGGAACCAGGGGAGGACGGAGAGAGAGCCACCAAAGAAGTTGTAGACTGGGTCCTGCAACGACTGCCTAGCCAATGAGACAAGTCTCAATTTACCTGAAGGCTTTTTCACACTAGAGCCTCTCAACCCGGGTTGAACTCAACCCTGGGCAAACCCGTGCCGCCCTGGGTTGAGTTTGTGAATTTTCAACCCTGCGTTCAACCCTACATCGTTTCATACTTGACTTGTTTTGTGCAAACCGAGCTTATTTCGCTCAGTTACTACTGTTTTGAACCCTTGCCAGAGTTTCAACCCGGGTTGAAAATCTCAACCCTGGTCTGGAGCAGGGTTGAGTTCAACCCTAAGCGAAATGAATCTCAGGGTTGACGCGGGGTTGAAATTTGTTTCTGTAGGATGTACTGCTCTGGAAGCATGTCAAACTCGGACCACTCCGAATGTTCTGTTGGAAACATGTGCTGTTTTCATTAAGAATAGCCAAGTAATCCTAATGGCAAATGTGAATTTTATGACGTACAGGGAAATATTCTTGCTACAAAGCACAAAAGTTGAGCATATTTCAACTCTAGCGAACTTTGCCTTAAATGTCAAATTTGCTTCATATTTACTCTCACGTGAAGTATGGATGATAAAATTTTTAAAAAGTAGCTTTTTGTGACCAACTAAAGTATTACTATGAAGATGTAATCCAAACTTTAGTCTTTTTGTCAAGGTTCAATGTATCTGTGTGTGCAGTCAAAATGTACTTTTTCCATGTGCCTTGCGACACTAAATGCAATCTGAATGCACAATTTAGACATCTTTTATCCATTTTTTTTTCTTTTGCAAATTGCAATACCATGTCACTACACAAATGTTAACACCTGGTGTATGAAAGACTTTTCAAAGATGCATACCTTGTGCTTTCTTTTTTCTCCTAAAAACTTTTAAATTTGTATGTTTTGTTTTAATGAAAAAACTGTCTTTATTCCTACTTTGGGCGTCTGCAACACTCAGAAAAAGGGCTTTTATTTTGTACACAAATGAACCCGCCCTGCAAGAGCTGAATAAATTCAATAACTAAACGGCGGTGGACTTTTTCTTTCCATGTCTTATTCAAAAGTGAACAACTTTTATATTGCTAGGAAAATAGCAGTTAAAAAAGAACACTTCTATTTTTCGAGATGAAACTTGAAAATAGCACGGGGACGCATCTTTAAACAAATATTCATGTGTAAATATATTACTTTTTCTTAAACAAATTTTCATGTATACTGCAAAAGTATATAATAGAAATAGTGGTTTACATGTATGATATAGTTCAGCAATACTTATGTAACTATTAAACTGGATTTTATTCCTTTTGAGTATTAATATTCTTTTTGAATATGACTTTTTCCTTTTTAGTATTCCTTTTGGGTATTTCTATTCCTTTTGAGTATTACTATTTCCTTTTGAGTATTACTGAAGTATTTTGAGATGTAATATTTTGAAACCGATAATATTTATTATTTAGAACAGGTAGGATATTTAGAACATTAGCTATAACAAGAATTGTATTATCTTGCCCCATTTTACTTTTCAAAGATTCCTCATATTCAAATGGCTTTTAAGTTTTCTTTAAACTATATATTTACCCTCATTGACGATAACTTGTGTCTTAAAGAACAGAGGTTTTATTACTTAAATATATAGATTATATTTTTGGTTATCATGTGTAACTTTATGGTTTCAGAACACAAAATAAAAAACATATATATATTCACAAGATCCCTTCTTTTTTAATAGTGAATTCACAAAGTTCTGAATAATGTCAAGTAGTTGGTGTTGGGTGATTTGATGTTTTCAAATATTTTAAGTCTATGAGAAATCTGGCACTTTTAAATAGTTTAGTTCAGGTAACTTTTTGTTAAAACCCTAATAATCACTAATTCTCAGGGAATTTGGGCTGCTGTAGATGACACTAACGAACAATATTGGTTGTGTCATCACAGTTCCCTTCGCAAGCCTGCACAATAAAAACTTTCAACTTTGTCAAATAATTATTTTTCGTTGTACTTCTCAACGACACATTCACTTGGAGAACTATTCCATGTGCAAATACTATTTCTGTCATTTATTGCATTATGTAAAGTGTACTGTTACACTCTGTATAGACCATGTCACATTTGTTTACAAAATTGATGTTTTGGTGCCAACTTTCGGTCAACCATGCTCTCTTGCACTGCATTTTTCTATATTGAAATATGAATGAAATATAATGCATATGAAATATTATGCGCAGACAAACTGTTCAATGTGGGAAAATAGCATGAAAGATGCTAAAATGTTTGGTATGACACCACATGTGACATGGTCTATGAAATTTAATGCTTGTAGCATTATACATTTTAACTGTCACTTTTATAATTTTGTTAAGAAATTGTATTAGTAAATAAAGTGCAAAAGATTACATTCACGTCAGACTGTAAAACTTAAATGTTTCTGTGTAACTAATGCAGATAATTGGATTCAAATATTCACAGTTAATACGTAAGAAAACACACGATGGGTTAACTTAAGTAAGCTCCTTTAAAAAAAATTATCAGTATAAAAAAATACTCTACATTGTAAAAAGGAAAAAGAATGATCGAAATTATTTTGTAGCAGGAAATAAATGTTTTTCATTCTGAAAACTTTCCCAATAACTTGACAGAGAAATGTGAATAAAGTGAGTTTAAACTAGAATGCATTTTTTAAAATTAGAATGGATTGTTAATAAAGTGAGTTTTACCTAGAATGGATTTTTTCCTTCCAATGTTTTACCAGCAGTAATATTCAGCTGCTACAAACATTATGTTGTGTATGTTTTCCAAACCTATCCCGACAGCCATAGTTGTGACGGGTAGTAGGGCTGTTCCGAATATCTGAATATTCGAATATCTTTTTGCCGGTTTCAGTATTTGAAAAGAAAACAAACATGCACTTGCACAAACGACTGTAATGTCATTTAAGGGTCAAGTTCTGTTTTTTTATTGTCGGATTGCATTTTTTTGTTGACGCCTGTTCATTGGTCCTATTCTTTTATGGTCCTATTCTTTTATGTCCCTTGACAGTTACACAGTATTTACTATAAAACACTCCACTAGTGGCCCATAATATCGGTCGCCGCATGCAACTTTTAACTGGCGCACTCTGAATGCAACTTCTGACCAGCGAGAAAGGCAGCTGCAGCTGGGGTGTGTAAAACTTAATTAACTTAAAAAAAGAAAAAGATTTATTCACATGGTGCTACCACAAACTTATCTTGTCTTTATCTTTCCACCATGCAAACCTTCAACTCTCCTGACGCCGGGCAGAGCATACTGTTCGAAACGTTGAGTCCTTCCGGTTCTTTTCAGAACCACACATACTCACAAAAGAGATTTATTCACATACTTAAGAAGATTTTAAGCCAATAATTGCATAAAGCGATACAAATATATAGAAAGTGTGAATTTAACCATAAATAGTAAATAGATTACAATTTTTCATTAGTTCCCTTTCCATATATATCTAAAATATTCTCAAACAATACATTGCGTTTAATATTCCTCAATTGAATTCCCAGTGAACTGCAAATATTAGTATAAATATTATTCCACTGATACTATTTACAACAGTAAAAACTGCAAAATGTTCTTTAGAATCATTATTTACAAGATAGAAATTTCTCAAAATCTGGCAAAAATGTTCAGTCCTGAACGGTGCATGCATAGGAACAAGTCAAACGATATTGTCATTAATTTTCATCCCATTATGTTGATTCGTTTGATCTATATATGGATTGCATTTAGCAGCCACATTGGAGGTCAACTCATGTGTGTCCCTGTTGAACAAAAGCACTGACCTCAAAGATGGCTGCAGTGCAAACAATCTATTATTAGTAGTTTCCTTCCATCCTTCCTTCCTTGAAAATGCAGCATCATATGTATGAGGATAAACGCACTGCCAGAAACACCGGGGCAAACCCCTGCTCTTAGCGACAAGTGTTACTGGGTTCTTTAACGCGCATTATACAACGCAAGGGACCTACGGCTTTACATCCCATTCAAAGGACGAAGCAATAATGGTTAAGTGTTTTGTTTAAAGACACAAGTGTCAAGACTGGGACTCGAACCCACACTCTGCTGATCAGAAACACCAGAGCTTGAGTCCGGTGCTCTTAACCGCTCGGCCGTGACACTCTCTGCTTTGGAGCCCCATGGTGTAATGTTTATGTCATCCAACTTGTGCAGTGGTACATGGTTAACACCCTGATAAGGGATCATGGTGTTCGTGTTCTTGGGCATGACACTTTACTACAATTGCCTCTCTCCACCCAGGAGTGTATAAATGGGTACATGTGAGGACACAGACCAGATTGCATTCATCTTGAGCTGCTGCAGAAAATGGCCTGATGAACAGGGGTAATAATAAGCCAGTTCGGTACTGAAGTTACATCTCCAATGCGAAATCATATATGATGAACATTCAAAGCTAATATAGCCAAAAAAATTACACGGAAGGGACAGGGTTGCTGCAGACAAATGAGTAATTTGGAGAAAGGCCTAACAGTCTAACCCTAACCTTAAGAGCAGCACATCCAGCATGTGCAGTGAACACTGTGCCTCCTCCATCTCGCTAAACGTCTCAACGAGTCTTGAGATGTGATGGCGGATGTCGTCCACGACGACGATGGAATCTGTCTCTTCTCTGTCGTTGATCTCTGCCGCGTCTTCAATGATAAGCTTCTCAAATTCTTCCGACTCTATGAACTGTGACCCAAAAAAAGAAACTTTTGTTCACCAAATCTGGTACCCAGAAAATGGGATAATTAAAACATGCAACAACTTAAATAGAAGTTCTAACCTACTGATATCTATATACTGTCTGGACGGCACATACACCCATATCCATGCATGAATAAGTGAAGCACAAATGAGTTGTTTTTCTGAGGTCCCCAATATGGCTGCCGCCACTTAGGCTATACCTGGGACTGCAGTAGTCAACGTGGCATACAGATACATTTTAGCCCCCGAAGATGGCCCCTAGAGTGACTTCAGCCAAAGCTGGACCATTTTCTCTCAAACAAATCTCTTTTTGATACCACATAATTTAGCAACTGTCAATGCAATGCCATGGCCAACAAGATATGCAAAATAAAGCAAACATTTCAAAATAAACTTTTGTACTTTACTTTCTACAAAAATGGCACAGAATGTATATGAAGAACTCATCTGCCAAGTTGACACATTTATTATATTATAAACTGTCAACAAGAACTTGGACTACAAGAGCTATGAAGAAAAAAAGTTTTCAAAGAAGTCAATGAAACCAAACCAACCTGTCTAAAAGATGCATACGAGTGTATTTTAACCTTTTAACAATTGAGAATTTAATATGACCCTCAAGTTTTAACACACTTGCATGATTGTAGTTTAAAAGGGGGAGGGGGGGGGGGGTCGGGAAAGAGTCTTACCTTATCCAAATATTTGGCCATGTACTCTGTGCACTGGTCTTCCAGCTTGGTCAGACTAAACATTCTGGACACACGCAGCACAGAGATGACATTGTCTGTACTCAGATGCCTAGAGATGACGTTAGCACAGATACGCTTCAGCCCTGGCAGTAGGTAGAGATCGGCAAAGCATAGAACGTCGTAACTGGTATCTTCTGTAAGCTACAAGTTAAAGGTAGAGTTGATAATTTGTCATTTGTTTCATTTGAAGCAACAAAAGTGCTCAAAATCTAAATATGAGTACTTAACGACTAACCCGATGAAGTTTTAGCTCTGTGAATGCTGTATATTCCGAAAAAACAATGTTCTAGGATTTCAATTTCAATTCAAATTTGCCGAGTCATGTTTTGAATTGCGCCCGAAAAAAGACTCTGGGACACGTTCTCATTGAGCTGATTGCAACAATTGCCTCTCTCCACCCAGGAGTATAAATGGGTACCTATGAGGGTCAAGGACCGATTGAGCGTTGATATCGGCTGCCGCGAGGTCCCATGGCCTGATGAATGGGGTAATAATTGTAAAGTGCTTTGAGATCGTTGATACGATGGAAAGTGCTATATAATAACAAGTATACCCTTTGGGAGACACTTTAGCGTCATAAGTTATACCTTTGGGAGACACGTCGAATAAGGGAGACATTTCAGTGTCTCCCTAATTCCACATTCCCTACTTAGAGGCAAAATGTTATTGTCGCAAATGGGCTAGATAGATTGCTCGTGATCCAATTAGTAAAAATACCGAAATTCGTGGGGGTAGGATAAGGTGAAATTGGAGATGGCTTTGTGCATATTCAGAATAGAATAAGTCGTGCATACTTCGCGCTATATGCACGCGAGCCAGTACAACACGTGGTGTGTACAAGTCCTGTTCACGTGGTGTGTCCTGTCAACGTCGTGTATCCCATCCATGGGGCTCTCGAAATTAGTAAAAAAGCGCCCTCTCTGGTTTGCGCACAAAGCACATAGAGGTGCTCTAATGGACCCTGTGCATGCACTTAGATGGCGCTTTGTCATTGAAAGCCCCAGTGGGAGAGACACTCTGCGCACATTGTGGAAAGTCAAAACAAATTATATTTTGAATGTGCGCGACTGGCAATGCCTTCGCAAGTCTTCCAGTGGACTCCCCAAACTCTCCCATTGTAATCGTTGAGGGGGTACTTGTGCACAGAATGCACCGTGGTGCACTACGGTCCCATACCTCTACTCTCTCAGTGTAGATGTAGTAGACAATCTTGGCAAAGATCTGTGGCGTGAGGTCGTGTAGCGTCACCACCGGCAGGGAGTAGTAAGGATCCTGGACGTTCTCTGAGAAGTGGTCGGATAGTAAGGCCCTGAAATACTCGCTGCGACAGCAGAAGAAAACCTGGGGAAAAAGGCCAAAAATGACAACTACTTCAAGACAACATCTAGATGTCTTTAAACTGACTGGGCAGTGCTATCCTACAGGATTACCTTGTAACACCAATGAATGGGCTTAATCTGGCCCATTGTGTAGACCAGATTCAGGCAAAGACTTCCAGTCAATAGCCATTCTGAATCGGTTGAACAGAATTCTGTGCACTCTGGGAAAAGCTTTACTAGGGTAGTCTTGTCTAGTCATATTTCATTTCTGTGTGAAGAGTAACGACCCTTTACAATGATTTGCCAAAGAATTTGAGACTCTAAACCTTCAAACCTTTCAGTGGTTTTACCTTGTGACAGTAGAAGTACTGGCCTTCCACGTTAAAACAGACATCAGCGAACGGCGACTGCTCTGGTACCTCACCACAAAACGGAAGGATGCCTGGCCCGTAAAACTACAAACAAGGCAAACAGGACAAGAACTAAGGAATAGCTTGGATACCAGAGATAAAAAAGTTAGGATAGGTTAGGGCCATCCACTTTTGCCCCGTACCCAGCCTGTTGTAGTAAAAAAGTATCGCTCTAAGGGCCTCGGAGTGTTGCAAAATATGAAGTTACGGTGAGAAATATCATACAAGTATTGCACAAGTGACTCTCAAGAGTCAGTATTTGTGGTCTTTGACTTAATTTTAATATTTGGCCGATATACATGAATCTTGTCTTTTTTCAAAAATAGTGTTTTTTGACCAACAATAATCCCGGTGGCAAGTGGTTAAGAAGAGGCACCCTGCCTTTTGTGATTCAAGAACATACCTGGCAGAAGACTGACGGTACAGCAATGTCGGCAAGGAACTGCAGCTCATCTTGTAGGAGTGTCGAGTCCTGCGGTGGCTCGATGGTTACTATGGAAACATGCGTGCCAGGTTTTTGAGGGACTAAACGATACAGAGAGGCAAAAAATGATTAAGAAGAAATAAATACAAGAATTTAGTTTAAAAATGTACTTTAGAGAAAGTTTTTAAACAAGGGGGCTTGGAATATATTGGAGGGACCAGTTCTTGTTTTGCATTAATGCTTAACCCACACTCTGATAAGCATTGTAGTCAAGTTCATTACAAGCCAGGTGAAGTAATAGATGATAGAGAAAACTGACAAAGGAATTTGTCACAGTTTATTTTAAAAGCTTGTGAAGTGACTTAAACTGGATGACTTGTGATTGACTTGGGAAATTTTGTGAGGATTCCATAACAGTTTTGTTCTTAGGAATGGGCTCCATGCACAAGTACTCCTTCAACGTTCAGAAAAGGAGAGATGGGGGAGACCTAGACTGGTTCCCGGTCCATCCACTGCGTATTTCAAATGATCCAAAGTTATTGGGGGCGGGGATTAGTCTGGCAGACCATCGCAAGTTAAATTCGAATGTATTCGAGCTGATACCGCCCGGCGCTCATGCATAGACGCTGTGACTAATAGCTTTGGCATATTCAGGATAGGAGACGTGCGTATTTTGCGCACGAACCACTAAAGTACAGTACGTACACGCTGGGTGTCCGGTCCACAGGGCTCTCAAAAATGTTTAAAAAGCGCCCTCTTTTGTTCGTGCACGGAGCCCACACATAGAAACCTAGGTGCAAATGAATAACATGCAGGTCTGGAACCTCCCTACAAAACATCAAGTTTTCGCAGACTCATAAAGTTGGATACACTGTGAGAACACTCGGTTTAGAAAAACAACCAACAGCAAGACTTTTTTTTGCGTTGGAAGGTTTTTCAAACCTCGGTTTTGTCTGCAGCTGCAGAATCATTTGGAAGTCTCCACTGTTCAAACCAATTAGAGATACAATGTACTCTAAAGTATGGACACATATTATAGGATTCAATGTTTCTGAAGCAGACAACGGTCCATTAGTGAGCCAGAGTTCCCCCAAGTCAGGGAAATTTTAAAATTAGAGTCTGACTTAGCCGAAGCTGGGGACAAAGCCAGGATTTCGTGAACCCTTGTCACCCACTCACTTGGTGACTTTAAACTCATCAGGAAATTTCTGCCAAACGATGGACTCTATTTGAAGTAAATGTGATTAAACCGAGTGGTTGTCATGTACCGAATTCCAAGATGGCCTGTAGTTTGCTCTCCAGTTGACCCAGTAACTCAGGCATCTGACACTGTTTGGCAAAACGTCGGCAGTCTTCGTAGCAATCTAGATGAACCTCCAGGTAACCTGAGTGAGGAAAGAAAGTAAAACAAGGTAACTTTAAGATATCAACCCTTGAGAGTGAACTGATGGGTTTCTCCCAGACCTTGTTGCAATTTATTCATCGTTACAAAATACTCACAAATGTAAACATACCTGTGTAGATATACTGTAAAATGGCCTTGAACGCCTGAGGCCGAACCTGTCAAATCAACAAAATAAACAAAGAAGTAATTTAACAAAAATTTAATTTATTTGCAATACAAATAAAGAGGGCGAACTCTAAAGTGGGGGTATTTTTCGTTGGTGTCTATGGCAGGCTTTGAAGTCTTCCTACTTTTCCTTCTATTTCCTAGTTTTTCTTTACTTTGCTTCTACTTTCTACTTTTTTCTTGAAATTGCTACTTTTTCCTACCAATGAAATCTCATTGAATATTTTTAATAACAATGTTACACACTGTCATATGTAAATCACACAATGAAGGGCTTGGGCGCAGGAGTACTGCAACTGTACTTCTAAGAGCTTAGTTGAGGATGGAGCACAAGTGTTGTGAGTACAGAACATGCCAAATGAGGCTTATGATGGTGTGGTCATGGGCGAGTATCAACGAAAACTACTCCTGAAAGCCTGCAAAAGTCCTACTTTTATCCTGATTTTGTCCTTGAAAGACCATTTTTTAAAAATTTTGATCCTACTGTTCTCATACTTTTTCACTTGGATCTGCTTGAAAGCCTGCTGTGACAATTATTTTAAACTGGTCTACATCATGCAATGCATTTGTAACACTGCCATATTTGATCATCTGTACATTACTCCATGCAGCATTTTGATGTCTATTCGTTCTGGAACCAAATTTTCGGACACCCTATGTCACTCTCAAGGCTTGACGTCCCTACCACTGCACTCTTGATGTTGATGGTGCTCTTGTGTCGCCATTTTGTCTCCAACATCTCGGCAAAGTATGGGCTCCTGGCATGCAGGATGCAGCGGTGGGCTGGGAACGTCTCGTCATGGACAACAAAGACGATGTCTTCATAACAGTTGCCTTCTAGTAACCTAAGATGTGGGGTCAAAACAAGGGGCCAAATTCACGGATCTACTAAGCACTGAAAATGTTTGCTTAGTCAAAATGGGTTACCAGCCAAAATGCAATGCAATGTGTATTACCTGGAACTGGTTCCCCGTTGATTTTTGCTTGCTGCACAAAATTGTTAAGCATAGCTTTTCTTCTACTAAAAAAAATCTCAGTCTCAAACTCCAACATAAAGATATTATTTTCTGACCAAATTTTCAAAATGATAAAATCTTCCTTTGGAAGCGTGTAAAATAAAAAAGTGCACTCAAACGTGTGCAAAAAACGTGAGCTGTTTTGAAACGAACACATGTTATTATTTGTTATTGTGGCCTGAAATTATCTACAACATAAATGAATGTACTACCATGACTGGGGGCAAAGTAGTAATTGGGCGAAGTACTTTGGGGCATACTGGAAATTGGGCGGTGACTGACAGCCCTTGTGTACGGAGTCCATGAGCCTCTTAGAGATATGGCGGACACAATACAGGGCACTTTTTGGAGCGGGCAAATTTGAGTAAATATAAAAGAGTTTACCAACTCCAAATAGCAGCCTCTCAGTGTGTCCCAAAAATATCATATCACAAAAAGGTTAATTGTCTGAGATATGCCGTAGATATTCAAGTTTAATGTAAGTAAGCCTGAAAATGCTTGTGTTCAATGATCACTGTGTGAGACTCGGCCGGTCTACCTTCGTAAGAATTCCTGGTAGCTGTCCCGGCACGCCTTTCCTGTGGTCACGGCCTTCCTGGATTTCAACATGTCTCTGATCTCGTCTGTGAGGGCGCCATACAGGCAGCGCTCACCATCAAACGTTCTGGCTTCGCACTGGGCACCTGTGGATGAAATTATGGTTTCGAAAATAGCATCAAATGGTCAACAATCCTAAGTTGGTTCAGTCTAAATGTCACTTCACTGAACCAACTGTTGGAAATGTTTCGACTGTTGGAATGGTATACCTGTTTATTACTGAAAATGTCTTAAATCGTCAGAATGATGAATGAGTTATATTAAAGCCCTCATAAGTTCATCACAAGCCAATCATAACAGACAATCACAAGTCCATCACAAAGCCCTCATAAGTTCATCACAAGCTAATCACAAGTCAATCAGAAAAGACAATCGCAAGTCCATCACAAGTCCATCACAATCCAAGCACAAGTCAATCACAAGTCAATCACAAGTCCAACACAAGTCCATCACAAGTCAATCACAAGTACATCACAACTCAATCATAAGTACATCACAACTCAATCATAAGTCCATCACAACTCAATCATAAGTCCATCACAACTCAATCACAAGTCCATCACAAGGTAATCACAAGTCAATCACAAGTCAACTGACAAGACATCCCTGTCATTACTCATCCCCTGTTACATGTGACTAGACTTTTGACATGACTCGTGATGGACTCACCAACACTGCATGGAGGGGATTCAAAAAGGGGAGGAGCAAAATTCATAACTTTCAAAACGTCAGGAGGGGGGGGGGGGGACTGGGAGGGGGATGTTAAAAAAAGGAGAAATTCATCATTACCATTATCCAGTAGGTAGCTCACTACTTCCTTGTGGCCACAAAGGCAAGCGTAGTATCTAATAAGACAAAGAAAAAATCAATGAAATTAATTACTTTAATCAGACTGAATAAAAGCCATGACGTTCAAGTCCACTTATATTAGCGGCGATGCGTTTGTTTTTTTTGTTTTTTTTTTACTTTGTTTTTCTTCAAATGTCGGCTGATGACTGCAAATGATGCCCGACTAAATTTAGTGCAAAATATATGGCAGTCCAGAGAAGCCACATAAAGTTTATACTCCATCATAATCCCATCTAAAAACACGTTAAAATTGTGCAGCAGCAGGATTCCAGTCAAACCAGTGAGTTTGGCAGTTTTGAGACATCATCTGGCACTGATTTTTTTTTTTTAGCATTTTGACGACGCCCATGGCTACGGCGACGCGTGCGCAGACTAGAAACCGGAGACTTTTTTTTGGGGGGGGGGCCTTAGCCCGTTATACACAAACAGTTAAAAGGCTTTCCTACGTGTTAGGTACTGCCTTTCTGAACCTAAAGCTGCAAATATATCCAAATAACAAATGCAAAACAAATCTTGAAAGTTGAAAAAAAACAGTAATAACTCACAACAGAGTACTGTCCCATTCATCCCTTATGTTTACTTCAACTTCTTTTGTCTCCACCAGATACCTGAAAAGCAACATGGATAGAACAGAAAAGTGTAATGAAGTTTCATATTTTTTTATGAATCTGCTAACTTTTAAACATGTAGAGAAATGTGGGTTGTTTTAAGGCAAAAAAGGCAATTTGTTCTGGGTCTAAACTTAATACTCTGACAAAGTCTGTCCTGCAGTATAAGTGTACATAAACATGTAATTCGGACGATGCTATAGTTAGCAAAACACTGACATAACACTGCCCAATCCGCAAACAATGATGTATATCCAGATGCCACTTCTTTGGTTGTGTACAAAGTCTTTTGAGAGATGAGTGCATTTTTTTGAGTATTGTTTCTCAGTCCCACATTCATGTTTTTTCAACAATTTTGCAATGTCTGACCTTCATTAAGATAATGAATGATGAAAAAATGGCGTTAGAATGCAACATTCTTTCCCCCAATCCTATACCCAATGTCCATACGGATGCCAAATACTTACTGTAGTTTTGCCAAGTCACCGGTTTTGCAGCACAGAAAGGCTTCACTCTTCTCGCTACGTCGACGGTAAGCTGCCATGGTGATGATGATGATGATGATTTATACATTTAAGCACCAGAAGGCAACTGAGAAAGTCAAATATTTCAAGTTGAGGCGGTTAAAGTAATTTTGTGTGCAAATGTTTCAGATGTTGTGCACGCTATCTTTTTAACAAACATAGTCGCTATCGTTACAGCAGCCGTTATGCTGTTTTCAACTGCTATTGTTACGGCATTGCAAAAAAAAACCACTGCGAATCTATATCACATTATAACTGCCCACTGGTTAAATGTTGGACTACCATGTCAAAGGTCACGGCATCGAATCAGCAATGCCAGAATTTTTTTTTTTCCTTTTAATAGTTTTCCTTATTTTGAAGGAGCATTACGGCTTGAAATTCTGGAAAGATTTCACATTTTGGATTGTTTACTTATTACTATTTCAAAGGTCTGGTTGAAAGGAAACAAACCTAGTGTCTTAGGCCAAAAAAATAGTTCTGCTTCCGATAACATGGCATTTGAAATTAGGGTAGGTAGGTTGGACATTTTTTTTTTTTGCAATTTTTTGTGTGTACTATCATATGGAGGTGTCTGCGCGTAGTCAAGGGTAAAAGGTAGTAATTGATGATTTTCTGTTTTTTCCCTCATTTTTTCCCCCAAACAAATTAGGGTAGGGGCTGTCAAAATAGGGTGGGTAGGGTAACCGGAAGCAGTGCTATTTTTTTTGGGGGGGGGGCCATACCGTTCCCGAGAAAAGATGACATTACATCGGATACGACGAACATACGTTTTTCAAGTCTGTCTATTCAATGCACCATACACGTTGTGTGTGTAATACACACATTTCAAATACACACATGGTGGAAAGATTTCCATATACGAAGTTCACTAATTTTCCTCTGTACTGACTAACAAGCCCCCAGATAGCAATTTCATGTCATCAAAGTCAATTTGAGCAGTGAGAAAATACAAGCATTTTCTTAGAAAACACTTAGAATTTTTCAGTCCAATCTCCTAGGGTTTGTACACAGGGTGTTGAGTGAACTTTGTATATGGAAATCTTTCCCAAATGTTGTTTCTTACACGTCCACAAAATGCGAACCACTATGCAGCTGGATCACAACTAGTCCGAGTAACTTGGACCCAACTTATCGCCTTTTTTAACATTTTGGACATGGTCTGGCGATAGTGGGGTCCAAGCTAATAACGCGACCTGGACAACACAGTCCCAAAAACCAACATTTTCCAACAAAAAACATCAGATTTCACCTTCAAAACGGCCTCCAAATTACTAGATATGCCACCTGAAGTACAAGTAGACATCGATGATTAAGATGGTTGTACTTAAGTTTACTTACGATCCGGAAGAAAAGTGAAATTTTCCGTTCAATTCTGAAGACCCCCTCTGCCTAGGTTGTCGTCGTTGTGCTCACGTTCAAAACTGCATGATACGCTGTGTGTACGCGTTCCCAATTGGGTAATGGTGTCTGACCTCGACCTCATGCAAAGGTCGTGACGGCGCGCTTGCGCACAATGCACTGCATGCACGGCAGATTCCCCTGCGCCGAGCCGACGACTGTTTCCTGATGAAGAGTGCTGTGTAAGTTCGCGGTACGCCTAGGAGTCGCGCTGGCTAGCCAGGCGCATGGCTGGCGCTGAGTTGGTTTATAGCTCCATGGTTTTGAGGACGGTCATGTGCTGGAATTATTTCAAAGAACCGCGAACTTACACAGCACTCTTAATCAGGAAACAGTCGTCGGCGCGGCGCAGGGGAATCTGCCGTGCATGCAGTGCATTGTGCGCAAGCGCGCCGTCACGACCTTTGCATGAGGTCGAGGTCAGACACCATTACCCAATTGGGAACGCGTACACACAGCGTATCATGCAGTTTTGAACGTGAGCACAACAACGACAACCTAGGCAGAGGGGGTCTTCAGAATTGAACGGAAAATTTCACTTTTCTTCCGGATCGTAAGTAAACTTAAGTACAACCATCTTAATCATCGATGTCTACTTGTACTTCAGGTGGCATATCTAGTAATTTGGAGGCCGTTTTGAAGGTGAAATCTGATGTTTTTTGTTGGAAAATGTTGGTTTTTGGGACTGTCATTGACTGTGTTGTCCAGGTCGCGGTATTAGCTTGGACCCCACTTTCGCCAGACCATGTCCAAAATGTTAAAAAAGGCGATAAGTTGGGTCCAAGTTACTCAGACTAGATCACAACTAGCACTGAACAGCTCAATTTTTCGGGGACAAAATTGTGACCTGGTGACCCGCGTTTGTGTGAAGGTACGTCACAGGTTAGCAAAATCTATCCAATGAGAGCTTAAAGACATCAGCCCTTCCCAGCGTCTTGTTTGCAGGGCGGGGTACGAGCAAACAAGAGCCAAGATTCTGAAGTTGAATAATCAAGGAACCAGAGGAAATCTGTCCACACTATTGAGGGCGCTCTGTACAACTTCTGGACAGACGATCTGTATCTGTATCTGTATCTGTATGCTACTGCACAAACGCCTATGGTGGGGCTATCACGTGCAGGTAACGCTGTCATGGTGCTGGTTGATGACTAAATTTTGAAGTGCGCATGGGTGGAGAGTTGGCCGATGTTTATCTTGTCTAGTTGGGTTTTGAAGGCGTTCAGTGTGGGTTGGTTTTTAGTAGCGTCAGGTAGGAGGTTCCATTCTGGGATTGTCCATGGGTATAATGAGTGGAGATAGTTGTTTTTGTTTGACTGGATGCGTTGGAGATTTAAAGTGCTATTGGATTGTCTGGTAGTACGTCTGGTGGTTTGCTGGTCACTGGGTAGATGAATTTGCAGGTGGGAGATATTACTTGGAATTATACCGTGAATTTCTTTGTAGATGGTGCATAGTCGGGCTCTGTTGCGTCTATCTTCCAAGGGGTCCCAGCCTAGTTCTTTGAGCATTGCAGTGACGCTCGATGAGTAACTGTAGTCCCTCAGGACGAACCTGGCTGCACGTCTCTGAACTTTTTCAAGCACGCTGATGGTATTCGATTGGTGGGGGTCCCATATGACTTGACAATATTCCAGAAGTGGTCGAACAAGTGCCTTATATGCTATTTCTTTGGTGTGTTTATCACAGCTGGATAATGTTCTTTTGAGTAGACCAAGGGTTCTGTTTGCTTTGACTGCAATTTGGTTTATGTGTCGATTCCAAGTCATATCAGAAGTAAGTTCAACTCCCAAGTATGTGTGATGATCGACTTCGCTAAGTATATCATCACCCATCGTGTACTGGTTGGAGGTTGGTTTCCGTTTATGTGTCACTCGCATGGAGAAGCATTTGGACCGATTAAAACCCATCTGCCAGATAGATTCCCAAGTACATAGGTGGTCAATGTCCTTTTGCAGGATTTGAGAGTCCTCAGGAGACTTTATTTCCCGATACAAAATGCAGTCATCAGCAAAAAGTCTGACGCATGACGATAGTTCATTCGGCAGGTCGTTGATGTAGACTAAGAATAACAAGGGCCCCAGCACTGTTCCCTGTGGGACCCCCGACACAACTGGTGATGGTTGTGAAGATTCGCCATCAACGACCACCTTCTGGTGTCGTTTGGTGAGGAAGCAGTCAATCCAAGTATGAATGTTGTTCCGGATTCCTAAATGATTAAGTTTGGCCAGGAGTCTGTGATGAGGAACAGTATCAAAGGCTTTGCTGAAATCCATGATGATGAGATCCATTTGACTGCGTTTATCTAAGGTTACTTGTAGATCGTTGACCAAAGCTGACAGTTGTGTTTCACAGGACCTGCCTTTTCTAAAACCATGTTGTTGGTCGGCTAGAATCCCATGCTGTTCAAAGTGACCCATGATATGTCCATGAATAATGTGTTCAAGGATCTTGCAGATAATCGATGTTAAAGAAACTGGGCGATAATTTGCAGGATCAGACCGGTCATTCTTTTTGTGGATGGGTGTGATGTTTGCAGTCAACCAGTCGAAAGGCAAAGTTCCTGTGGAGATGGATTTATGGAAAAGTTTCCGGAGTATTGGTCCTATGCTTGTTGCACAGGCTTTCAGCACTCGAGCTGTTATACCGTCTGGGCCTGGTGCCTTGTGAGGTTTTAGGTCAGCCAGTAGTTTCTGGATTCCTTCAGTGGTGAAGACCAGGTCGGAGATGTCAGGAAAACGGCTTTCATCTAGGTTTGGGATGTTGGTTCGATCCTCACGTGTAAATACTGAGCAGAATTGGTGGTTTAGAGCATCAGCTTTATCTTTTGCACTTGAGATGATACGGTTTGCAATGTGAAGTGGTGAGACACCAGATATTTCCTGCTTCTTAGACTTGACATAGTTCCAAAATGGTTTGGTGTTTTCTGATTTAAGACTGGCCCCGATGACGTCTTTGATGTAGGATTTGTGGGCTCTCCTGATCTTTCTGTCAACTTGTCTACGGAATTTTTTGAACTTTGACCAGTGGGAGGTAGTACCATGCTTTCTTGCTCGGTTGTAGAGTCGCTTTTTGATGTTTATGTCCCGTTTGATGGAATTGTTGACCCAGGGGTAGGTAAACCGGGAGGAGCTCATTTTAGATGGAATATGTTTATCAATAGAGTTCCTCAGGGATTCCTTGAATGAGGCGAACAGTTCGTCAATGCTGTGAGAGTTCAATATGTTATCTGTTAGTCCTTTGTTGAATTTTGACATGTCTTCATCTACACCAGCAAAATTTGCCTTGCTGTAGAAGAACACTTTACGCTTGGGTGGTCTGGAGATCTTGGGGTTGATTTTCATTCCCATGATGACCATATCGTGGTCACTAATTCCGCACTGTACCCGAACGTAGTCTACAGATGATGGGCTGTTGGTAAGGCACAAGTCGAGGATGTTTTGATCCCTCGTCGGCTTTTTCACTAGCTGATGAAGATTGTGATCATCAAGTATGTCAATCATTAACTTGCTGACAGCTGGGTACTGGCCACAAGGTCGAAAAGCAACTGTGTCCCAGTCGATATCTGGCAAGTTAAAGTCTCCCAGGAGCCAGGTTGAAGCGTTGGGTGGAATACGAGAGAGGGATAAGTCCAGCTCCTTGACAACTTCACAATCTGCAGACTGCGGTCGATAAAAGGCACCTATGTACACTGGTGACAATCCCTTAACATGGATGCTTATCCATAAAAGTTCACAATTAGTTTGTAGATTTGTTTCAACTGAAGCTATGAATGTATTTTTCACAGCGATAAAAACTCCTCCTCCTCTGATGTTTTCACGATCACGGCGAAATACATTGTAGTGAGGGGGGAAAACTTCTCCGGATGCAACAGAATTATTGAGCCAAGATTCCGTGCCAACCACGATGTCAGGCTTTTCTGTGGCAAGAAGAGCTTCGAAGTTTGGATGTTTGGCACGAATGCTTTGACAGTTGATGTTGATGATCTTGAGGTCAGAAACTTGCTGTTTAGTAGTGGTAGACTTGCGTTTTGGAAGTGTTCTAGTTTTGACATTTGAGACCGGATGAGTATTTTGTGTCCTTGTGGGGCTAGAAGAGTGGATTGGTTCTCCAGGGACAAAATCTCCGATGGAGGCAATTGACGCATCGCCATCGTGACTATTGTCAAGTGAACTAAAACTATTGGAGAAATCAAATCCCGTCAAGTTTCCTAGGAATGTAGTAGAAAAGTTTGGCATACCGCAATTACAGCAGGTCCAAGTATATGATGGGTGGTCCACGAGGGCGTTGTATATTTCGTCAGTCATATGAAGGCAGGATACGTGAAACCATTCACAACATTGATCACACTCGATAGCTTTCTGGCCCCACTTTGCTGCCTTATGACAAATCTGACAAGGATACTTCAAGCGCCGTGGGCCAGGATTTACTTCCAAGTCCCCAGCTAACAATGCGAGGAGGCATGCGTGGATGCTTAGTTTATTGTCAAGGATAAGTTGGTTCGAATGTTGAGGCCTATGCCTATGCCGGTTTAGGTGGAAAGAACAATGGAACGAACTCACCGGGTTTGTGAATGCGTCATTATCCATTGACAGTGGAGCAGCCCAATGGTCGAGCATGAATGCCGGGAGCGGTGCGGAGCTCTCCATGTCCATGGCGTGTATGGAGAAAGTCCTGGTGCAGCTCATGAATAAGATGAGGGGTAGAAATGCCCAACATGAACCCAGAGCCATGATGCAGCATAAAACACACGAACATCCAATGTACAAGATAAAAATACAAGCTTACAAGTCACGGAGACACAAGACTGTCACTGACTGTTAAAAAGGCGATGATCCAAGATGGCCGATGAACATCGAGTTGATTACACAAGACAAAACTTTCATTGTAGAAAATCACTAAAAATACGCGATAAAAGTGCCAAATTGCACAGGCTACAAAGCTTGAAGATGTTAAAAAGACGAAAAAACACAAATAAAGATGTAGATGGTGAATCCAAAGTTCAATAAAAATAGATTAAAAACGCGATCGCGCGGAGCTAAAAAAGAATCACAACCAGCATCATGAACAGCGCCCTCATCATCGATATGCTAGTGAGGAAGTTTTTGGCCTAAAATCCCGCCGACATCACACAAAAGTAATTTAGGATGAATCTATAACACATTATGACATTAACAAATGATTCAACGCAAGTGTTACCTGTATTTATGACTTAGATAACCAGACTTAAACTGTCGACGGGCAGATAGTCCGCAAGGCGTCAACGGAAGCGGCCCCAGATATGTTTGTATGGCGCGCCAATGGTGTTCTGAATCGGCAAACAATATTCCAGAACTTTTTTCTTAAACTGTTGGTGCAAAATAATTTCATGAAAACAAGTTATCGTTAAAATCTATCTTAGTTGAACATCAAAACATTAATATTCCATTTTGTTGAAAAATATCCCAAAAAATATTTTGAGATTGCCTGATTATTTTTTTGGTACAGACTTGGCACCCCATACAAGTGAACTGATTTCAATATGGACTGGTGCTATGTTATTGTCGTATTACGCTGCGAAAATGCATTCGGAGTCTGGAGTTCAGAGGGTTGGTAGGAGTCGTCAAATTTAGGAACAGAACTTAGAAGTTGAGGAAGTTTTTAAAATGTGGTTAATTTTGCTCCTAATATGCTTTCTTGTTATTTTTGCCACTCTGTGGTATTTAAGGGTTGTGAGTAAGACTTCGTCCAAGGAAAGGATCGTGATATTGTGTAAATTTCCAAGGCCAGGCGGAGTGAAAACTCGACTTATTCCGGGACTCGGAGAAGCAGGTGCAGCACGCGCACAGCTGTACATGGTCAGTAACACTGTCTGGTGCCTTTTGGTGGGATTGGAAAATGAGTGCAACTGCAAGGGAAAAATAGAATTGTTTTTGCAAATTAAAGCTGTAGAGAATAATTTGACGTGTTAAACACAGTATCCTGACGCTACATAGCCAGCCACTGTGCAGATATATTGGAATGGGATAAGCATAAATTTGTGACTAAGAAATATTTCCAATTCTGTAAGACTGTGAGAAAATACTTTTTGAAATGTTAACTTCCCAAAGGCTTTGTACACAGCCACCAACATGTCCAGAAACTACTTCGGAAAAAATATTGCAACTTTTTTCTTTATATATCATTTCAATGAAGGTCAGTCATTGCAAAAATGATAAGACATGAATCTGGAACTGAGAAACATTTCCAATTTTGTTAGGAAATACTTTGAAAATTTTCTTGACTCTCCATAAACTTTGTACACAACTGCTGAAGTGGCGTCAGGTTGCAACATTTTTTTCCACTTCACCCTTTCCCTGGCCCTGTGGACAATCTCATGGTTGTAGATTATACAGTTGTATATAAATTTGGAAATTTTGTTTGTCTGTTGGGGTGTCGGGTTGTTGTACTATGTTTATTATGGATTGAAACCCGACTGTGACCCCTCACGGCTTACACACTTGCATTCCTGAGTATGTGCATGCATAAATACTTACTGGTAATACTCAAAAAGAAGAAAAATCAGTATGGCGATGCTCAGAGCTCGTTTTCTTATTTGTTTTTTTTTGGTACAGTCAGACCACATGCTCGATGTCCTATCAGAGTTTCAACGGCAACGAGTTGGCATAACAGTTGAAGTGAAGGCATTCGGAGGTTCAGCAGATCAATTCAAGTACTGGCTAGGGAGGAAACTGTTTCCTAGGCAATGCTTCAGTTGGTCCTTTCAATGCGATGGCCACTTGGGGATCAAGATGGCCGATGCTCTCAATAGTGCCTTCAATGAAGGGAGCGAATTTGCCGTTCTTGTAAGTATGAGGTGTCACAGTCCATAAATTTAGGATACTTAATGTAGCCTATTGAGAGTTCCAAATATGGAAAGAGTGAAAAAACACAAGAAAATAGACTGGTGCATTAAAACAACCAGTCTAACACTTCTTCAGTAGTGCATGAGTCAGGTATATCAAAAGCCGAATCTGAAATCTACATGTATTCTCTATAGACATTATGCGTTCAATGAATGGGACAGATTTAGCCCGAAATGGGCCAGAATTAGCCCATTCATTCATGTTATGGGGTAATCCTGTAAGAAAGCACTGCCCAGCTCAAAGTGACAGTCAGTCAGTCAGTGAGATAGGTACAAGAGGGACCAGCAGATTTACTTGCCTAGAACTCAAGACCCTAATAAGGGAAATTTCTTGCCTAGTAAGACATAATTTTGGCAGTTATTTATGCTATTTTCCCATTCAGATTGGTAGTGACACACCTGCCGTCAATGCTGACATCTTGGAGACTGCCTTGTCCAAACTACGCAGCCCTGACTGTGAGATGATCCTTGGCCGAGCCCAAGATGGCGGCTACTACTTGGTGGGCTTCAGGAGACAGGTCAAGGAGAGATTAGGTCTGACTATGAGGTCAAATCTATTTTGACAAATCTGAACAAATCATAAAATATGTATTTAAATTTTTAGGAGCGTTGAAAGAATGTGACTTCTCAATTTCTTTTCACAAGTAAAATAAAATGTTTTTAAAAGTTGAACAAAGAAATTGACTGGAGCGGGGTTTGAACCTCCGGATAACTTCTTGATCTTTGTCAAATACAAAAATAAATTGCAGATTTCTTTGTCATTTTCCGTTCATCATTAGAGTTGGTCTTTTAAGCACAGTTTTTGTACTCTTTGGTCTTTGAACATTGATTTGTGTTTCTTTGCAGGGGTCCTAAATGACATCTTTGAAGGCATTGAATGGAGTACATCCACTGTGTGTCACCGGCAGGCTGAGATAGCTACCGGGCTGGGGGTCAAAGTGCAGCTCATGCCACAGATTCTGCAAGATGTGGTGCGATTCTGACAGGAAAAAAATGCCTTATTATTTTGTATTTAGAAAAAAAATCAGGTTTAAAGGGAAAATACAACATTTGCAAACATCAAAAAATAAAACTACCAAATCATTTTGAAATACCTTGCTGGACTGTTAGTGAATGACAGTGTAAAGCATCCTGTAAAATCATGGCACCTGGTATACTGTCATTTTCAAGAAAAGTGGTATTTTTGTATCAATTTCCAACGCTGATCGGCCGATCAGCGTTGAAAAAAAACTGGCTTTTTTTTCAAATACTGGCCCCAATAGACCATCGCACTTGTTTGCAATCGATTACAAACCTATGAACGGGTACGAGCCAGCTAAACTGGTTCCCTGATCTTACAATTCCCCTATGTATGTAAACTGCTCTGTTTCTTCTTATATGGAGTCAGGGAACCAGACTACAGGAAAATGATTGTTTTTCTTGGTTTTTATAGCATTTTCGAACCCAAAACCTCAAAAAAAGTCAGTGTAACTATATTTGCTATATATTTCCAACCCCCCAATTCCATCCATTTCTGAATAATTACAGCAAAAGCATATGATGTATATTCCCTTTAAGGCACAGTGGCAGTTGTAGTCAAGGCTATCAGTGGTAAATCACAAGCGTTCTACTAGTCAATCACCAGTCTATCACAAGTCCATCATAAGTTCATCATAAGTTCATCATAAGTCCATCACAAGTCCATCACACGTCCATCACAAGTCCATCACAAGTCCATCATAAGTTCATCATAAGTTCATCACAAGTCCATCATAAGTTCATCATAAGTTCATCATAAGTTCATCACAAGTTCATCACAAGTCCATCACAAGTCCATCACAAGTCCATCACAAGTCCATCACAAGTCCATCACAAGTCCATCACAAGTCCATCACAAATCCATCACAAATCCAAGTTACAGGTCACATCACAAGTAAATTACAAGAAGAAAAAAAGAAGAAGCAGTTTCATTTTAATTGCCTGTGACTTGACTTGAGACAGAAGGGCGTTTGATGGACTTGTGAGAACTTGGCAAGACTTGACAACTCTTGGCTCTAGTCAAGGTTTTTAGGAATTCACACTCAGTTTATTTTGGGCAGTGGGAGAATTTTAGGTCCAACGTTCAAATTGTGGTATTGGTGTAATTTGAAAGAAACAAGTGCATTTCAAATAGTTCAGTATCATGAAAAGCAAAACAAAAACAAAACAAAAAAATGCCTTGAGCAAATGTTGAACCTTCAACTTCTGAACCAGCAGTTGCAGGTTGTCAGTGTTGTCGTTCAAACTGACATTTGTTACAAAAGTGACCTTATTCCCTTTCCTGGTATAGTTGTCTCACAATTAAATGTGTTTTTTTCTTCTTATAAAATAAGGATACCCCAGATGACCTGCCAGAGTTCGAGAAATCGGTGGGAGTAAGTGTAACAGCTTTGAAGGCTCCTGTACTTTCCATAGTGATACCAACGCTGAATGAAGAGGAAAACATAGAGCGCGCTTTACGGTCCATCAAAGAGGTTTGTATTGTAGCCTACGTTTTATAATTTGGCGTTTTGGGCTATGGCTATTTGATAGTCATATATTGTCAGTGACACAAAGCCGAAGACATTGCAAAAATGTTTGGCTTGGGCTCAGCTTAGCTGTATCTGGTTTTTTTTTAAATGTTGCCACAAATGAGAGTATAAAATTCTCAAAATGATCAACTTTTGAGAATATCATCTTGCCGGTGCAGTGCTCCTTCCCTCGCCTTCCAGCTCTATGGTCCAGGTTTTATTCCTACCCTGGTCCACATGTGGATTGGGTTTCAGTCCCTACCTGATTCTCTGGTTTCTGCTCAGAATATTTGCCTGGGATTTTCCTACCACCTCTATAACTGAAAATGTCTTCGTCATCTTGTCTCTACAGTTTTTTTCCAGGCTTGCAAGCTACACTGCCACGGGGTTTATATAGATATCCTTGGTTTCATTACCAGAATATAACATCATATAAATTACAGAGTAGGAGGTCATGATCAAAGCACAATGTGATCCATTTCTAAACCTTTGACTTAACTGATCCAATTCTAAATCCTTCATAATATCACCTCATTTGTATATTTTTGTAGAATAGTTCCTGGATTGATTACATAGAAGTTATCATCTCGGATGGCGGGAGTACCGATAGCACTCTGGGAAAAGTGGACGAGTTTGCTCAGAACAATCCAGAATTACGAATCAAAACAGTGCGGGGAGGTCGAGGTAAGATTGTGTCATTTAGCTTCCATAGATTTATTTAATTCTTAACCCATTACCACTTGTATTGCATTGTGTTTATTCACTGGTGAACCCATAAAAATCAAAGAGTTCTCAGGCAGCTTCCCTACCTGTTATTCCCTGTGGTGCTCGAAACTACCCCAGCACTGTATGGTTTTATGAATTCAAAAGTCAATTAATCCACTGTAATACAATGTCATACAAGCACTGATGGGACAATTTGAATATCTTTGACGACATTGAAAGTTTTCCGCTTAACACTTGTGTCACTTTCATAAATTACCTTTTGGGGGTATTTTTTTAGGTAGAGGCAAGCAGTTAAACGCAGGCGCTAGCGAAGCTACCGGAGTCAATCTCTTGTTTCTCCATGCTGACGGCAGCCTTCCTCTGGCGTTTGATCGACACATCTTACTGACTCTGGCCGAACCGGGGAACATCGCTGGGGCTTTCAATTTAGGCTGGGATGTTTTACAAGGAGACAAAAGGTACACATTTTGTTTTCATGGATCCTTCTCTTTTAGCTGTGTGATTAAATAATTTGACGATAGTACTTATGTGTGTGTATTTTCATTGATAGTAATGTGCCTGTATTTTCACTGAGTTTGGCAACAGAAATTTTGGGGAATAACTAACTTAGTCTTGGAGTGCTTTGACACAAGCTGAAGTTGGTTGTTGCTTGAGTTTTAAGTTATTTGCAAAAAGATGGCGTTCTTTTTTATTCCCAGAAATGATTGTAGCCGGTTGATCAGTGCACAGCTTCAATTGGGTCAACTCTTGCACTTAGCTTGCTATAAATTCACAGGTAAGGAAAATCAAATCAGAAAATCTGGATTTATGTCGGTTCAGCAAGCCATACTGAAGTATTATTTTAACCCATCAGCACTTGTAGTACATTGTGTTACATTGTAGTACATTGTGTTTATTCATTGACAAACCTATAAAACCATAGTTTGCTCAGATGGTTTTAGTTGATACAGGTAGTAATTTGGGGCGGTATAGGGACTAGTGGCTTAAACCTGTTCACTGAGATTACTAGAAATTATATTTTGTGGAAGTCAAGTTTTTTAGCAGGGCTACAAAAATTGATTTGTCAAACTTCAATAATAGTTTTCCAGATTTTGCACGTCTGAAATGCTGCTTCAGTTTCATTGTCTTTGTTCAAATTTCTGTTAATATAATCTGTTTCTGTTTATAAATTGTATTTTTTATTTATTTATTTTTGGCTGACAGAGACTGCATACGGAGACCAAGGGATGTTCATGTCCAGGAAAATCTTTGAGAAAGTTGGCCACTTCCCTCCATACCGACTCATGGAAGACTACGAAATGGTTGGATTTTGTTTCCTTCTGCTCAGATTTTGAGAATCCTCTTCAGAATGTGAATTTTCTAATGTGGGAAACCGTTGGGGCTTGGAGAGCTCACTTAATGAATTTCCATCGTCTTTCATGGGACTAACCCCAGCAAGCTCAGTAGTTAAATGGAAAATCTTTTGAGATTTTTTTTTCTTAGCACAGCACTGCAGACAAAAAAAGATTCAAATTTTCAATGATTTCGTAAAAGAAAATTGTTGCGATTCAGACCCTTCATTTAATTTGCATAAATAAACAGACTGCAGACTAAATGCTTTTACCATGTTGTAGAAAATGTGGACATAAGTATCCAACATGTGACACAAAATAAAACCGTGCTTCAAAAATTGTTCTATTTTTTACAAAGGCTTTGAAACTGCAGAGGTACGGGCATTTGAAGATACTTCAAGAAGTGTTTATCATAGCGTCAGCTCGGCGTCTCATCAAAAAAGGAGTGTGGAAGGTACATATACCCTATTGTATTGCTATCAGTGTTGAAGGGGAGGGGGGGGGCACATAACCCAACCCCACTTTTTGTTCGAAGTTTCTAAATTGTGACCTAGGCCTGTTCTGTCAAAAGCAGACGCTGGGCAGAGGTTGGAATTTAGATAGGGCCAAAAAATACTGTGGGGGTGATTTTTATCGATTTCAAATTTTTGCATATTTGTAATCCTGAACATGTCTAAAATATATTATAAAAGTTTCAAACCCTAATTTGAACTCTAAAAAATATACTGTTTTTGATGATTTTGATAAGGTATATCAGTTAAAGAAATAACTGTTTTGTGACGTTCGTGGCCATTTTCTCCGTTTTCTACTTTTCAACACAATGAACTTCAAAATAGCATAACTCTGCACAGGAATGACCGGTTTCAAAAATTAAACCAGCTATTAAAAGGAAAAAGAACATATGTTAACAATATGTAAAAATATCATTTTCGACCTTATGCCCAGAAAAGTCTGATTTTGACAGAACAGGTCACAATTAATCCTTTTGTAATTCGTTTTGTTTTGTTTTGCTTTATTTCAGGCAAGGTTTATTAATTGTCTCATGGTGATGGGTTACCACATGGGCATCCATCCGGATACTTTGGCGAACTTCTATTATGGTTGACCTCATAATGGATTATTGTTCTGATGATGTGATGCATCAGTGGTGGTGTGGAGTTTTTTATCATGATTTGGTGCGTTGAATTCAACAACTCTTTTGTTGGTGATTTTGTAGATTGTGGATTTGAGTCCAGCCTGTTGGGATGTGCTCACATGTAGTGCTTTATACCTAAGGTCTCAAAGCGCTTCACAATTATTACCCCTGTTCGTCAGGCCATGAGACCAGTTTTTGCAGCAGCTCGAGATCAGCGCATTCTGGTCTCTACCTTCACAGGTACCCATTTATGCTCCTGGGTGGAGAGAGGCAATTGTAGTGAAGTGTCTTGCCCAAGAACACAAGCACCATGTTCACCGTCAGTGTTTGAACCCATGTGCCGTACCACGGTACCTGAGTCGAATACTGTAACCATTTGACCTCAACGCTCCAAGTGCTTCTAAGCCTAGGACACCTGACCTCATAACGCACGTGTGTATGAGGACAGGCAACAGCCTCATGCTTCTGATATCTGATTGGTTGCCATGCACCTTGGCTGTACTGCCTTCCCTTTAGTTTGATTGGCCCACTTCCCCTGACACTCATGCGTCGTGCGTAATGCAGCACCCTATTAGTACAAGAGAAGATATTAAAATCAGGTTGACCCCTACATCATAGGTCGACCTGACAATTACCGCGCTGGCCGTTATGTGTGCACACCGGTAAAAAGGCCTAAACCCATCCGCCGAGCTCATGAATAAAGGTTATACCCTCAAATATGCTATATTAGAGAGTTCCGAGAGCCATAAAATTGGTGAATTGAAGAGATATGGCAATGAACCTCTGGCCCGGACGTAGGGCTTCCAATTCTGAGCATTTTGGATGCAATTTGGCACGAAAGTGGCGCTATTTTGCCATGTTGTGGAGTGATCGTTTTTCAAGATGTCTACTATTCGGTTTTGGGGAAAATAGGGGTCGTCTTCTTTGGGTGAAAATTTCTCGAAAAGTCAATGGTCAACCCACCAAAATATGAAAAGAAAATGAAAGATGACATGTTGATCATCATTTTTCTGTGCAGTATTTTTAAAAGAATTTAGAAGTATGGGCATTTAGCAATGGTGTCTATGGGAATTTTAATGCAGGGGTGCATCCTTATCAGACTTTTAATGGCCGTCCACAATAATCCGCCATTTTGAGTCTGTGTACAGACTAGTGGGTATGTGGTGCTTGTGTTCTTAGGCAAGCTACTTGTCACTGATAGCAGGACTGAAATTTGCATAGGAATATATTATGGGTCCAGTGAGAAAGGATATAAAAAGAAAACTTATCTTTGTAAAAAGAAATTATATAAATACCCATTACTATTTTTTTTCTTCCCTCAGTGAAGTTATTCAATTTTTACCTTTTCCAACTTAATTTTATAGAATTCCCAGCCTTTAAATGAAGCCAAGTATTCTGTCTTTCAATTGTTTGTCTTTATTTTTTTTAAAGTTTGCCAGTGAATGTTTTATTAATTTTTTTGATCTGACTAAATAATAAGGAAATATATGGGATATATGAAAAAGGGCAATTTTATGAAGTGACATCTGTATCTGTCTGTGAGGAGGATTCTAAATAAAGAACATTTTTGGAGTTCAAGAAGCTATTCAAGAAAACAATACAAGACAAAATGTTTCATTTTTGCATTTTTACTAAGCTCTTTGCCTTTCTTTACAGTATTTTACAACTTTTAACAGAAATTCCACTCTTTCCTTAGAATGAAAACATTACCATTTTAAGATGACGTGTACACCATGAAGAAATGCACACATGAACATGTAAAACATGCACAACTTGAAAATCAAGTTACAAATAATATTAATAATACATTTATATTGCGCAAAATCCATTTCAAATATGTTCAAAAGCGCAAAGATCATAGTGAAATTCAAGTTACACAAGTTTTTATTTTCAACCTGAAACGTACACAAGGTAATTCGTTAGAAGCACTGACTGACCATGGTAACATTTTTAATCGGTTCAACTGTTGATTAACACAAAGAAAAAGTGCCATCTGATTGGTTCAACTGCTGCATATAATTATTAAAATTGGACCAATCAGCAAGAAGTAATGTGAATGGATGTGAGGGGAAATATAAGGTGAGGTATAAGAGGCATTAAAGATGGAGTAATAAAAAATATTACCAATCACATTATGTCAAAAAAATCTTTATGAACTTGGACTGAGATATGGAATTGTTTTTGTAAGATCATCACAATTTGCAAATACTGTTCATCAAAGGCATTCTGCTTGCACTTACAATTACAAACTTTTTTCAAACGCATTTTCAGCAATGGGCAATTTAAAAGTTCAAAGGTTTGGAAATAGAATGTCATATTAACTCCCGTTTTATAATACTCCCAGTTTCATATAAATATATAATGTTTTCAAGATTTACAAAAACATCTCTTTGTATATTACCAAGGCCTGGGTTTGTATGAAATGGACATTAAGTTATAAATAGGAATATTAACAATCTTTGGCTCAAAAGACATTTCATAACGACAGGAGTAGATTATATATTTAGAGTCAATTTCAGAAGGTGAGAGAAAAAAAACAAAGATCAGAAATTGTGCACCTTGATGATCAGGGCAAGTTTGTTAGAGAGTGCCAGACAGAAAAGGGTATTTGTTTTAAGAATTTATGCAAAAAGCTACTATCTGCAACGATTGACAGAAAAGTTGTCAAGCCAACATTTTCAAATGTAAAACTCATCTTCAACTCACTGGCAAACTTATTTTCTGCGCTGTTTCGTTTTCTTAGAGCATGCACAGACTTATTTTTGAATGACACAAATCGGCAACTCGCTTTTCTTCTTTCACTCTGCGTAAGTGATACAGTTTAGAAAAGTTAGTTGTGTGTGGGAGATGGAGTGTGGGGGATGGGTGATGTGGCGATAGAGGTGGGGGAAGGTTGGTAGGCGGTGGGGTGAGGCTGGGGGAAAGTTGGGTGGGGTGAGGGTAGGGATGGGTATGGGGGTAGGGATGGGTATGGGGTGGGGTGGGAGTATGGGTGGGAGGGTGGTATGGGGTGGGGTGGGAGTATGGGTGGGAGGGTGGTATGGGGTGGGGTGATGAGGTGGGGTATTGGGGTGGGGTGATGGGGCAAGGGATGGGAGTTGGGATTCCGATGGGGTATGGTGGGGTGGCGCAGGGGTGGGGAAGGGGGTAGGGCAGGGGATTGGGTTTGGAGGTGGGGTGGGGGTTGGGATGGGGTACAAGACAAGTAGATTGAGATGCAAGCCCAAAATCTTGTCTATTTTCCTTTCCCTTCACCTCTTATTTCTTCTTTAAGCAATATGTGACTGGGTCTGATTTGACAATGCCCAAGTTAACAAAAAAAACCTTTTAGATTAGGTTTTGAAATGTGATTACTGTAAATGACTACTGTTCTCACTTCCCCAGTATGCCTGATACAAAATTGGGTGGAAGTTTTGAACTTAGAGTTCACCGAAAAGCTTTGGTCATTTCAATGACCAACAAATGACCAAAAAACAAAGCCATACTGCAAACCCAGTCTGCTGTTCGTTCCAATATGGTGCAAAGAGCCAACGGCCTGCAATGCACACAATCAATCATCTTGTACCAAAATGTTTTTTCCCTTCAATTTGTGCCTTTTGTCAGACCAAGCCACATACAAAGTGATACAACCATGCCTGCTCATCATCACAAAAACACACACGGTCACAAAGCCATTACAAGACTGAATAACAGACTGCTGGATTGTTTAATTACATCATCTTCCATTCAACGAAAATTAATTTCGCAACATAAATCCTGAATTTCCATTTACTGTGGGGCAGAGGGCTGAGTAAGAACAGAAGATCTGGGAGAAAATATTACAAATCCAAGTAATGTTGGAATTTGCCTTTTTGAATCTTGAAAAAGTTTCCAAAAATAATTTAAAAAAATCTTGACCATAAGTTTCGTCTGATTTTAGCAACTTCTGGGATGAAAAAACATGTAGTTCACAACGACATGCACGAAGAGGACTCACAAAGTTGGCACCTCGAACATCGAGAACGAATACCCCCCCCCCCCTTGCCACACCCATAAAGTCGGTAACTGAAGACCATATAGCAATATCTAGTACCCACAGTGAAACATGGACATAAAAACCCAATATTCTGTGATATTTTCATTAACTTTGTTGTATCCATACTAGTATCACAGTGCATTATGTACAGCAGCCAGTCCATTTTATCTCATCCAGATGGACACAGTATTTTGAAAAAGACGGGCTGTAAAAAGTTTCATTCCAAATTTGTTTTCAATTGTGTTGGTATCAAAAGCTGTTTGGCACACATATTAAATGTACAGTTTCAGTGAATGTTTACATCAAGTAGAGAAAATGCTCTTTACAGCGCGAGGTTGCATGAAATTTGAACCATTTTGAACGAATCTCTCAAAAAATCCCAATATCTTCAAACACTTGAAGGATTCCTCTAGCAATTTGACAAAATTATTTGGGAACACGTAGGGAATAAAGATGCACATAAAGAAAAAGTGGGAAATGTTCAGATTTTCTAATTCGCAACTCAAAATATGGAAATATTTGAGCACGATTGTTTCGGCACTCAGCAGAAACGCTTAGGACAATATCGTAGAGTTAACATAGGATGGAATTTGTCAATGTCTATTTATCAAACAAATAGTCCATTAAGCATAATTACACCAGCGATTGAGGTATTGAGGTGAATTCAGGATGTCCTCAAAAATAAACTTTTGTATTTTTAGCTTTAAAAAAAACTGGAACTTGATACAAAGTTTCAGTTCGCAGGATAACTTGAAATTGTTTCAAAGGTTTGGAAAAACAATTGCCTAAATCTTGGTTTCTCAAACGGAGGTCTAATTTTTGCTTATTTGGACAATTAAATTAAGGTCATCAAAATGCAATCCAAGTTATGGCGTGCAAAAGGGACAAAAGTTACCTTTAGAATATTCAAGGTTCTTCAAATATGTACTTTCTGTAACTTTCTTTGGGAAGTTTTATCTGAAAAGTGCCATCAATGGAAAACAATACTTGAAACACTGTATATGTTTATGGAAAGGATACTTTTATTTTTGAGGACATCTCGTTTACAAAAATTCATTATTCAGTAATCTATCTATAAAATCACAAATTCATCTATTTCAAACTTAAAAAGAAAAAATATAAATTAAAAAAACAAAACCAAAACACGATTTTACAAATCATGACAAAACGTTTAGTACATTTAGAGGAACATCGATTTATATTTATATATAATAAACATGTGAAGGGTGGGTTGAAACAAACATGCCTTTTCTTTTAAAAGTAATAATATATTATTTACAATCTTTCTGTACATACAAAGAAAAAAAATTCAATTAATATTTGACTTCGTTGGGCAGCAGGCTACACATCAAATTCGTGAGGCAGAATATTACATTAGCATTACAAAGACTCAAAACACAGAAATAAACTCATCTTTTTGGGGGCCATTCCAGAAGTTTAGATACTGAAGAATGATACATTTAACCCTTTACTCCCCAAGTTTTCGTCATTTTGTGAATCCTCTGTAATCCTCCACTGTGCAGGAACCCAATGGCACACTCTTTGTACCTACCAAGTTTCAAGTCATGAAGCCCTATGTGAAGTAATAGTGGCTGGGCTCTACCTTCCTCAATCCTACAAAATCCTCCAAAACCTCCAGTTAAGTAGATTTTGATGGAACCTCCAGTTAAGTAGATTTTGAAGGATCTGGGACGGTTTAGGGTATAAAATGGTAAAAGCCCCATTGCTTCCACCCTCCTATGGAAATTCAGCCCGAGGCTGGCAGTGGATTGTATTTTTTTAAGGATTTGGCCCACCTAAAAAGATGAGTTTTTGAGGTGTTCAAATGGGGAGGTGGCACAACGCAAGCCCCAGGCTCGAGTTGTGTCACCTCGGTCAATAATAAATAAGCTCACCTCGAATTCCCATGCGAGTCTATAACATGCTCGTTAACACCAAGATCAGTCCCACAATGCACCACTCTTTACAAGCACCAAATAAGACGAGTTAATGGACAAAATATGATACACAGAATTCCAATTTAATAATCAATACTGTTCGGAATAGTTTTCACGCATGTCCATGTCCAAAATCAAAAAGAGAACTGGACAACTGTCCTCCCTTCAAAACCAAAATGTCTGCAGAATAAATTTCCTCAATTTCACATATGACCTCTGGATGATGTAACCTCCAAATGATGTGATGCATTCTGGGACTGCTGAAGCAATGTTTGATCGAAAGTTGCATTAAAAAAACAGGAAAATAAAATAAGTTTCTGCCACAATTTTGTTATACTTATAATACACAGCTTGTCAATAGTAAACTTAATAATATTAATATAACCATATCTACACATTGCTTGGCGGTGCTTTCCTGTTTTGGGGCCGCCGAACCTTCAGCGAGGGCGCTTTGTGATACGATGACGATGACGTCGGTTTCGTCTTGTGGGTGGGGGAGAGGTGGGTTGGGGTGGGGTTGGACGGTGTGTCGCGACAGTTGGACTTCTTGCCTGTGGCGTTATTGCGACAGTGGGGGTGGGGAGGGGGGACGCGGGTAGTCTCTGTGGTGGGGTTCTCATAGAGGTTGATGGGAACCGGCTGCTGCGGGGCACCGGTCCCCGTGTGATTACTCCTTGGTATCGTGTGAGGGTGCAGATGCCTCCCGCAGCTTGGTTGATCTGAAGGAAACAAAACGTAAATAATATTACATTATAATTTTTAATAGAACTTTCATTTTTTTTAATTAAAAGTTTGTCTTTTCATTGTATTGAACCTACATGACATTCGTGACAAAACATGGAAAAAATTACACTTTCCTGGCAAATTAATTATTTGACTTCATCCATTCCTAAGAGCTAAAGAACAACCTCGATTAAAAAATCATATAAGGATCCAAGACAAATCTGTCAACATTTTGAAATTGTCACTGGGTTCTTTAAAAAGTTGTTTTCTTCACTACATTGCAATTTTACTGATGGTAGGAAAAAGCCCAGTTTTTGTAGAGACAATGTTGTTAAATTTTGCAGGAAATCAATCAGTTCAAATTTTCCCTCAAGAAGTATGGGGAAAAACTACAGACAGATTTTTTTACACTGAGGTTTACGGAACACTTGATCACTTCCAAAACCCAACCAAGCCGCATAACTGATATCCTTCTCACCTTCCGGACACTGCGTGTATCCACGCGTGTGCCGTCCCAGCGAAGCACTCCTAGGACTTCTTTGTCCCCTACAAACACTGCCTTGCTCAGGGGACCCCGGTGGAACCGATGGGTGGAAGAGCCTCGATAACGTCCCATCGATGACGTCTGGGGACGAAACCCTCTCTACACTGCCTCTGTTTGTTGTTTGCTCCGAGTGCCTGCAGTAAGGGTGGTGAGGGGCATGGTCTGTGGGGTGGTGGTACGGGGTGGGGTCCGTGGGCTCGTGGTGTTGGCAGCAGTCTGCCGGGCATTCGCTGTGCTCGGTGCAGCTCTCTGGGTCCGTGTCCAGATCCCTGTCATAGTGTAGATGCTGCGGGGTGTCTAGTACGCTATCACCTAGGTAATAGTAGAAGAGATTATGAATAAAATTAATTGCCGTGGCCTAGTTGTCTAGTGAGTTGAACTGTCTAAATGCTTGAAAACATTTCATCACCAGCAACCTTCAACCTGTATATTTCTTGACGTCAAAATTGCTTCACGGTCCCATAAATTGTGATGTAAAACAAGGTTTTTAACTTGTACTGGTGCTCAAATCAGTAGTCTAATACTTGTGCTTCTCAACAGTGTGTGAAAACAATAACCCATTAGCATTTTCATGACTTTAATACATTGCATTTACTCCCTGATAAAACCATAAAACTGACAGAGCTACTGTGGTCACCTGACCAAAAGTCATGCTCTGATTGGTCAAAGTGCACTGCTTGATTGACAGACAGGATCCATTTCTTTACCTTTATCATCTTCGACGTCTCCGCCTGCCACAGCTATATCCATTGGGTCGCTGGACTCCCCAGCAAACATGGATCCTTGCAACCGATGGCTGTACTTGAGGCTTGGGTGGATCATCAGACCGCCGTCCAGCGAGTCGCAATCGCTGGGGTTGTCTGGCGGGAACTTGTCGGTAGCCGCGCTGGAGATGCCGCTACTGGTCTCTTGGTGGATGGTGCCGTCAGAGGAACCGTTGAAGGCGGAGCTGGGGATCTCTGGGGGGAGGGCCGGGTCATCTGTGAAAAAAAGTGCCAACACAACGTAACAAATTAGTATTCAAATATGATGATAACATTATCTCAAGGATGGCTGTGGCAAGTCAGAAGCTCGACCATAAGTGAATCACGAGTCAATACGCACGTCTGATCAAAAGTAACGGGACGAACAAGACCACTACCCCTGTCACAGTTCAATTGAATAGCTTGAGATTGACATGGATCTCAAGGTATCAAGCACTGCGTCCATTGTCAGGGCTCTGCTAACCACAGAGTTCTGTGCTCATGATCTCCGTTCTGTGCTTACAGCGCTAGCACAGACGTTTTGAATAATAAATTACCTCGGTATTAAAACAGTAATCCTCAAATTTTCAGTCTAACAGTTGGGTAAAGCCGACTATAATGTGGATGCTGGTTGTAGAGAGACACGTTTTAGTGTACACAAAGGAAACAGACAATTACAAAAAACAACAAATCAATTCTGAAAGTACCTGCATGGGTTGTGTTGTAGTGCCTTCGCTGTTTCCTTGTGTGATAAATGATGAGCACCCAGACCAGCGACGTACCGACCACGCAGCACACAACAAGGATAATGATGATACCGGTGGTAGTGCTGTAATACTTGGTTTCTGCAGACGTAAAAAAAGGTACATTTGAGAACACGAAAGATTTGTGACATTTTCTGATTCACCTCATTGTATGGTAACCACTTTGTACAATATTTGTTTACATTTCCCAAGCACCACTGAAGTTGGCCTATCAGTATAACCACAACCCTTCCAGTTGCAACACACTGCAACATGTGAAGAGTATGTGGGACCTTGCTGCATTGAGCCATCAACACCAGTGCATAAATAGCCAATGCTGAAACAATGAGAGCTAGTCCCATTGAACAATGCTACAGTTGCATCCTGCTGCAGTTGGCGACCACAGACTCTGAGGCAGTTTGACCTGATGGATCTAGACTTGGCAGGTTTCGCATTTTGGCAACTGTTGCAACTTGTTGCATGTGGCAGGGTTTCTAGACAAACCCTGAAGGGTTAGAGTTAAAAGCATGGTACTCACTGGGTAGGACAGTGAGTGCGGCCGATCCCCTATCCACACCGACTTTGTTGACCACCTCACACGTGTACGTTCCATCGTCCTCCATCCTGACGTTCTTGATGATCAACAGCCCGTCGTTGCTAGTCAAGATGTGATCATCGTCGACGTGAAATTCCCGTCCGTCTTTAGTCCAGGTGATTCGGGGTGGAGGGGAACCCGAGACTTTGCATTCGATGACGGCCGCCTCGCCGGCGCGTACCTCCATGTTCTTGGGTCGCTCTCTGAAGCTCGGTGCTTGGAGGACGGTTAGGGTCGCGTTGGCGCTGATCATGCCGGCCGCGTTGGTGGCCGTGCAGCTGTACATACCCATGTCCGACACCTTGACAAAACCAAGGAAAACAGTGGGTTAGTTGGACGTTTATGCCCTAAACTTTCCAGGTACTTTAGATTCAACTGAGGTTTTGAAGGATTCTGTACAGTTGAGGAATGTACAGCTAGTCAGTCACAAGTCACAAGCTAGTCACAAGAACTGTGACAAAATCATTTCTTTGTTATTGTTCATCCCCTGTTACTTGTGACTGGACTTGTCCAATGTTTTGATTGACCTGTCCTGTGATGATGGACTAGAATACAATACTGGTACAAAGAATACCTTGACATTGGAGATGTAGAAGGTCTCTGATTCCTCATCTATGACCTGAAAGCGTCGTTCTCTAGCGGCAGGGAAGTCGTCGCCGCCATCCTTCTGCCAGGCGATGACAGGTTTGGGGTCGCCCGTCGCTGAGCACTCTAGACGGGCCGTGCCTCCAACTCGGACCTCGCTCTCCTTGGGTGTCAGCTCGAAGGATGGGAACACTGAAAAATCCAAGATGGAATCTTCTGTCAATTAATGATTGAAGTCTTCATTAAATATTAACACCCTGTGTCAGACTGGCTTTCAAGAGACATGCTTAACCAAGGCATTCGTAAGATTTAAAGATAAGTACATTTGAATCTAAGAACTCGTGCATCATGGGCACGAGTGTGGTTACATCTCAAGATAGCTTCTGATTTTGCTTGCTGAGGAGTTCAAAGTCCAGTAACTGACCATGCACGGTGATGCGTGCCGTCTTGGACATGGTGGATCCCAGCTCGTTGGTGATGACACACTGGAACTTTCCCTGGTCCGTGTCTTGGATGTTGGGTAGGTTCAGCACGCTGCGGTATTGAATCAAGTTGCCTTCCCCCTGGCTGGCAAAGACCTGTGTGTTGGGATTGGCTAACACCTGGCCGAAGATTGACGGAAAAAAAATAACACTTGCAATGAGTTCTCTATTGATCACAGTGGTCACAGTAGAACTTCACTAAAATGAACTTCATTAAAATGAACAAGAACTTCACTCTAATGAACAAAATGGGGACAACGAAAGATCATTTTTGGTGTAATGGTCCGTTGTTACAGCAATTTTTGGCAGCACATTATCTGACTAGTTGTTTATAACTTTTTAGGTACAAATAATCTGTAAAAGTTCAGTGTTTGCTAGTGTCTTTCTACTGTAGTTTTCTTTACTTTTTCTACCTCAATACATACATATTATAATATTTGACTAGTCAAAATTGATAGCTGGAAGGTTTTTGAGCCGGTAACTGGCTTAGAAACAAGTACAATATATATGGCAGAAGCAACAGGTATTTCGATTAGAAAAAGCAAATTTCTGGGAGTTTCTGAAACCTCGGCTATGTGTCCAGCTATGGCTCAATGAAATTTTAGGCCCTTCCCTTGGGGACCAACAAATCCTGTAATATGCAGCCAAGGGATGAATCCGAAGCTGAAGACAAAAGCTGGATTTCAAAAACACCATTGTGTAAACTCAGCGAGAGTAGTCTCCCCCTAGGTCTGGTACCCTACCTCATCATCTTTCTTCCATGTGAATCGCATGGTGGATTCACTGCTGCTGGAGGCTTCACAGAGTAAAGCCACATTGTCTCCTCTCAGGGCGGCAGTGGTCTTGGGGTTGCGTACGATCACGGGCTTGGAGTTATCATCTGGATTTCAGGCAAACAAAAAGTGGACAGTGTCATTATCGTAGCCAGGCTTTGTTTTTATATAATCTGGGCCACATTTCGCAGGGGTGCAAAGCACACAATTTAAGTGCTCCATTGTTTTATGGATTCATCAGGGAATAAATACAATGTAATACAATGTAATACAATGTAGTACAGTAGGGAATAAATACAATGTAATACAATGTAATACAATGTAGTACAGTGCTAATGGGGTTAAATTAGTATCTTCACAATAGAAATCTCCGTGTGCACAACAACTAGCACACCCAAGCCGTGAATTATTATTAACATCTGGTTCACATTTGGGGCCTAATCCAATGCAAATGTGAATTTGTCATGTCATAGCAAGTTTTTGCACCACAAATTTGAAAAAGTTGAACAATTTCTTAGAGAATGTTTGATGAAGTCAAATTCGTCTCCTTTTTCATTTTCACACGAAGTATGAACCGGCATTAAGGTTAAGAAAAGAGTTCTGCTGTAGTTAGTGCAACTATTCTGCTTAAACTGTTAAGCAGCGAAACGAAATTGGCCCGTGAATCACGTGGCCTATTTCCAAAGATAAATTCCTATCTCTGACCCCTAGCATTATGTACTGAATGTCAAACAGCCTTTGTGAACTATTCTTAAACTTTTTAATGATATCTTGTTTTAATCTTAATGTTTGATCGGATTCTGGGAAGTGAGTCACAAGTCAATGGCAATGCAAAGGTTCATTTGAAGTGGGGGACTTTCCAGATTATTATCTTGAAAAACTTAATGTCACATGAAGCTTGGCAACAAAGTTTGGACAAACTGTAGAACAAAATCTTTTTTCTTTTGGGGGGTGGGGTGGGGGTAGGGGTAGGGGTGGAGGTGGGGGTGGGGGTGGGGGTGGGGGTGGGGGTGGGGTGGAGGTGGGGGATAATATCAACCGGAAAAAAATTCACTCATCTCCTAATGTGGGAACATGCTGACAATAGTCATAGCCATAACCCTGGAAGCCCACTTTGGGCACAGCCATACAGCAGAGTGACTTTTGAGAAGCAGATGGAACTGGTTTAGGAATGTTTTCGGTCCTTACCACAGGTGAATGAAGAGGGGGCAACATTGAAGACGTTGGTGCCCTTCAGGGGTGGAGGGTGGGAACACGTCCCATCGATGGTGCCTCTGTAACCGGCGGCGTCCACCCAGCTGGGGAACCAGGAGAGTTGGCAGTCACAGAAGAGGGTACTGGAGTTGATCAACCTGAAACAATCCATTAAATAAAGAAAAGAGAAAAGAAACTGTAATCACGGAGCTGCTTAACACAGAAATTTGTTCAGCACAGAAATTTGCTAAGCACAACAAATATTTGCTTAGCAAAAACAGCTTACCAGCCAAAATGTCATAGAAGCGTGTTATTTTGACTGGTTCCAAACTGTTTTTGCTTAGCACAGAAATTTACCAAGCACAAATAAATCTTTGCTGAGCAAAAACAGGTTACCAGTCAAATGTATTAAATTTGTACTGCTTTTGACTGGTTCTCTGCTGATTTTTGCTTAGCAAAAAAATTCGCTTAGCACTATTTTCTGATTAAAAGCAAAACCAAAACGGAAACTGGGCTGTTATGCAAATACAGTCAGATTGTTGTAACAGCCACTTTGCCATTATGTTGGAAGAAAGTTTGAGAACATGAAGTAAAATGCAGAATGATTGGTTAAAATGCACACTTGTACAGTGTAGAAACACGCTGCAATAAAGTAAGGACAAGAATTTGCTCAAAAAGACAAGCAATTAAGGATGACAAGCAGTGATATTTGCCTTAATATATAACCACAGAGCCAAGATGCACAGAAAGTACTTTGACATAGTTTCCTTAAATATTTCTGACAATGTCTTTTTTCAAATTGGTCACGGAAATGGGGATCTGATTCTATAAAGTATCACAAACGCAATAACCTTGGACAAATAAAAAAAAAAAAACAAAGATCAACATCAGTCCAAATTTCCATCATCCAAGATAACAGAATGGGAGTACAAAAATGAATAAACTTTGTTTGCTAATAAAATTATGTTTCCGATAAAGTCATTTTCAAATTGGTTACGGAAGTAGATGTCAGATTTTTACAAGTTTTACGGCCTTGGATTTCAGAATAATGACGAGAAATTTAGTCCTCATATCCGTCATCCAAGGTAATGGAGCGGACAAAAGGAAATTGGAACTAGGCGTAGACATTGATTAATTGTGACCGTCACAAATGTTCTGTCAAAATTTATTGTCTGTGACCGCTTGTCAGCACCAGTCTGTTCAACTAATAAATATTTCATCGTCCCAAGGTGGATCACATCACTGGCATGACAGCTGGTGTCAACAGTAATCAACAAAATATCTCCTTTTTTTCCCCTGTGTTATTGTTATTTTTATTAAATTTGCAGCAGTGATATAATTCATCTAATTGGGATTTCTCCCAATTTCTATTTCTGCCCTTGAACTGGGGAGTGTACCACGTTTTGGTAAATTTATGGTGACATCTAACCGGAAAAAAATGGCAAGTCACCAGACGGATTTTTTTTTCAGACAAGGCACGCAAGCCTAGTAAAACTGCTTCCAGAGCACACAAAACTATTATTCATTTGATTCTGAATGGCTATTCACTGAAGTCTTTTCATGCATCTGGTCTGCACAATGGGCCGGATTTAGTCCATTCATTGGCGTAACAAGGTTATCCTATTCAACAGCACTGCCCGGCTCACAAGTTATAGTCAGTCAGTCAGGGATTTAGGCACAATAGATGATCCTAGGGTGGCCCTCTAGGCAAGCAAAAAGACCGCTGTGACAAGACTGAGGATGGGGAATGTACAAAGGGAAGACTTACAGCTGGCTGAGATGCTCCATGTTGTTGAAGGCGTTGACTTGAATGGACGTGATGTTGTTGTCTCTCAGGTCCCTGTTCATATCAATGAAATCAATCAAAAAGGTCAGCCAATAATCAATCTTCTGACAAATTAAAAGATTGTGTCAAATTAAAATTGCCAACTGAACAATCTCCTTATTTGTAACTCAGTCAATCAAACCACAACGGAAACGGTAAATATGCAATTTGCTTTGTTCCTAAAGCAGAAGTTTTCTCCGTGCATTTTGGCTTTGTAAATTATAAGTTGATTCCAACTCCAGGATGTTATCCGAATTAACTCAAGTTGCTGGAGTTTCAAAAAACTACCACATAATGACACAATCCAAAAAAAAGTTGTGTAGACTAGTTCAACCATTGTTGACTTCTACATGTATGTGTTGTGGAAGTCGTCCAAATGACTTTGCTAGAGTTGGTGGTTAGTGCTTCAGCTGCTTCCATAGGCCAATGTCTTATTTCCATCTGTAGCCAAGTAATTTAGATGCACTCATGATCATAGTATTGTTGACAATAGTTTTGATCAAACTCAAGTTCTTGAGTTTGGCACACTTACAGTTCTCTGATGCCCTCGATGCCATCAAAGGCTCGCTTGGGGATGGAGCGGATCTTGTTGTTAGCCAGGTTGAGATGTCTCAGTGAGACGAGACCCTCGAAGGCTCCCGGGATGTCTTCAAGGCTCCAGGAGATGCGGTTGTTGCTCAGCTCACTAAAGATGCAAGGAAGCAACAAAGCAAGAAGGTTAACCACTAATCCTCCTAAAGCCTTCATAATCCCTAAGGATAGTTTGAACTCAAGCGCACAAAATGAAAGGTACATTTGCGCATATGACAAGTTTGGTGCAAGTTGGGACAATCAAGGTTTTCTTTTTTTTTCAATGCTAGTGGGGGCTGATACATATGAACATACTAGGCTGAATGAAAGTGAACCTCTGGTTCTTAGCAGAAGCATTTTTTTATTTAACTTATCTAAAATTGTAATCACTACCAAACACGGTATAGTCAAAGGTTTTGGGGGAATTGTGTACTTATTTCAAACAAAATATATTTTGTAATAACCCTATATAGTACAATTTCAATATAGAGATTGTTCAGTATAGTGGGCGTTCAACTGCCACTCTCAAGTGCTAATGCTTGGTATTCTTGTGGTTAAAAATTCAGAAGTCAAAGGTAAATGTTCGGTATAGCAGTGTTCCTTATAGCGGGGTTCTAGTTTACAATTTTACATGCATATCGCAAAATGTTTATCCCGAAAAGGAAAATGGTCAATTCTTGATGTGCACAGATTTAGTTTGAATACCAAACTGTCTAATATACTTACAGGGCTTTCAGAGCATGCAAGCCAATGAAGGCCCCGTCAGCCACAGTAGACACCGTATTCTGGTTAATGAAGAGATCCAGCAAGGCAGGAAGGCCCTCAAACCCGCTGCGCTCTAGCGACTGGATGCGATTGAAGCTCAGGTCCAATCCCTCCAGCGACTGGCAGAACTCCCAGCCGCCGGGATCCGTGGCGTTGATCAGATTCCGGCTGAGCAGCAGCTGGCGGATGTCGTCCAGGCCGTACAGCCAGCCCTTACTGACGCTGCCGATGCGGTTGCCATCCAGTTGCAGCTCTCGCAGCTTGGTCAGACCGTAGAAGGCTCCGTCTGAGAGGGTGGAGATGCGATTACGACGGAGGTTGAGGACGGTGAGTTCTGAGAGACCTGTGAAGGCGAGGCTTCTGATGCTGGTCAGCTTGTTACGACTCAGATTCCTGGAAACAATAAAAATTTGTAACAATTTATAGTAATGCAGACCTGTCAAGAACAAATATGGGAAGGATCCATACCCATATTAACCGTCCCAAACGACCCTGCCTGTTACTCCCTGTTCCTTCAAATACAGCTTGAGCAGTCTGTGGTATAATGGTTCCATCACTGAATGAATACAATGTAATACAATGTAGTACAGGTGCCATCAGGTTATATTTACATCTCCAAATGCAAAACTCCAACATTTGTCACTGAATGCAATTACCCCCTGCTATAAAGAACATGTACATGACAACAGTTGACTGATACAGTGATAGAGCAATATGTTGAACAGTACACAAATGTACTATTTAATCTCTGTGTGCATGTACAATGTCTCACTGAAAGTAATGTACATGTACACAAGGGCATGTTCAGGCATTCAAACCGTGGACGAAAAATGCCGGAGAACAAAAGAGAACAATATCGTCCGCGATTCCCAGCATACGTCCGTGATTGGGTCGTGTACAAAACATGTAAGAGTCTTCCTAAAAAGTTAGAGTACAAACAAAAGATACACAATAGGACGTCCAGGATTGACGGTGTGAATACGACTGCATGGTCGTGATCTGGGATCTGCTGACAAATTTCTCTACTTGAAGAAGAAAATTGTGCGTCACTATTGGGGTAGGACACAGACACTATTGCGAATCTTGACATGTTCTTCCGCATTTAAATTATGGGTTGGCGAAACCCAACAACAAAGAAATAATTCTTCCACTCCTGATCTAAGATCCAGCCTTGTATATTGCCCTTGGCTGTGCTGCCAAAATCAAGCCAAGTTTCCCTCCCCCCCTAAAGCATCTGGCTTCGCCATTTATGGGGTCCATGAGGGGTTCAGCAGAGGTCAAAAGTCAGGGGCTCCTATTTGTAAATGGACACAGCTTTGTTGACAGAGAACAGGCTACGTGCCTGCCCCTACATATGTCCTACTACACATTTCAGCTGCGGAATTGTGATGCATTCTGCGCCTGTTCCCAACAGAGCAGTATAACTGTAAACTGTTCCGGGGTGACAGGGAGTCTAGTCTGGTAACCTTTCTGAAGCCTGAAGTACTGTATGACAATGACCTGCATGTATCAGTACCTGTACTACATTGTATTACATTGTGTTTATTCACTCATAAAATCCATAAAACTGTAGAGTGCTTGGGTGGTTTGGTGTGGCATATGAACTCATAATAATTCATCCACCAGTATTGGATCTCAAGGCACTACATCATTATTATCCAATGGGTTAAGCATGATTTCAAAATTGTCTGAATGTTCACAAATGAGTTTCTTTCACCAATTCAGATTTCAAAATGACGCAAATGTTGCAAGCACTTTTACAAAATTAATTTTGTGTCATTCTTCTATGGAGTTGGCCACATTCGGTCACAAAAATCCAGTGTTGTAGTCTGTGTACTTGCGATGGATCCTAAGTGCATCACAAGTCGAATCACAAGTAAATCACAAGTCCAGTCACAAGTAACAGGGGATGAATAATAACAAAGGCATGTCCTAGCTTGTGTGTTGAGTTTGGACTGGCTGACTTGGGAAGGACCTGTGGTGACTTGTGATCACTCACAAGTAACGGTACCGTACCTCAACAACAAAAACTGAAACACAAATTAAGAAACATTGATAGCACCAAATTTTGGACGAGAAACTAGACTCTCTTTGGAATCAGTAGAGGTCAAATGCAATTTAACTACTGTAAGGGCACCGACAGGCTGGCTGCTCTACCATACAAACCCTCTTGGGTCATATCTTCACACTTGCCCATTTACCAAGTTTCAGAACTCTCTGGGTCTGGTTGTCATTAGCTTGGGAACGGCAGAAAACTCGGTCACTGTTGCCATGACAGTGAGACGTGAGCAAGGAGAATGTGAAGTGACCCATTGTCTGTATTTCACCTCTAAACTAATACTTTCACAACCATTCCAATTGAGTGAGAGGGGAAATTGAAATCAGGTGTACATCCATCTCAAACTTAACACTTTCCGATTCCAGACTATTTTTGGAGATTGCAAATGTGGTTATCGATTTCACAAGTGCAGATCTCACATGCATGGTATTTTGCAAAAAAAATATGTGGAATTGCACTGCACTGTGTTCTGTGCAGAGCAAACGCTAAGGCAAATAGACAGAGCTTATATGTCCTTGGGCAAGACAATTTACTACAATAGTTTCCTTCATCAAACTAGGTTTTGCCCTTCACCGACGTGTAAACACTGTATACTCAGTGTGTTACCTCCCGAGTGAAAGTTGGAAAAAAATCACTCGTGTGGGACGCGAACCCACGACCTCCTGCTTTCTAGTGCAGAGTTTACTACAATAGTTTTCTTCATCAAACTAGGTTTTGCCCTTCACCGACGTGTAAACACTATACTCAGTGTGTTACCTCCCGAGGGACGCGAACCCACGACTTCGTGCTTTCTAGTGCAGATGTCTTACCACTCGACCACTGAGCTAACGGGATCGGTTGGCTGGTTCGAACCTGATGTACATAGCTGAAATAGTTTTCTTTTCAACCTGGAGCAAACAGGCATCTGAGAGGCTGCAGCTTCTGTGCGCCTGAATAAGTTTACTTCCAACTTATTTAAATACAGTTTCCTTGGATTTGAGAATTCTACATTGAAAGATGGCGTGCCAAACAGGGGTAATAATGCAATGCATTTGGACTCTCGGCAGAAAATACCGACCAATAGTAGTTCGGTTATCGTGTCTATAAGCTGGCCCCAGCTCATGCTAATTACACACTTTTTAATGCTCATCTCTAAAAGTAGAGTATTTTCCAAACCTCGGTTTTGTGTCCAGCTTCACCTTGACTCTACAGCTAGAGATGAAGTGGGAGCTGGATGCATAACCTTGGTTTCAAAAACCTTTTGACATAAAAAGGCTTGCTATGATGGTTTTTCTAAACCCATGTGTACTCACAGTGTGTTTAACTTGATGAGCCTGAGGAACAATTCGATGGGGATGGAACTGATGCGATTCTTCTCCAAGTTGAGCGTCTGTAACGACGTCAGGTTGTCCAGGCAGCCTGCGGCCAGCAGAGAGAGCTGGTTGTTGTTTAGGAATCTGAAAGAGATCATGAGGCATCACAAGAAATTACAAACCATGACGCTCATCAAATAAAAGTGTTGAATACATTTTGTCTTGAAGTTACATGTACATCCCATTCACTGCTGTAATCAAGTCCATCACAAATTTATCACAAGTTCATCACAAGTCCTTCACATCTCAATCACAAGTCCATCACAAGTCCATTACATCTCAATCACAAGTCCATCACAAGTCCATCACATCTCAATCACAAGTCAATCACAAGTCAATCACAAGTCCATCACTAGTCCATCACAACTCAATCACAAGTCCATCACAAGCGCACCACATCTCAATCACAAGTCCATCACAAGTACATGGCAACTCAATCACAAGTCCATCACAAGTCAATCACAAGTCCATCACAAGTCCATCACATCTCAATCACAAGTCAATCACAAGTCAATCACAAGTCCATCACTAGTCCATCGCAACTCAATCACAAGTCCATCACAAGCGCATCACATCTCAATCACAAGTCCATCACAAGTACATCGCAACTCAATCACAAGTCCATCACAAGTCTATCGCAAGTCATCCAGTCCCAACTAAAGTCAAACACTATTCAAATGAACTGTGATGACGGCACTTTTTTTAGTACTTGTTCATCCCCTGTTTCTTGTGAATTGACTTGTGATTTTCTTGTGACCACACTAGCGATAGGTTCTACAAAAACACTGGAAATGATCAAAATGCCAAATATATTTTTTTCAGAAGTAACATCCTGATGCTTTTATTCACAAGGCGAATTAGCCCTTTGGTGACTATACTTTTCCCTGTGCATACATGTAATGCATGTATAAAGCCTTGGGCATTTTCATGATTCAAATGACGTGAATTTGTTTTCAATCAGACAAAAAGCAACATACATAAAAAAAAAATTTAATCAAAAGCTCTAAACCAGAACTGTACTGAAATTTAAGAAAAACACTTCGATTACGCATACATGTATTCCAATACAGGATGCAACTTTAATTTTATGACCACTGCCTGTAGCTACACATACATGAACATTTAGGTTGAGTTGCAGCTGCTTTTGCAAAATTTGCAGTATTGCAAAACAAAATTACATGGGAGGACCGTCTTTTCCTCAAAGTTGTAAAACATTCTTTGCACACTCGGTCATGATCAGACATAGAAAAGACAATTCAAGCACCGTTCCGTTGCATGAATAACTTTTCTTCATCCAGAACAGAGTTATGATTGTCTTTTTTCCCCCCAACAATGAATGAACTTGGTACTGGATAGCACCTCATGCGTGTAATTGCAAAATGCATTTTTGCCGAAAATTCTATTTAACGCCTGCGTGATTTTCTTTGACGCATTTTTTGGCGTAACAAGATTCCGTCACGCTTGTGGTTCTTGCTTACAATGTACCGAACATGTTCCCCAGAAGGATTTCGAATAATACGTGTACATTGTACACGTACCCGGTACATGGAACAGACAGAAAATTCAATACGTGAAAGTGAAAGGAATATTTTTTAAAGTCAAGGTTCTTGTAAACAAAACTTAGTGTTTGACAAAAATAAAAATTTATCCTTTCAATCATACAATTGTACTTTTCAAAATTGTGAAGAGTTATTTTCTTTTTTCTATTTTACTTATTTTTTAAACCATACCGTGCATAAACTGTTAGTGTTACTACTGTAGTTACTTTGGAATATCAGTGAAGCTCTACATAAAAATACATACGAATATGCTAGAACTTGGCAGAGAGGAAATCAATCACAAGCCAATCACAAGTCAATCACAAGTCAATCACAAGTCAATCACAAGTCAATCACAAGCCAATCACAAGCCAATCACAAGCCAATCACAACACAGTCACAACTCAATCACAAATAACCAGGACGAACAGCGACAAAGAGATGCCTTCGTTACAGTTCGGAATAGCTTGTGACCCGACTTGTGATTGTTTGTGACAACTTCTGAAGCTTTGCTGTCACTTATGATTTGATTACGACTGCTTATGACCTGACTCATGATCGACTTGTGATTGCTTGAGAAAACTTGTGATGACTTGCTGTCACTTATGATTTAATAACAACTCTGCTTGTGACCTGACTTGTGATCGACTTGTGATTGCTTGTGAAAACTTGTGATGATTTGCTGTCACTTATGATTTGATTACGACTGCTTATGACCTGACCTGTGATCGACTTGTGATTGCTTGCAACAACTTGGGATGATTTGCTGTCACTTATGATTTGATTACAACTCTGACCGCAGATAGAGAAAAATGACTTACACATGATGGAGATTTGTCTGTGATGGGAAGGTATTGGTGGTGATGTTCATGATGTTGTTATAGCTGAGGTCCAGCTTACGTAGGCTGACGAAACCTTCCAAGGAGCCTGGTGGGATGTGCTCAATCTCATTGTGGTCTCTGTATAAAGAAAGAAAGAACGAATGAAGACATTATGAGAAATGGATTTTTTTGCAAAGTGCGAGTAAGCCGCATCTTGGCTAAAGCTGGCACAAACACACGCCTCTACGGGGAGGGGCTTCAGATACTTCCACGTGCATGAGTAATTGCAAGCCGAAACAAAGTATCGGTAATTCAGACAATGTTCAGGAAAGGAAAAAACACGAAAACTGGAGACCTTTCCAACTAGATTATTCATTCTCCCAACATGCAAACATAATTTGTATGCTTCAATGAAACAAAAGAACCTTTATTTTTACACTGTACACATAGTTAGGAAAAACACCCCAAAAAAATAGAAGTAGGCCTATAGATAAATCCTTGTCAATGTTTCATGAAAATGAAGTACTTTGTAAAAATTCTAAAAGGGTGTACCCAGATGTAAGATTCATTGAAATATCATAAATTAAAGGTTATTATCAAACAAAATTGACCAATTGTTTGCCATCCCAGTCATCCAAATCTGAAACTAGATCCACCATCCTCTACAAAACCTTGAAAAGTCCAGTGAAATTTTGGGTTTTTTGGAGGACGAGTCTTGGCAAACACTGCCAAAAGTAGAAGGACCTATGCAGCAACAATAGCACTCCGTTCCTTATCAACGGTCACGGATTGTCACCAATGGTCACCACTGGTTTAAACACTGGTCACCAACGGTCACCCGGACAGACCAGAAAACAATGTAGCCTTGGACCATGTTGACCAAAGCTTTTGTTTGGTTTTAAGTGGGGGTCTTTGTGGCAAGGAGTTGGTCACCTGGCTAAACACAATTTGGGAAAGAACAAGGGGAATTTGGAGGGGTTGAGAAAAAACATTTGAAGACCACTCTTTTTTTTTGGAGGGGGAGGGGAGAGGGCTGATGGAAGGGGACAAAATTACAAGCTGTTGCATTTGTGCACATCTTTTAACTGTAAGAAGCAACGTTAATCATATGGACACGTATGGGCATGAACATGTTATATGCAGATACGTATTTGTCACAATTTAATAAATTCTTCGAATTAAAAACCATAAAACTAGAAAGCACTCAGAGAGCGCAAACCTCCGCCAAGGCTAAACAATTCCCTGCCATGTTGTCTGTGTACCCAAAAGACCCAGATCCGGATCACTTCCAAAATCTCATCAGTTTGTACTTGTACCACAGACAAACCAACGAACTAACCAACAAACAAAACCTGATGAAAACATAACCGCCTTGGCGGAGGTAATAACACAATGTTACTGAGACATGTACATGAATTAATCTTATTCTGGTATAAAATGAACACTAAATTCGAAACGAACATTGGACATCTCAATTTGGGGTTTTTTTGCAAAGTTTTAATGTTTCATTTCAGGGATGCTGGTAAATTTTCTTTGGGGGTAAAAAAAATCACAGAAATAACAAGAAATCTGATCTCGATATAATCACCGTGGAAACTTCTAGCTTTTCAGACTGAATAGGTAGCTCATAAAGCGCAACAGTCGATCAGAACTGCCAAAGAAACGTCCATTCACAAGAACAATCTATAACCTAATTTCGTCCTCTTTTTCCTTTTTCACTTTACGGCACAATGACGCCCCAGTTGTGGACACTGCGTGCTGGGAACCACACGACCCAGCTTTACACCGCACAAAGACAGGATCAAACGGGGCGGTGAAAAAATTTCGCAGGACAAAAAGGTTTTGGGAACCTTCAAACATGACCCGTGTTCCTTTCAAAAGGGTTGGACGTGGCAGACCCGTTTATCTGCAAATGTTCCCATTCCGAAGAGAAATCTTTCCCACCATTTTGAAAAAAAAGTGGAACTGTGCAATGGTTTCTTCCCTAATTTCAGATGGAATGTATTAAAAGAGGGGGAAAAATGGAGGTGTTATCAGCATCCAATCAGCACCTGCACTCTCGACTGAGTTTATGCGGCTCTCTCAGGCACATTGTTCCTCCAAATAACCCGCCCTGGTATACGAGCTTCCCCGAGGCCTTCCGAGGGTTAATTTGAAAACTAGCACCGAAATCTGACCTGAATCGATCCCCGCGTGCTCTGCCTTGGCACACACCAAGATTTTTTTTTTTTTGTGGTGAAATCAGCGCTACTTCTTTCTTTCTTTCTTTTTAGTTGAGGGCAGGACTGGGTTTCCATGGCTTTGTTAGCCACTGCTAAATTTGTTCCTCCTCCTTCGTGCGTTCCTCCGGGTTATGGAACAGTACAAGTATCAATCAATGTTGGTTAGGAAATTCAGATTTGCTGAGTAAGGGGAGTGTGGCGCTCCGAGCGTCGCTTTTAATACCTAGGACCGTGGAATATTCGGACCGAGTAGAGAGTTTATGTGTATGTTGATACGCAGTGCTTGGAGGAAGACTGAATTCCATCATGGGCTAGGTGTGGACTGGGTGGAATCACTGACTTTACAAATTATGATGTATTTATTTTGGAATTACGAACATACATTGTGCATGTACAAAAATGTACATGTGCACATGTACACATACCGGTATGTGAAGAAGGTGGCTTTTACAGTTGTGTAATGTGTGCAACATGCAATGTACACAAATGTGTAGTTTTCATGTACACATGTACTACATGTACACTACACATTTTTACACATGTATACCAGTGTGTACATTGTACATGTAGAATATAGTTGGTCAATGTTTCTACAGCTCTAGCGAGCAAACCAAAATTATTCAAATGCATTCTGCATGTTAATGCCAGTTCTTAAAGACATTTCTTTGTAGTATCCAACCCAATTGGCCAGCTCACAAAGTGCACATGGAGTGCACATAAATTTACTTTGTGCATTTTAAGTAGTCATTTTAACCCAAGGCACACTTCAATATATGGGGCGCTCCAGACTATGCTCCGTTCCCCCCCTCTCCCCCCCCCCCCCAACTCATCAAATATATGGAGCAAATAGGGCCCCAAACCCTGTAACACAATCTGTCCCATTGATCCGCTTAGCACAGGAATAAAAAAACCATGCTGGAATATTATAACTCTGTGGCGAGCGAGGATCGGCTCTGTAGCGTGACGGACGGGAGCTTACCGTCTGCGCGGCTGAACCGTGGAACAATGCAAAACAGCCGCATCAATTAATGTATATTGGGGCCCGGGAAAACCACATTCCTTGGGGGAGTGGAGGCTTGCATGCGCGGCAGCAGACACGTCGCATTGACCTAATTTCGGTCTCTTTCTCCCCTCCCTTCTTCAGCTCTGCCGCGTGACGAGGGTAAAATGCGGTAACGGCGGCACGTTAATCAAAATGCCGCTTAAGCTTTGGCACACCGAATCTCCTGATGTTGAATATGTCATCCTAAACACCAATCTCCCCTTGCGACATTAGACCATCTTTGTGTCCGCGGCTGGACAATAGAGACTCTGCCAACCTATCCATCATGACGACCCTAGATGCATACTTAAGTACCGCTGAGCGTTTGCCGCGGTGTCACGTCCCAGGCTCGGTTAACACAGGATCACGACCGCACACTCCGTTGATTCCATTTTCTCCCCGGAATTAATCAGAAACAAGATATACTTTTTCACGCTCCAAGAAGTTATCCAAAATTGGACTCAAAATTGCTGTTGCATACTGATGACCAAGTTTCAGCTATGAATGTGTGCTATGATATCTTGAGGGCACCTCATTGATATAATGGTCAATGCACTGTTGCAAAATGCAAGGCACTATTTTTGACACTTCAAAAATTAGTAACTTCATGTAATATTCATGTAAAAATAGTAACTCCATGCACTGACAAGTGTGACCTCCGTGTAACCTCAACGGTTACAAAGGACGAGTTGGCGGAGACCACTGGGACGCATTGCAGATGGTGCTTTGCACTCACATACAGATGATACGTGTTCGTGCACACTTTGAGTAAACTTACTTGAGCTACATCGCACCATAAGCGCATACCGGTGCACGCACGCAAGTTCACCTCTCCCACTGGACCTCTCCAATGAGGTCACAAAGCGCCCTCTAGTGTTCATCCACGGAGTCAATAGATAGCCTTCAACGGGCCACTAATAAAGTTTTAGCTCCAAAAAAAAATATAAACTTTGAGGAAAAGTTCCTGGATAGAGAAATATTCCCTTTCCTTGGTATCCGTTGCCTTGCTCATTTTGAACTCAATGATTGATTGGCTGAGCATCGGTGACACGCATGTAATTACAACATACGCAAATGCCCCTCTGAGATTTGAGTGATATTTATTCGATCAATCACGAAAAATTTCTGCAGCATCATCCAGAGGGGATAAGTGAGGAGAAGACTGGTGCATTTCGTCATGTACAAATCTCCCAATAAGATCTGCAAAACAGGAATCGCGCTGACAGGCAGGAACACATTTCAGCTAACGACTGACGGGCCAAATAACCTTATCTGGCAGCAGCGTTGGGACACTATAATAACCCCCCATTGCGAGGATTAAGATATTTCCTATTTTTCCCTAAAAATATAAAATAATAAAGAAACTGGTATTGGGGTATCTTTCAATCAAGTTCTGTGCACTTCGGAGTTCAAGTCTATTTTGGGACAACATAAATCAAACGTCAATCTGGAAAACCCTTCAAGCGCAATTTTCACTTTGGTGGAATTTAAGCCCCAAATCTTCAAAATTCTAAATGGAAATCAGGCCTCCCAAAAATAAAAATAAACCTGAGCATTACTTTACAAGCAGAGGAGGGCAAGAAAATATTTTAAGTGACAGATCCACATCCAAATTTGTGGTGGTTTTTTCACCTAACAAATTCCAATTCCCTGTTGGTATGCAAAAATGAGCCGAAAGTGCTGCTCTAATTACAGGCTGAACTACCTGACATCTGTCTGTCATATTGTGGCCCAGGCAAAAAAATTCCACCAGCTCCGTGTTTTTTTTTTTTTTGCAGTCCCAGACCCAATGCCCTTGACTACTATAGAGCAACGAGAAAGGTCTCATGACCACAAGAGAGAAATGTCTTTGGTGTTCCGTGGGCGGGTGGGGG